ACAATGTTGCTCTAACTAAAATTATTGTAGGGGAAAGGGGGTTTTACGTTGACAATAAAAGTAAATCTTTAGCAGTTTAACCAAAACAATAAATTAACTCAATTTTAAAAACAGACTGTGAGTTATCGTAGTAAAGATGAGTTACCACTGGGTACTCGGCCGTTTGTTTGTTTTTAAGCACATTATAAATACCCATGGACGTACGGGCACATTTTTGCGAGGAGCTGGCTGACATCTTTTCAGTTTCTTCATTTTTCAGAAAAATGCAATATTCGAGTACCCCTTGTCCCGATTGTGTCTTGACACTACGCGGTGCCCCCGATGCCCGAATTTCAAGCGATGGTTGCTTGAATTCCAGCACTTTAATATCTCGGGGGTGGGGGGGGGGAGCTGATGCAGTCGATCCCCTAGCCACCCCGGGGATCTCGGGGGCCTCGAGCTCCCCCACTTAAAAAAAGTATATTAAAAAGAAATAGAAAGAAAGAAAGAATAGTGACCTGTCAGCGTCACAAAATAATGCTCATCTGACCATGATTAAATGCCAAAAACCCCGAGCTTCGGGGAGTGCTACCCCCGGACTTTAACCTAGGGCCCTAAGGCGGGCCCCTGAGTGCTAATTTGACGGTAATCTAATGCCTAAAACCCCTGAGCTTCTGGGGGCTCAGCCCCTGTACCGACATGCCAATTAGTGTCCTGCCAGTGTCACCACAATTTTGTAAATCACCGGTATCGAATTGTATTGGGGGATGCCTATGCCTGAGCCCCCCCCCCCCCCCCTCCCCTAGATCTACATCTTGTTGGCGGGAAAAATCTCAACTAATCTCTCCTACTTTTCCTCTTTCTCTTTTTGTCCCTTTCCCTTTCTCTCCTCTTTCCCTTCCCCTTCCCTTCTCTCTCTTTTAGGTTAGCTGGGGGGGGGGGGGGGAGAGAAAGGTTTTTCGCCCCCCCCCCCGATCCACACGTTATTGGCGGGAAAATTGCAACTGATATCTTTTTCTTCTTCCTCTTTTTTCCCTTCCCTTTATCTCGTCTTTTCCGTTTTATTTCCCTTTCCTTCCTTCTCTCTTATTTTATTGATGGGGGGGGGGGGAATGCCCTTTCGGCTCCCGATCTCCTTCTTCCCCCTTCTTTTCTTCTTCCTTTTCTTTCTTTCCCTTTCGCTCCTCTTTCCCTTTTCCTCCCCTTCTTTTTCTTCTCTCTCTCTCTCTCTCTCTTTGCGGGGGCGGGGGGGGGGGGGGGGGAGGGAAGGCCCGCCCGGCCCCCTGGATCCGCGCCTGAGCAAAGTATAAGCCCACTTCCTCAGAAGGTAGACATCATTCTGCATACACCAAGGCCAGTGAACCAACCTGGCTAAGAGGAAAGGTGATCTCCACAATCTCTTTTTAAATGTATATCATAGAGTTAGAATATGGTAGACAAGTACGTTGCTACGTGGACCATATGAGACACTTTACTCTAGCAAGAGAAGCCTAGTTACAGCCGTCAATCGATAATAAGTGAGTAATCAACAGCCTATAGTCCACAGAGGCTCAGCCAGATCAAGCACAGCATTCAAGCCAAAAAGAAACGCACCCAGCAATTGGATCTTGTACGATGGGGAACCGTTGCCTTGATGCTGAACACTCTAACGTTGATACTGAAACAGCTGCCGACCCTGCTCAAACAGGGCCCTGTTTCATAAAACTTGTTATCAATAACAAGTTACAAGCTACTGTTATAAGCTACTGAAATCAGGCATCTGATTGGCTGAGAGCAAACTTGATATCAATAACAAGTTACAAGCTACTGTTATAAGCTACTGAAATCAAGGCATCTGATAGGCTGAGAGCAAATTTGTCATAGAAATTTAGCATTTGTTATTGATAAAAAGTTTTATGAAACGGGCCCCAGAGCCACTCAGTAGCTCTAGAAGTGATGTTGCCCTGGATTGCCAGACCCTGATCATTTCCTGTCGGGAAGGGGAGTTTCGAACAGACAAACACAGACATTTCCTGATTTTATTGTGTACAGATATATGTTAAATATAAAGACACAGAGACTTGTAAGTGTTTGCTTTGTTGCAGACATGTGCAGTTTATTGATTTTATCATCATTATAAATCCGAATAGGTTTATAAGGTTCATGTTTATTGTCCATTTAACAATGGAAATTCGTTGTGTTACACTCTAAGAAAAAAGGGTGCAAAAAGGGTGCAAAATAAGAGTTTGCACCCTTTACATAAAAATGAACCCTATTAAAGGAAAAGGTGTTCAAGAAAGGGTGCAATATAAGATTTTGCACCCTTCCCACAAAAATGAACCCTAACGACTAAAAAAGGGTGCAAAATAAAAGTTTGCATATTGCATGCATATTCATGATCTCTGTCCACGTGTTCACTTAAAAATACATTTATCATATGATTTGTTAAACAAATTATGACAATGCACATCAATTTTGTGATTTGTATTTTCCTTCGGCAATCATTAACCAATAGATTATTTTTTCTGATCATGTTACAATTACATTCACGTTTTAGCAATATATATATTGATTATATGATTACTAACCAAGAAACATCATGTATGTTTAATATGTATTTGTGTACGAGCAAATGTCACGAGTATTCCTCGATGATGGGTGCAGGATTGCACCTTTTAAAGGGTGCAGGGTTGAACCCCTTAAGGTGCTGCTATTGAATCGGTTTGCAACCCTAAAGGAGCAGGATTGAACCATTAAGGGTACCTACGTCCCCTTAAAAAGGGTGCAGGATTTAACCCCTAAAGGTGCTGCTATTGTTTCATCGGTTTGAATCCCTAAAGGTGCAGGATTGAACCATAAAGGGTACCCATGTCCCCTAAAAGGTTCAATCAGGCACCCTTTTAAAGGGTGCAGGATTGCACCTTTAAAAAGGGTGCAGGATTTAACCCCTTAAGGTGCTGCTATTGTTGCATCGGTTTGAATCCCTAAAGGTGTATAGTTGCACCATTTTTTCTTAGTGTGTACATGGTATTACGAAACACATATTTATATAAGATATACACTCATACAAAAATTCAATAAAATATTTTTGAGTGAACAGAAAACAAAAACATAGCAATTAACAATCAAAGATATAGTCATGCATCGAAAATAATATACATGTTTAACACGAGAGGTGGAATGAGGAAAAGTTTTTACAATAATGTACCGGGGGTATTGCATTATTATAATTGCTTTATTGTTATTATCGTCAGTAATACCATCATCATTATATTATTATCATTAATCAGGCCTGATAATTACCCGATTTCGTTTTATTTTCCCGTTTTTTTCTCTTTTTTTTTAAATTTCATTTCCCCCTGATTTTTACCCCTATCTTCCCGTTTTCTTCTTATTTACCCGAGTTTTCTTATTTTTTCTTTTTTCTCAATTTTCTTATTTAAAGGGGGGGGGGTATATGATGTTAGATGCCATTTTGTTTTACTCCCCGAATCCTTTTTGTTTTTCCTCAAGGGGGGGGGGGGTAGTTGAGGAAAAACACTTTTTTTTTTTCTTTTAGTGCTCACTATCACCCCTGATTATTGTATAAATATTACTATTGTTATGTAAAGGTATCATTTTTTTTTAATTTCCCTATATATTACCTGCTCATTTAATATTCGTATAGAGCTAGGTACAAATGAGTTTTAGAGCGGATTTGTCCGACAGCTAGCTGATCTCAAACATAGTTTTCGTTCAAGGGATGCTGATTATTCATTAGGATGGATTTTGCTTTTTCTACTTTCCTATTTCGGCATAGATCTCTAAGGTTTAATTCTCGTCTTATTATCTTCTCCACCTGTCTGATGATTTTAATCAACATGGGGAAGTCTCTTTTACGACAATACATGTACCATACTACACAATCAAACGCGATGATACTTTCAATTGCTGATTTGTAGAACAACACCATTTTGGTGCGATCGACATAGAATGTTTTCAATTTTTTAAGAAAAAGAAAATAACATGTGTACACAAAAGAAATGTACCTATAAGTGATTCTTTTAAAGGAATGATAGTAACACATCTACACATGCATCATTTGTGTTAGTAATGATGACAAATTACAAAGATTGGTAATATGCATTATCAAGTTTATACCAAAGGAACGAAAGTCTAAATTTAATTATTTGGTTCAAAATGACAAGATAGCTCATATTATCAGCTCAATTATGACTATTGTTTTAAACGTCAGTCTTATTTGCCTATTTGCATAAGTTATTTCAGGTTTATATTTCATCCATGTGTTTTAAAATTGTATGAAAAGATGAATGATTACAATTTCATAAACATGTGTCATTCTCTAGCTTGTAAGTTTAACAATGGTTCAATTAAAACCCAGACAGTGTTGATTAGGAATTATATATACATCAAAACAAAATCCGTCAAATGTTGAAATATAGATAAAATCTATTAAAGATATGCATCTATAATTTGTAACACTAAAATTCGAAGATGCTCTCCGACTATGCATATATTGACAAGTGACAAAAAGTAATACCATACATTTTATACATCTTTTTTTTTTACAACAAATTAATGTTTACCTAAAAAAAAAATCCATGAGGGAATTAGTCTTTTTCCTTCTACAATTTAAAATATTTGTATCGGATGTGACTACTAAAATCTATGTTGCTACTAAAACAGAGAGACAAAATGGTTGGTTTATCATGTCATATTCAAAAGTCCATTTGTTTAGTGGATGATAAAACTGACAATAACTTAATGGCTAATCATTATTCAATGCCTGTAACTTTGATTTAAGTAATTCTCTCTGACTATTGGATACTTAATTTCTATAAATATCTTTAACTATGATATGTACACAGATAAGGCACTATCATATTATCCCCATGACCCTAGTCCCCAGTCAAAGTACATATAACAGAAGCACGCATGGAGGTTCACGATATAAATTGGTATTTACATCGCACACATACACATACACAAAGTCTATCCTGAATAAAAAAAATAGATTTTAAAGAACAAAACAAAATAAACAAACAACAAAATAAAAGAAAAGAGCAAGAGAGAGAGAGAGAAAAAAAATGAGTTAGAAAGGAGGAAATGAGGTAATATCATTATTCTATTTATTTATTCCACATTTCAGAATACATCATCACACATCCAAACAACATTCAGCACAAGATGGCTGCCATGGGCTGTTCGTACTCAAGGGTAAGTGTCGACCATCTGCAGATATCTGGAAAGATCACTAAAAGACAGTGTTTGCTCAAAGCCAGAACAGTGTTACTTTATATCAATCTACATAAAGGTGGTATGCCCACAATTTTTTACAAGAATTTGAGTTTCGAATACAAATCTTATAGACAATCTTGAACACACAAATGACGTTTACTGTGCTTCATATAGGTATTGAAGTATAAACATTGGCAGTGTGGAATGGTGGAGAGGGGGCCGGGTGTAAGAAGCAAACACATCACAGCTGAAGGAGGGGGGGTCATACAATTAGGGTTTCCTTCTTTTGGTTGGAGGAGCCTCTGGCACAGAGGGTGCTGACCGTCTTGTCGTTCCTCTGGACGTGGAATGCCCACTTGAGTTGGAAGATGTGATGGACATTGGAATAGGAGAATGATCTGTGCTTGAAGCTTCAGCCGATTCTATGATCGAGGACGAATGGGTAGAGACAATAGAGACACAGAAATAATAACAATATTCACCAAGTCTATAAACCAATGATAAGCCACGTTAACTGATCAATACAATGACTTAGCATGGTTAGCTATATTCCCTGCTTAGCATTGACTAGAGCAAATGTACTTACAAAATAAAAATGTTCACTGAATGTTTTACTTAAATGTTCTAAATTGATGCATTGACAAAATTGGGTTTTAAATACTTTGAGACCACACCGGTCATGCTGGAAGAAAGATCTGCGACTTTTATTCATGTAGTTTCACATGTGTGACAACAAACCTCCTCAAAACATCAACGATTTACAATCTTCCAATAAATTTTTCCATTAAATGGTGAAAAAATTCGGTTCTAGTAAATTACGTAAATGTGACACTAAACTTTAACCATGTGACGTGTGACTGTTGCCACTTCCACAGTTAAGTGTATGAGCAAGTACTTGGCGCGCTCAGTTCCAGAAATTCCAAGCAAGCGCAGAAGTTCTGTTCCACCTTCATCACTTTCCGTGTGATTATTAAAAAAAGTACTAATTTGAATCTATTGAACAAATCTATGAACATTTTTGGTCCTTTATGACAAAATAATGATTACAATAATAATAAATGTTGATATAGCGCATTTATCCATCACACAATGTGCTCAAGGTGTTCCAAAAATTACCCCGGCTCTGCTACCGTTTTTGATGCTCCCAGTATCCAAGGAAATATTTCCTATCGGTAGGCATTTAACACCTAGGTGGAGAGTGGCAAATGTAGATTAACAGATTGCCAAAGGACATCAGTGCTGCTGCGGGATGTGAACCACGGACCGCGTGATCGACAGTCCGACGACGTATCCACTAGACTACGACACCTCTACTGCTGAAATTCCAGAAGACATGCACCAACTACGAACTGATCTACTGATGTCAATTCTGAAATATTCGGACTTACTTATTTTCTCGTTGATGAGGGCAAGCTGTTCCTCATCCTCCTGGCAATCCCGTTGCTTGGTAACCATATCCCCTGATCTCAGGGCTGCCTCCTGGTCATTGTATTCGACTTGAATCAGCTCACGACTCTCCATGGCATGCATGATCTGCTCCAGGATTTCTGTATCATATTAAGAGCAAAATTGTAAATTTGCTCATGATTCAAAATTTCCAAAGGATATTTTATGCAGTTGATACTTTATCTGAATCTGATTGAAATTCTGAATTAATTTGCAATAAAATCTTTAAGAGCTATAGGGAAATGGCCACATAACGAGTACTAGAGTTGCGTTATAAGTCCTGTAAAATAATGGAAAAACATACATGCAGATATACAATATTTTCTGAAAGGTTTTAGGCTCAAAATTAGTCTTATCCTGTGTTTCAACTGTCTAGGAAAAGGATTTTGCAAGTCAACATGCCTGGGCCCGTCTTATCAAAGAGTTGCAACTGATCCACAATGATTACAAATCCTCCAATTAAGCAATCACAACGTTGACATTGCCTCTCATAATTATACAGTGTCACAAATGATTAAGAACCCAAATGTAGTTTGAAAATCAATTAGGATAAATTTTATCTCTCAAAGGCATCGGCCTAAGCCCTGTTAGACAGGTGATCTTGTCAAAAAGACAATTAATCGATCAGTTGAGACTGTACACTCTAGCTCTCTATGAGGACTCACCCATCTGCTTCTCCAGTGATTTTAACTGTGTGGGAGGAGGTTCACCAAAGACGCGTCCCCGAAGGTCTAACGGACAATGGTTCTCAAGTCCTCCGAACTTTCCGTTGGCACGAATACAGTCGCCTTCGCGAGTGAGGAGCGTGGGGCAGGGGATGTAATTCACAATCTGAAGAGAGAGAAGACAGAGAACCTTATGGTATGAAACATGGTTTACACTTTGAGATCCATAACAATTTTTGATCTTCATTCAAATAAACATGTATTTAGCTACATATATTGCATGCATGTTTGATGCAGCTAGGATTTACAGAAAATATACACTGTTGGTCAAAAAGGTGGAATAATTGTTTTTTACTCCAATTTATGGAATGATTTTGACAACAATTTATTCCTAATAGATCTAGAAAATAATATACATTCTTATATAATTTTCATGTACGTACATGTACGTTCATAAGTCATAACTGACAGTAATGCGGATTAATGCCTCACAAAAGGGCACTAATATAGCTGATCGACACGGTTTCGATCCTGGGGCCTCTCAGAAATAAGGCCATTGCTAAGCCATTGAATCATGACTGTACGCAGCGGGGGCTAGGGTGCGGGGCTGCCCCCACAAATACAAAAAAACAAAGAAAATGCAATAAATTATCAAAATATGATTGTATTTTCCCCCGGTCCCCAACAGGAAAAAATCCTCTGTAGGGCCATGCATTATGGTTCAAGGCATGGCCATACAGAGGATTTTTTTTTTTTTTTTTTTTTTTTTTTTGGGGGGGGGGGGGGGTCGGGGCAAAATACAATGAATTATTGATAGTTTATTGCATTTTTTTACCCTAGCCCCCGCTGCGTACAGTCATGATTCAGTGGCTAAGCAATGGCCTCGTTACTGTGAGGCCCTAGGACCAAGACCGTGCCGATGTGATGCATTTGTCCTCATTACTGTCAGTTTTAATTTAAGGACGTAGGTCCCCTAGTTGATTAGCATAGTAGCACACACAATCTTTAGCAGTTACGCAAAACAAACACTCACAAATTATTATTTAATAAAATCTGAGAATGTATACTATTGTCTAGATCTGTTAGGAATAAATCATTGTCAAAATCATTCCATAAATTGAGGTAAAAATAATTATTCCACCTTTATGACCAAGTCGGACAGTGTATATAGTAATTAATTACTCTTATTCTTAAGCATTTCAAAGCAAAGTCAGTATCATTTTTTGCACTGGAATAAGGTGACGTAGGACAATTTTTTACAGTGATATCTTCAGAAATAACAGGCATTTACTGTTTTATTCTTGCAATGTGATGAGATTCCTTAGCCTACTGTCATACCACCCTAAACACGATCAAAAACATCAGAATGAAGAATAAAACATCCCTAAACACTTACTGACTGTCTGTATGCTTTTGCGTCTATCAGTGTATCTAAGAGTACGGTATCGTGTAGCAAGAGACTGAAGGCTGTACAAAAAAAATAGGAAATATATAAATTGCATTGTAAAAAAAAATGATTAAACAATTGTCATGGTATATGAAGACACAGCTGCTTTAAACCCATCTCTACGTTAAAGCTCCATAAAAAAAAAATTGACTTCTATGACACATGCTTGGGGGACAATTACTCTGCAGGCGATTACTATTTTGTCAAATTCCGAACTTAAACCAAAATTTGCTAAACCTCTCAGTCATTTGAGGTACACGTAAATGTCATTCAGTTACCCTAACCCCTGAAGTATGAAATAGGCTCTGCTACTGCTATCACTACAATAAATGCAACTGTCAATACTACTTCTACTAGTTCAAGAATAATACACTCGGCATCCATCTATCTCTAGGACTGGGTTGGTGGAGGAGGAGGCAAATGCATTAATCAAGGTATTATATTCTGTTTTGTGCACAGTTAATGCTTACATTATTGCAATGTCCCTGCTATTGAAACTATCATAATATCTTTTTGGAAAGAGATTTCTTTTCATAGAATAGACCATCTATTGTGATCTCTACTCACCTATCCTACAATAGGCTTCATGACCTGTGAACCTTAAAAGGTGCCTTGCATACACAGGGTTGCCTGATGGGGTTCGACGATGCTGGGTGGGTACTCCCATGTGCGGTAGAGGCCTGTCCAAAAACACAAAAAGTAAGTTAACCAAAAAAGTTTAAAAGAAATACTTTGGGGAGTAAAAGCTTGTTCACATGACGTTGTGAACCACGTTTAAAAGAAAATCTGCTGCATATTTTTAAACGTTTATATAAATGTAATTGCGCGCAATAAATGTACTATGCATATTTACTTAGCCATGTTATAAAATACATAAAAGTGAAGCTTATCAAACCTTTTATAGTCATAAATATATCTACAAAGGTTTTGCCGCATCATATCTGAATGCGCGATATGAAAGGTCAGCGCGGGAACAATATTAAGACATTTTCCCCAGAGAGGATTGTTCAGAATTGGATCTACAGCCTTGGCCTAAAGCACGTAAAACAGAAAACCTTTCCAACGGATTTTTTACTATTAAGAAACTTATTTGTTACACTTAAGTAAATTGATAGAAATAGATTTATTTCTTATTGCTACATTTGGGATATTATTATATTGTTGTTATTAAGCCTCGTTCAAATATGAGACGGTTAACGGTGACTTTAAACAAACTTATGTAAATGTCATACTCTTCATATTTTTTGCAGTGGTCTACCGCGTCATATCTTAACAAGCCTTAACAATTCAGATCCCATCAAAAACAAGCTCATACAGAGTTCGGGGAGGATATATCCACTACAGCATATGGGTAAGCATGCATAATTACACCAGGTAACTTTAAAACAAAAAGGCTAATAAAAGTAATAGCATAGATGATACGGAATGAGGGTATGTTTTACCTGTCTATCTACCAATGAGATGACTATCTTTACAAATATTAATTATAATTTGTATTATACATACAAATCAAACCCTTCTTCATTCTTGCAATATTGGAGAAACTAAAATGAGAATTGAAGGCTGGTTTGCACACTCACTTGTCCCACTCAGTCATCAGGTCCTTTTTGTGGATTGACTCAATGGAGAGAACCTGTTGACGCCCTCCTGTGTTTTCAAAGACCTCTTCAGCCTTGGCGTCTGTGGTGGTGAGGACGCAGTTCATATCAAAGGACATATGCCATGATAACACAAAGGCAACATTCTCTTCTTCTACCTCAACCAGGTGTGCTACCTGTGGAGTATGGGAGAGTTAATAACAGTTAAATAAACATGTGGGACTATATACTGATAATTAGAGACATGTAACATCAAACTTTATTTTGATCAAGCTTTCTTCTTGCTACCAAGACATGAATAATGGACTTTCAAGCAATTTCATCCTTCAAAAAACGCAAGTTATCACTTTTCCATTTCACTACTAAACAGTTACTGAACATTCATAATACAAGTAAATAGGCTAATATAAATGAAAAAAAGGTAAAAGACTAACATCAGAAACTACACATTGGTAAATAAATGCTAATTTGCTTACCTTTCCAAGTATTTCACCATCCCGTGTCTCGTATGGCGGCATCCCGCATTTCCTTCTTGGTCTCTCTTCAATTTTTTTTTTAGTAGATGTCATTAATTCTTCCACTCCTTTTCTCTTCAACATGAAACAGAAGCAAACTGACATAAGTTTCTTATTCCTCTAAATGACATAAGTTTCTTATTCCTCTAAATCTGACATGAACTACTCATTTTATTAAGTTTTCTGTTGTATGAAGAAGATTTGCTTTATTCAAGTGGCCATCTACATATATCTATGCTTTCAATCCCCTTCCAACTTTCTTTGCATTATAATTATTACCACTTCAATTTATTTCAATTCTTCCACCTGCCCATTTTGAAATTTGCTATATTTCAAAATGTGCAAAAGACATTTTTTTGAAAATGTCTAATACATACAATGTAGCTGAGTAGCACGCACACACATTAAGATATTAGTAATAAGACGTGAGCAGAGCGTTCATTCTCCACAAGGGTGTGTAATTTCCCCCATTTTGTTTTTAATATACACAAGTGAATGTAAAATTTCATAATCCAATTGTATTTAATCAAATATGCAGATGATACTGTCATAAGTGGATTTCTACTGAATGATACTTGGGTTAATTTTGAGCAAGTCAAACAGTTTGTTGACTGGTGCGATAGTCGTCATTCGGTCCTGAATGTAAAGAAAATCAAGACAATTTTTTTTTTTTAATTCCGCCGCGTCGCGCCGTTCACCCCAACCCCAATTACATGAATCTTTGGTTATCCATGATCATTGTATTGAACAGGTTTTAGAACATAAATACTTTGGAACAGTTGTTCACAAGAAGCTAAATTGAAGGAAAAAACTCACAGATTATAGTTAGTAAAGCAAACCAAAGATTGTACTTTCTGAGGAAACTAAAGGAGTTCAGAGTTGATAACAGCATTCTAGTTCTCTTCTACCAGTCGCTCATTCAAAGTATTCTTACATTCAACTTTCTGTGCATGTATGGAATTCTCTCAAAGCAAAACACCTAAAAGCTAGAAAAACCAAGGAAAATTTCTCAACGAGTAATCCAAAAAGACCTCCCCCCCCCCCATCAGTACGCTAGATGAGAAATGCATGACTTCTAAAAGTTCACAATAATGTGCATGACCCCACCCACACCCTTCACTCCTGTTTCAATTACAATCTTTCTGGCATTTGTCTATCATCTTACTCTGCTATCTACTCTTCTTTAGCGCCTGATTTTATACCTTTGTAGTAATGTATTCAAATTTGTTTGTAAATCTAATTGATGATATTGTTGTGTGCATATTCTTGTATTTTTATGCTAGTTATTGTTATCTTATGCCAGTGGAGGTCAACAAAATTTTTGTTTAACGTGGACAATAACATTTGAATCTTGAATCTTGGAGTGCAATAATTCAGTCTTATGATACCAGTTGTGGGAAGAAAATGTTGCGAATTCTTTAATGGTAATTCCTGCCTGTGAAGTACATTGTGTTCTCACCGTTGCTATCTGTGCATCCTGGACTCCAAATAGTTTCAACTCTTTTTGTAACTCGAGCTCATTCTTTGCAGCATCCTTAACAGATTCTGTCCAAAAAACAAACAAAAATTGAATGAAACGCTAAATACGCAATTCCCTACGAGTACATTTAAAAAACAACGACACATATCACAAATGAGGTACACAACACTTCTTAAATTTTTTTAAAATTCTTATTGTAAGAAAAGTATGTAAACAAAATAACTTTGTTTCCAAATTAAGTGCACGCATACAAACTAAGAAATTGTTTGATAATGGAAAGTTCCATTCAAGTTTTGCAAACGATTGTCCCATAATAGATTAACAGAATAACACATTTCTTAACTTGTTAATATCGGATGAATACATATACAATGAGAGAGGGAGAGGGGTAATGGTCTGTTGGTTGTTTTTTTTTTTTTTTTTTTTTTTTTTGGGGGGGGGGGACTCTTTCCTGTGGTGGTTATTCAGAGGCGATAGTTCTGGAGGAAGGAGTGGTTATCATTTTTATACGGAGAAAAAATGGCTATATTGCAGTAAGCAAAAGGTCTGGATGAAGCTTTTCTTTAATCCTTGTGCTTTTCATTTCCTCTCTCCACAGAATCACATCTGGGCCCTGTTTCATAAAACTTTTTATCAATGACAAATGCTAAATTGCTATGACAAATTTGCTCTCAGCCAATCAGATGCCACGATTTCAGTAGCTTATAACAGTAGCTTGTAACTTGTTATTGATACCAAGTTTTATGAAACAGGGCCCTGATCCGCCTCCCTCGAATCTCTTGAAAATATCCTAGACATGCTCCTGTGAGCCGTTACCTTCGAGCATCTGTAGATGCTGCTGTTCCTTTTTAAACAGCTCTTTGTGCGCCTTGATAGAAGCAGTGAGTGTGTCTCTCTCCTTCAACAGCTGAGACATCTCCTGCTGCTTCGCGGGATCTGGGTACAGGAATAGAAATTTAATTTCATGGATTAAACATCCAAGAATTTTTTTTTTTTTTTAAATCACAAATCAGAAGAAAATCAGTAAGAAATGCCTTACTTTGTATCACGAGCACAATATTTTACATTCCTAAAATCAAAACAATACTTTTGGGGGAGGGGTGGCATTTTCATCCCAAGAGGAGTACAATTTATAAATCATAAACCATCATAACACATAAACAGTTAACACATGTTACCACTGTAGGAGCCAACATTAAAAAAATAAAAAATACCATTTTCTGGTGTGTGATTAAGTATCAAATGTTGTGTGAAAGGTTAAAACTTGTGGAAAACTCGATCACAAAGAAAACCTTTCAGTTTTCCCTAAATCTGTACTAACAAAAATGCTAGTATTACTACTACTACTATGATTTCTACTTTAGAAAGTATAAGTAGTAGTAGTATTACATGGTTTCATATAATAATGAATATATTAATTGAATGATAAATGTAAAGGTCTTTGCTTTAATAGATCCCTTGCAGGGTACTATTTCCTTGAGCAAGGCATTTTATCTACATTGCTCCTCTCCACCCAGGTTTGAATTGGGTACCTGGTAGGATGCGAATGTCATTTTGGTTGGATTAGCATTTGCAAGAAGGTGACTAGCTAGAGTGCTCCCCAGGGACTGGAGATTGTGCACTGTAATGTGCACCATAATCATGACCGGGATAATATAACAATGAAAGCAATTTGGTCAGGTAATGGAGACGCGCTATATAAGAAGCAACGGCAAAGGCACGTGTTGTCATATTCGTGTTGTGCTTACCATTACAAAACAGAAATGGCTGAATGTACGGCTTCACTTCAGGTCCCTTGCTCTTCAATGAGAAGTGTAAATTGTACTCACTTCCATCATGTCCTGGCGAATTCTCTTGAATTGAGATGTTCTAAAATGAAATAAACTAATTTCTAGTCAACGAATTCTTTTCCTTGAAGTATATTCTATCAGTAAATTTCAACTATTTCATGACCAAACCTCTAAAACTTAATTCATCAAACATATTGTTTACTTGTTTGTAATTATCATTTGTTGGCAACTTTCTAGGGGAGAGGAAGGACTTGGAGGGGAAGGAAGGGGGAGGAAGGGGAGGGGGTGGAAGGAGAAATAAATGATTGGAAGGGGGAAGTAAGGGGTGGGAAAGGAAGCGGGGAGGGGATGAGGAAGGAAGATAAGGGGAGAGGGGAGAGAACAGGAGGAGCAGAAGGAGGGGAGGAAGGGAAGGGAGAGAGAAAAAGAAAGAGAAGGGAGAAGAGGGAGGGGAATGGGGAAGTGGATGGGTGGAGAAATTAGGGAGAGAAATGAATTGTACGAGACTGACCTGTATGAAGCAAATGCCTTTATTCAACGGGAACTGCATCATACTCTTATTGCCCTGGAGTTTAGGCAGCTCAGCTCCATTGTTGCCTTTCACATGAACTTCAATGTTATCCGTCAAATCTTTGCCGGTCACATTCCCAAAGTCATCCTACAAGTACCATCAAACAAAGTGGTTAACATCCAATTGTTCTTTGGATGATTTGCTTGCCAATTTCAAATAAACTTATTGACAAAGGAAGTCTAGAGATCAAAGAAGGTGAAGGTTAAATATTTATAATGATATAAATTAGTTTCACGCAACTAGCTTGTTATCCTCAGGGGAACGATCCCCCTCCAAGGGACTTGGTAGTGAGAATGTATTACCAAAGGGCTGAAGCACACGTACATTGACTTAGTTTTGAACCCGGGCCCTCCCGGTTGTGAGACAACTGCTATATATACTACTGAGCCATTGCACCTCCTCATGTGTTAAAAAATCCAAATAGGCCAACAAACAAAAACAGCAAAATGCCTAAAACAGACACGCGTACCTGGGCCAGTATTCACTTCGATACTTAGAATAAGTAAGACATTTACTAAGTAAATTGCTTTAATAGCTAAGAACTTTTCTTATCTCGTATTTAAATCACATTTTAGACTTTTGCATACGTAAGACAACATCTAAGTAGAATACTTTCTGATAAGTATTGCGACATCAAACGGTCAATCAAAAGTAATGCGCAATCAACGCGTCGCAATTTATTTATTATTTATTATTTATTCGGCAATTCACAACAAATATAACAATATAAATATAGGTAAACAAACATTTAGAGAATGTCAATTATAAATGCACAATCTTCCTGGAGGTCCTCTGAGTGCATCAGTTGGCTGCCGGAGAAGAGGAAAGCAAACTAAATCACTGTAACCGTAATGGTCCCTCTTCCCGACCAACTGGTGCACCCAGAAGACCTGCAAAATATGGCATGAAGGTAATTAAAATGTATAACATTTCATAAACAAAGCAGCTAACAAAAACAAAGCACGAGGAGGAAATCAAATTTATATACTGAACATTAACATGAGGAATTAAGTCTGGCTTAAAAACTATTTCATAAAATGTCTAGAGTAGGTAAACTGAAACCATGAAGTTTAAAACTGACAAAAGAACAATAAAATAATGCGCGCTAATATAATTGTTATGATTCATTGTTATGATATTGCGTTAGAAAACCATATGCCTGCCATCGCAATCAAGGTCTTCACATAATTGGCTTAAGTCTGGTAGGGAGCTGTCTTTAATTTAGGGGAAAATACTTGGCCAAAAGCTTGAACTGAATACCAAAATTGGCTAAGTATTTTATCTAAGCCGAAGACTAAGTAAAATACTCATATTTCAAGCTTGAGTATGGAATTGAATACGGGCCAAGGGCTTGAAATCTGACAAAATCTTTTTTGTTATTACATCCATGTTTAACCCATTCGATTTAATTTTGATATAACACACAGTTTCAATTGACACCAGCCCATTTTCAATGAGTTACCCCCAAATATGGGGCAGCTTGGTCAGAAGAAAGAAGATACTTACCACAAGCTGTAGCCTGAGCGCTTCGCTGAGAGTCCTGCTATGTGCTTGAGGTGTATTGCATACAGTTGGAGTTGGTGGGGCTATATCTGGGATCAGTTTCACTGGTGGACCAGGCTGGATATCAAACCCGATCTGAATGGGTTCAAGAAAAACCACGGAAAAAACACACTCACAAATACGAACAGAGGTATTGAGGATGGGGAACATCTTGTGTGATCTCTACAAGTCTATTGCTTTATAGACCGAGATGCCACTTTAATCGAAAGCCCCATTATAGGGGTTTATACAAAAGACATATAACTTTGCTGGAATTGAGCATTGATAACAACTTGAACGAGGGATGAAGGGATGGGGGGTCTAATTTGAGATACTCTGTACGAGCGAAACCGATGACTGCCGCACAACAACCCTGATCTGAGGAATTTGGTTAGTGTAGGAAATTCTCTGTGGAACAATTGCTGCCAGTGCATGTGTCTAGTAACCTACCTTGGTGGGGTTACCCTTCAATACACCCCTTCCTCCCTATCCTTTCCCCTACTCACCGGTTCAGAGTAGAGCATCTGTTGACAGGCGCGGATCCAGGGGGGGGGGCCGAGCGTGCCTTGGCCCCCCCCCCCCCCCCCCGCAAAAAAAAAAAAAAAAAAAAGGAGAGAGAGAGAAGGAAAAGAAGGAGAGAAAGGGAAAAAGAAGAGGAAGAAGAAAAGAAAAGAGGGAAAAGGCGATTGGGGGGAAGGACTTGCCTCCCCCTTCCCCCCCCCCCCCCCCAATAAAAAAATAAAAGAGAAGGAAGGAAAGGGAAAGAAAAAATAGGAAGAAGAAAAGAAAAGAAAGAAGGGGGATATCATTTGCAATTTTCCCGCCAACAAGTTGTGGATCGAGGGGGGGGGGGGCAAAAGACCCTAGCCTCCCCCCCCCCCCCCCGTCCCCGCTAAAAAAAGAGAGAAGGAAGGAAAAGGAAAAGAGGAGAGCTAAAAGGGAACAAAAAGAGGAAGAAAAAAAGAAAAGGGAGAAAAGAAGCGGAGATCAGTTGCGGTTAATCCCGCCAACAATGTGTGGAGCGGGTTGGGGACCAAAATGACCTTGCCCCTCCCCCCCCCCCCCCCCAGCAAACCTAAAAGAGAGATAAGGAAGGGAAGGGAAATTGAAAGAGGAGAGAAAGGGAAAGGAAAAAAAAGAGAATGAAGAAAGGTAAGGGATATCAGTTGCAATTTTCCCGCCAACAAGGTGTAGATCGGAGGGGGGGGGGGGGGGGGCACTGGCATACTGATAGGGGAGGGGGGGGGGGGGGTTGGAGAAGTAAAATTCAAACGTGGTTTATTTATAATTCCATAACGGTTGTTAACAGATAATGCTGAAATGAGATAATTTTCCTCACTTCATGCGTTTGTTGGAAAATGACAAATTCCTAAATTTACAGCCAGGCAAGAAAATGCTTCTTGAGGTGCCTACATATCAGGGCCCGCGGAGCAGCGGGAATCGGGATCCTCGAGCCCCTCCCCCACACTTTCTTTGAAAAAGTATATTAAAGAGAAATAGAAAGAAAGAGAGCGAGAAAGAAAAAATAGTTAACTGCCAGTGTCACATTATTATGGGGTATCAAAATATGCTCATCTGACCATGATTAAAATTAATGCCTAAAATCCTAAGGGCTCTGCCCCCTGGATTCCACCTAGGGCCCTAAGGCGGGCCCTTAGATGCTCATATGACGGTCATTTAATGCCTTAAACCCTGATTTCTGGGGGTTCTGCCCCCTGGACCCCACGCCAAATAGTGTTCTGCTAGTGTCACAAATAATAAGGTATCAAAAATGCTCATCTGACCGTAATTAAACGCCTAAAACCCCTGAGCTTCTGGGGGCTCTGCCCCTGGACCCAACCAAGAGCCCTTAGGCGGGCCCCTCGATACTCATCTGACCGTAATTGAGTGCCTAAAACCCTTGAGATTCCGGGGCTCCGCCCCCTGAACCCCAAGCCAATTAGTGACCTGAGATTGTAACAATTAGGTATCAAAATAATGCTCATCTGACCGTAATTAAATGCCTAAACTCCTGAACTTCCGGGGCTCTGCCCCCTGGACCCCGTCTAGGGCGCTAAGGCGGACCCCTGAATGCTAATCTGACCGTAAATTAAAACCTTAAACCCCTGAGCTTCCGGGGCGGACAAGGTATCAACATAATGTTCATCTGACAGCAGGCGCGTAGCCAGGGGGGGGCGGTGGGGTGGTCCCCCCATAAACGCCGGCCAAAAAAGAGAGGAGTGTAAAGGAAGAGAACGTAGGAAGAAAATGGAATAGACAAAGAACATATTTGAAATTCAGACAAGGATTAAAAGTCGAGAACGGTACAACGAATCGTCTTCTTTCTCTAATGAATTAATGAAACGTCAAAGCTTCCGCCCTACGCGCGGGGGAGGACAGGGGGAACTTAATTCAGACGAGGATAATTTTCGGGTACGGTACAACGAATCGTCTTCTTTCTATAATAATTTAATGAAACGTCGAAGCTTCCGCGCTTCGGGCGAAAGGGGGGGGGAATTGATTTGGACATGGATTAAGAGTCAAGAACGGTACGACGAATCTTCCTCTTTCTCTAATGATTTAATGAAAAGTAAAAGCTTCCGCGCTTTGCGCGGGTGGGGGAAACTAAATTATTTTCGAGAGCGGAACAACGAATCGTCTTCATTCTCTAAAAATTTAATGAAACGTCGAAGCAGGGGGAAAACTGAATTTAGACAAGGATTAAGAGTCGAGAACGGTACAACGAAACGTCTTCTTTCTTTAATGATTTAATGAAACGTAAAAGCTTCCGCGCTTCGCGTGGGAGGGAGGGGGAACTGAATTTAGACAAGGATTAAAAGTCATAACGGTACAACGAATCGTCTTATTTCGCTAATGATTTAATGAGACGTAAAAGCTGTATTCAGACGAGCATTATTTTCGAGAACGGTACAACGAATCGTCTTCTTTCTCTAATGATTTAATGAAACGTAAAAGCTTCCGAGCTTTGCGCGGGAGAGGGGGATGAATTAAGACGAGGATTAAGAGTAAAAAACTGTACAACGAATCGTCTTCTTTTTCTAATAATTTAATAAAACGTAAAAGCTTCCGCGCTTCGCGCGGGAGGGGAAAAACTATTTTCAGACGAGTAGGCACGTACGGAAGGGGGGGAGGGGGTTAGGGGGTTGACCCTCCCCCCTTCGGTTTTTTATTTGTGTATTTTGGAGCAAACCCCCCCCCCCCCCTTTCTGTGATTTTTTTTTTTTTTTTTTTTTTTAATTTAAAAAAAAAAAAAAAAAAAATATGCCAATGGCTGACCTAAAAAAGGTGACCTCACCCCCTCCCAACGGAACAAAATGTCAAATTTTCAAATCTCGAGACCAAAAAAAAAAAAGTGTCCTCTCCCCCCCCCCCCCCCCCCCCCCCCCCCCCCCCGTTTATTTAGCGGCTGGCTGAGTCGTTACGATTTTTTTTCGGACCAAAAAAAAAAAGTGGGCCCCCCCCCCTAAGAAATCCTGGATCCGCGCCTGTCTGTTGATCCACGGAAGCTTGAAAGATTATCGAGTGCATGCGTGCCTCTTCGGGTAGTTTTCGTTTTCTACAAAGTAAAAACAATTGATGGAGGTACTACCTTATCATTATCTATAAAAATTCTTAATTTTCAGTTATTGTTTGGTGGTATGGGAGAGATGTGTACACCTCTAAGGCTACTTTTCATTACCTTCACATAATTTATCACTTATTCTTTTTTAAGGGGATAATTCAGCTTTTAATAAAGTTTTTCCCTCAGATTTACATTCAAATTGTGGTCCAAAATGCTTTAATATATTGATGTAAAATGATATATAGATAATAATTGATATAAAACAAATATATGTATAAATACAAAGGTACATACTACAACATTTGATGTATGATTCAAAATGATCTAATCTGACTGGGCAAGAGGCAAGAGTCTCTTTCAGTCAATTCTAAAAGCGAATATCCAATAATGTAATAATTTGTTCTCTGCCTCTTTAAAAAACTAAGTCTTACCTTGTAAACTTGATAACACATTTACATTCCCCCTAGGCACGGATTCACACCATCAGGCAGCTTGGGCACATGGGCATATAACATTTAAAGTCAGTCAAGACCATGAATTTTAAATTTTAAGAAATAGTTCAACAAAAAACAGCCCCTTCAAAGACAGACCACCTACAAAAACGTAAAGGCCCATAGGAAAGTGAAAAGTATGCCGCAGACCTGCCGCAGATCTGCAACAGATCAGACTTTTAGTCTAGTCTGCGGGAAAAAATGTCTGCCGAAGTATGCGGCAGAAAGAATTTTTTCTGCAGACTTGCCGCATACCAGTATGCCACAGGAACAGTCTGCGGCAGATCTGCCACAGAAAAGTGGGAAATTATACAGTCTGCAGCAAGGCTATAGGCGGTCATTTTGGAGGACCGTGAGGTTGCAGGCCCAGGTGAGCCCAGCATGATCTTGTTAAATCCTGAGTTAGCACTGTTAATTGTCTTGTTAGCTTCTGTCAATTAAACCAAACAATTTGCTTCAAGTTCTAGCTGGTACCATAAGAGGAATTTGTTACATAAGAGGAGACTGAGGAATTAACAGACTGTTTCAAACTTTTTTGTTGTGTCATATGTGATCTTATCATCAGCCCCACTAACTCACTTTTTTGTTGTAACTCTTGTGTAATGTGTGCACAGTAGCACATGGTTCTGTGACTCATAGTACTCTGGACTATATGTGTATGCAGTGTATTCCTATACCTCTACCTCTACTTCTGCATTGTGTTAAACCCACATTTGTAGAATTTTTGAAGCAAGTCCAGCACCTGTTCTAGCTGTTTCTCCTAATTCAAGTTGCTAGAATGTAATGATGCAATGCATGGCTCTCCAGCTAGCCTTCCTGCAAGACTGCATACTTAATGCCACATCCACTGGGGTGGATATGAAAGAGTATGCGGCAGGTCTGCAACAGGTCTATATGGGATATGAATATTCATGATGAAGAGTCTGCGGCAGATCTGCCGCAGACTCTTTGTCATAGCCTTTTTTATGAATATCCATAATGAATAATCTGCGGCAATTCTGCGGCAAAACTAATTTGTATTTGAAAAAGATGACTGTCTGCGGCAGGTCTGCTGCAGGAGTATGCGGCAGGCTCATTTCTTTCCTATGGGTGTGGAGGCCTGCCCTAGGTTTGCAAGAAGTTGATGTTGTAGAAGTTATCTTTAGAGTTTCCACTTGTGTTTCTCACCTGCAGTAGAAATGTCCTTCCCTATCCTCTTCACTGGGCTTGTCCATGTCTGTCATTAGCGCGGTCGGTGGTGGCGGACCAGGGTGTTGATCGTTGGTAGTGGACTTCCATAGACTCATGGAGATCTTCTTGTGAGGGATGTTGGTCATGGTGCTCTCATCAGCAGCAATTACTGATATGTCAAAATCTAGGAGATTGAAAGAGAGCACTTGATTTGCTACATTGGAAAGATGTTTAGGCAAACCAAATTGAGTACTAACAGACAATTGACAACTAAAATAGTTTCATCATCATTATTATGATTGCTATCCCTACCATCTTGCTGTTCCCACTTTTCTTTTAATCCTTTTCATAAGTATAATCACCATCATCATCATCATCATCATCATCAACATCGTCATCGTCACCATCATCGTCACCATGAACGTCACAATCATTATCACCATCGTCTTCATCATCGTCTTCATCATCGCCATCATCATCATCATCATCATCATTAACATCATCATAACCATCATCATCATCAATATCAGCGTTGGCATATCGTGCTTCACCCCTACACTAACCTGGAAAAAGATCCCCAGCAATGTAGACACACTCCTCTTTGTAGTCCACCTGAAGTTTTTGTGCCTTCTTGGGATCTGGCTTGAGTTCAACAGCAAGATCAGAACTCAAGAGGGATGACCACTCCATGGACATTTTCGCATGTAGTTTGTACTTCCCACTGTTAGGTAACAAGATAACGGAGACAGCTGAGATGTTTGTTTCTAAATTCATCTTATATCCGCCATACAAAGAATCTGCGTAATCGGTCCATTGTGCATCATGTGATGAAATACAATTCACAAGTTATCATAAGCTAAAAGCAGTTGTGACGAGCCATGATTAGAATCAAATGTACTATTCATAAATACTGTACATGGCATACGATATCAAACAAAACAAATGCATAGTGTATCATGATGTCATAAATTGGCATTTATCCACTGTTGAAGGCACATGCATGCGATGATGTCATCACTATGTGTTTGATATGCGCAAATATTGATCACTTCTTCAAAATTGTTTGTGCTGTATTGTAAGTTGTAGATGATCATTAGCAGATCAGTAGATCTAGGCTGTAGAATTAATCTGAATCTGAATCTGAATCTGAATTTAGTCAAAGGCCCCTCCTATTTTAAAGATTTATTTTTGACTCCATCTTTCATTCACATGAAGATCATGCAAACGATCCCAAACACAGCAGTTTCAGTAATAATCTTTTTTTTTTAATGAGTGGTCTGCAAACATTGTGCATAATTGCCTTTTTAGCATAACTTTAATCAAAGGTAATCATCAAATTGAAGGCTGAAATCCACCACTCTTCCTGACAGATAACATGAATCAACTCACCAGGGACCGGATAAGGTCAGCTTCCCAAAGGTAACTTTACCACCACTAAATGACCTTGCTTTTAGAGGTTCAGTTGACGATACCTGCATGCAGAAAAAAATGGAGCATAGTGACGTGACTTCATACACTCATGAAAAAGAAAAAAACAACAACAAAAACCTCTATATTTCATAGAACTAAAACTAAGTAGTTTGATTAATGTTTCCACCCATCATAATGATCAAGAACTGAAAAAGAATGTTTCAGAAATGAAAAGCAGCCCAGCGCCCTTCAAGTTTTGTATTTTCAGAGTCGTATGGAAATGGTGCGGTATAGTGGCTCATTCACTTGACTCTAAATCCAAGGGTTCCCTGCCTAGCACTAGCTAACATCCTGTGGCAGGCATTAATCACTATTTGTCACTCTCTGTCCAGGTGTAATTTGTTACCTGGAATGCTAGATCGTTCCATAATTAGCCGCTCAGATATGATTGATGTTATAATATGAAAGCGCCAGAGGCATCATGGCGGATTTGTGAGCTATAGCCTCAATCACTACACTTTATTATTACAATGGTGATCTACAATGTCTGACGTAGATCCTACGGCCAAAGAGATTAGGGAACCACTCATTTATTGTATATTTCACGTCTAAGAAAATTGAGAAGATGTTAAAAGATGGTGAAATGCAACACTCGCCTTTAATGTCTTGTCATATTGCAGTGAGATAGTTGTGTTTACATCGGAGATTAGATTGCCAGATTCATCCCGAACTTGAAAATCCAATGGATTGCTGATCTGGACGCCATCATATGCTATCAGTGTCTAAAAAGAAGAGGTGCATGATTGTCACCATTATTATCATTCTCAGCATTGTCAATGTACTACAAGATCACCATGACGAACAAATTATTACCACTAACTACATAAACATCATCTACTCCACCAACATAATTCTTCAATGATTCAACTCTGCGAACCACTAAAAGCACCAAGCACACATATCTCCATCCTTTCACAGTTCAATACATATTTCTTAGCACCTTCAACTCCCCATACAAACCAATGTTTCCTACCTAGCATCCCAATTTCCTCCCCACCCACTCAAACTTTTCCCCTACCTGTTGCTCTGATAAATGCTCCCACACAAATTGATCCGGGCTATATTTATCAAAGATACATGGTAAGGGTTGTACTTGGGTTTAGAGGTATATAGGTATAGTTTTGGTCATGCGATTGCATTGTGCAAGAAACGTTGTGGAATCGATAATAAAAGGTTGATCATCTAGCATATTAGTATTGGTGTGTACTGCAAAATGATGAGAAATGTGGCCCCGTCTTGGTAAAATTACAAGCACGGTTCACAGAAAGATGTATATGGGACTACCCTATTTCTATCCAGTCCGGATAGATATAATAATTTACCAAGTAAATCAATTAGTAGGAGGTTTCCCAGTAAAATTTGTATCGTCACGTATGAGTCAAAACATATCCTTGCACATGATTGGTAATAAGAGCTTCTATGTTAGTTTTTGAGAGGGGGCGTTTCCAAAACTGGTCTATACCTTTCAGGTCAGGTTTAGGGTACGTGTAAGGGCTAGGACTATGGATAGGGTTAGGGTTAGGTATAGTGTTTAGTCCAGGGGTGAAGTTATACATTCAAGTAAGTGTAGGATATGGCCTCCTGTTCAGTTTTCATCGTAGTGGTTCTCTGATATATGCTGCAGTGACAATTGCTCCTGGCTTTATTTCATCAAAGGTATAGGGTTAGGCTTTGGGTTTAGGTTGTAAATGGGTTTTAGGTTGGGTTTTAGGTTGGGTTTAGGGCGAGGAGTAGGGTTAGGTTTACTAGGTATTCGGTCCAGGGTTGACATTTTGAATTTGGTCAGTAAACAAAACTGACAAATCGTGGCTGGAGCAAGTGTTGTACAACCCACCGGAGCATGTGTTATTTACCCCCTCCCCCTAGCAACCATACCTCCTTTGCCTTCCAGCCCATCGCAAGCAGCTTCGCAGGTCGGCCAGGAAGCACCTCTAATCTGATGTGATCCGTGAAGTCGTTGTACGTCACCAAGACCTCCCTGACCCCTACCGTTGAACCCTCAAACATGATGTTCTGAAGGCAAAAGCCCACGTTAGGTAGAAGGGTTTTCTGCAGGACTTCGGTGTCTAGATCCTCTGCCTTCACACTGAGGTTGCTCAGGCAATCATGAGGGAGCTGTAGAAGGAACAAGAGACTCTTAGAGATATGATATTGATGCATGTCGATTTAGAACTGTTGATTGCGATCGAAGGGGCATTACCTCAACTTTGAAAATAAATTTTGAAATTAAAAAAGTAGTCAAAATAAATTATGGGACACATAATTTGTTGTGAATAGTGATGATGCTACAGAATTTCTTTGAAAATAGGTACCTTTAAAGCATCCATGTTTCAAGTGGTTCTATAGCTCATGTATAAAGCAGTAGGCCTATGGTAAAAACTTTATGAATTGAACATTTTCCTTGGGACTTAAGTCTTTATTCTCTTACCTCCTGTATAGTGTTCCCATTTTCATCAATGACATGGACGACAATATCACCATCCAAGATCTCTCCAAGCTTCACCTTTACACTTTTTTTGCATTGACACTTGATCTTTGTGGCCTCGCCAGGGATTGGCCTGAAATTTGTTTACAAGTGTAAGGATTTAAAACATTTATGTTTTTTGTTTTACTTGACTGTTAAGAAAGCATATACACGCTTGTAAGTAAGCAATCAGGGGACCGACACCTTTAAGTCCTCTCCAAGGGACTCGGTAATGAGGATTAATGCCCTACCAAAGGGTAATAGCGCAAAAATAACAATTATAAAGATTTTAAACATTCATGTTTGTTTGTTTGACCCGACTACTAAAAAGCAAGTACATGCTTGAAGGTAAGCAACCAGTGGACGGACGACTTTAAGTCCTCTCAGAGGGAGTTGGTAATCATTGAAGACTATCTCCTTAATAAAAAGGGCACTAGGGCATCGACTCGGTTTCGAACCCTGGACCTCCTGGTTTCAAGACCACTGCTCTATCGTTGACTCATCATGTCTCCTTTTCTTTGGAAAGATTGTTGTTGCTGGGTTTTTTTTAACACTTGTGTCAATTTAATTATTAGTTTTTTTTCTTCTCATTTACTTAGGATACACAATTGTTATTTACAGGGTAGTTATAGCAGTGGCTTCAGGGATGTTTTTGGATTGCCCACATACCTATTATATAGGTAGCTGAAATAATAGTATTTTGTTAATGTAGCCGAATATAACCACAAATAGGTCATCACTTAAAGCTTTTGTAATACAGAGTGCACCTCCACGTCGTTGAAGTATGTGCATCTGTTTTACTCAATACTCACTTGATGTTGAAGGAAAAATCGAGGCCCGATCTATCAGTGAAGCTTATACGACAGAATTTGGAATATCCCACCGTATTGGGGACCTTAATAGGGGGCAAGTACCCCTCCATGAGGGTGGAGGAGTTGAAGCTGGCTAACCAGCTGAACTTGAATTTGTTTGCCAGCTCCTTGGTAATCTTCATGTGGTTATCTCCCTCATCAAACAGAGCGAAACCTGATAGACAAAGAATCAAACGTACAGTTTCATGTTATTCTGTTTTCTATTTCATTTCATTTCCAAGAACATAAGGAGTATATCAATAAACAAGTATACATGAAAACAAAGTACAAGAGTAAATACAATAACAAAAGAAAAGAAACCATCAACTAATTCCTGTGGATTACAAAAAAAAAATTATATTAGCTGAAGGTATAGTACATAAATATATATAATTAAATAAGATATTATACACTATACAATATCAAGAAGAAGCATAAGACAAATCATGAGATAATAAATATAAAACAAGTATACTTTGTACAGATCGTAAGAGAGGGATCAAAGCCTTGAATCCACATGATGTGCTAGGCTACCTTTAAAAATCTCACGAAAGTCTCATACACAGATAAGTGAGTATACTTGAAGGGGATGTTTCTTTCTTTTTCCCATTCCCCTTTTTTGAACACATAAAATCTTGTTTATTGTGAACATGCCTTATTTTTTTAATTACTCGATTTAACAGCGTTTCTAATTGATAATAGAATATATCCCTTGAAATATATGACTGTTCTCTACTCACTGATCTGTGATGTATCCTCTCCGGCCGTCCACTCAATATCTCCTTTGGGTTTCACCTCGACAGGTTTTTTCTTTGGGTCATCAAGGTACTGGTGTTGGCAGAAGAATACCTTGATCTTACAGGCGCTGGTGCTGGGTTTGACAGTGATGACTTTCTCTACAGAGCTGACTCCTTTGATGTGCTAAGGGAAGATTAAAACAGAGATGACTATTCTCACGTGTCAAGAGACTTTGTCAGAGATTGGGATTGGTCCAGATTCGCGATAGATTCATGCTACAAAATAAATTAATACAAATACCATTTGCTGTTGTTGTTTCAATTTATGATAGTTTCTTGCCGTGCAGTTTACTCTTATTAACAATTTGCAAAAAAAGATTTCGCAAGAGTTTCTGACTTAATGTTGAAATGTGCATTGCAAATGTTTCATATATTGAAATTGACTACGGTAGTCCAGTTTGGTTTTTTGTTTAAAATAAGCACAAAATTTGTACATGCATATTTTAATATACATTAATAGGAGGTACAATGGCTTAGAGAACAGAGCAGGATAAGTAAGATTCTAACCAAATATAGGTGTACAATACTCTTCAACGAACAAACATTCTTAAAGACCTACACGTAGTCCTTCAAATGTGATCTTAAGTTGTTTTTCCACTGAAACTCCTTAAAAAGATAACTTGCTCCTTGACCAATCAATTCATTTTAATCCATTACGATCTTTTTAATTATCACAATCTTATAAAACATGTTAGAAGGAACGTTTCCATACCATGGACAGGAAATAATTGACCAAACTCTAATGCATTGGAGAATAATAAGGTTGAAATCATTTAAAGGAAAGGCGTTGCATTCAAAGGATCAGTTTAATACGGAATTTCCATCTTACCAGTAGTTCAATTTTGGCAGTGATCTCGTGAGATTTCTTGGAGATGTTCTTGATGAAGATAGGGTTTCCAGTAAGAGTAACCTTCCCTGAGTTACTGCAGTCTGCTTTGTACAAAGGCAACCCAGCCGCACCATGAAACTAATGAAATAAAAGACAGAGAGTTGGACGTAGGATTAGTGATTTGCACAAGTTTTGCAATTGCCCTTTATGTTCGTATCGCAAAGGCCCTAATCGTTAAAAAAATCTGTGTATGTGAAGGGGTATGAATGGAACAATCACCAATCTTTATCAAACACAAGCCCGAATTAACCTTACTAACCTACATGTATATGACCTATTCCCGGCACATAAAAACATGTACTGATTAAGACATTTCCTATGTCAAATTTCTTCCCAGTAGAACTTAAGAACACCTTTCACCATATTAGATTGTGATGGAAAGAAATAATTTCCCATACCTTGCACTGGACTACAAGTTTTGGGTGCACTGAGAAGTTCCCTGCACTGTCTCTGATCTCCACCGATATAGGAAGCGCTTTGCGGTTCTCTATGCAGAGGTTATCAGTTTCTTCAAACGTTGGCACAGTGATCTTGTGTGGCTCACCTGTAGAAAAGAATAGGATTGTATTGCTCTAAAATGATAATAATAATTATATTGACAAGAAGAGCAACAATAACAACAACAATCACTCCAACAGCATCAACAACAGCCCAAGGATTAGATAGCTCTAACTTAATAAAGTGCATTATCACGCTCAAGACACCTCTAAAGTACTAATCTAAGCCTTGCTTTATTCAAGCTGACTCGGAGGGCTGAAAGCATTGAGAAATACTCTCCATGGAGCGGAACATGTGCAGATTAGCAATTGAATCCAACAATGTAAAGATATTAGTAACCTAGTATGAGGGGCTATACAAACGTGACTATTATTTGTATTATTATCAAAGATTATCATTGTCATGATCATGAACAAGATCATTATCATCATCATCATCAACATCATCATCATTCCAATTGCATCTTCACCGAATCAAACATCACCAGCAGTCTATCGTATACCAGCTAAACTTTCTCTCCGAGCAAGTCCACACCTGAACATGTGACCTGCCCTTGCTTACCAGGAAAGATTCTGATCTTTAGTTGTTGAGTGGGGATCTCCAGTCCAGGTATCATTACGGTCATGTTGAAGATCTTTCCTTGAGCCGATCCAACGTCCCCGGATGCTTTCACTCCTTTCACTATAAGAGAGGTGCCCTTGGTTTTCAGCTTCTTATAGCTCACATCATGCAGGCCACTACAGAAAAAAAAGAGAAATCGTTTAGCTTCCATCCTTATTCCTTCTTTATCTGCTTTAACATCACCATTCATAATCTGCATGATGTTATTCTTCCTTTTACATTTTCTACAAATAGGTCTTCTTATTTTTCTTAAACTGCCTCCATTTCTTCGTTGTTTGCCTACTACATCTATTAATGTCTCTATTAGCATTTCATTGCTCTGTCATTTTATCTGTTGCCTTTCCTTCTTTTCATTTCCTTATTATCTTACCAAATTCGACTTTATTCTACATTTCACCGTTTTCTTATTCGTGTTTCTCTATATTATGAACTGTTGATATTCAAGTAATAGAGTTAAATAATAAATGGCAATTCCCCGAAATTGATTTCATCCGTAAGACTAGTGCGTGTACAGAACTTTTGTCTGAGAATCTGACAGTGTATTTGATTGCAAAATGACAAATCAGATTTTAAAATTCTTGGGGGAAAAAACCTGATCAATTTAAATTGCTTTTTGGATTGGTTTGAGGTTGGGTGTTGGCTTGGTGGATAAATAATCATATTGGATAATTACAATACTGAATCCTAAATGCTGAGGAAGAAATCTATCTAAAATTGTATACCTCGCTTCGAGTACTGGTTTGAGGTTAGGCGTTGGCTTGGTGGGATTATTGAACTCGTCTTGTAGCTGAAGAGGGATGTTGAATGGGATGTCTACCCTGAATGTCGGATCCAGGCTATCAAAGCTAACTTGAAATTTTCTTGCCGGGCCCTCTATAAAAAAGCAGAATGAACAAGCATTCATATTAGTCCAAATACTTAATGCCTATATAGTATAATATTTGATTAACTTTGTGTACCAATCCTAATTTCATTCCAGAAATAATTACCATCAATATTTGTTAAATAATAGAAGAGCAATGTACCAGATAGTTCAAGATAACACCCACCAACAACAACAACTACAACAAAGGGGAAAAAATCGTGTGCATAGCTGGTCTTGTAATTTTTGCTCTGTAATATAAACTTGTCTTTTGTCTCCATCCTCTGTCACTTTGAATGCATTTCCAACATTTTCCACACAGCATATGACAACTGGGGATTACAATATCACTGAACTAAAATTAAATATTTTTAGTTGTTTACAGCATCTTCAATTTAAAAGAATTAAGGGTGTCTGAAAGCTTGGTCTAAGAATAAATCATCCCCTGAAAGTGAGAAGGGTGGTACATTAAGTATGTATAAAAGCAAGCGAAAGGTATGCCCCGAATTTTAGCCAAATATTATTGAAATATATCATGAAATCGTGTACAATTACAATAATAAGCACAAAAATAAGCTCTTTATTTGATGTGTTGTCTGATTAAAGCTCTCATAATGTGGTGGGGAAATGTATGTGACTAAATGGCTTGGACCTGTCAATAGGTTCATGTGACTTAACACCCTTTCCGGAAGTCATCAGATGAAATAAAAGTATGATAGGATATAACCCTTCAAACTCACCTGTACTTGTGAACTTGATCTTGTGACTTGGTAGAGGGCGTCCTCCGAATTCAGTGGCTCCTTCCTCCCTGAGTACTGTCTGCAGGATCAAGGTATGACGGCCAATGTTCCTGACAATTTCTTAACCAATTAAGAACAGAGTTGCATTTTTAATCTTTGAAATGTCGCTCATTTGCTTCAAGTTAAATAGGTTTATCTGTATGCAAGTCCAAGTAATGTAAGGTCGCTGTGCACATGAGCCCAACAATTTTATATCAAGACCCCCAAACCTTGTTGGCATATTTATAGACTTTTAACATTTTCAACCTGGGCTCTGTTTCCTAATAATTGTGATCAGCAGGGGTGATAGTGAGCACTAAAAAAAATAGTTTTTTTGTTTTCCCCTCAACCACGGCCCCCTTGAGTAAAAAAAAAGAAAAAAGAAGAGGATTCGCGGGGGGGAGAATGGCATCTAACAACATTCCCCCCTTTCGACTAAGAAAATTGGGGGAAAATTGGGGGAAAAAATAGGGCAAAATAGGGAAGAATAGAGAAAATACGGGGAAATCCGGAAAATCAGGATAAGATCGGGAAGAAAAAAAAATCTGGTAAAAAAAAATAAAAAAAAAATCTGGATTTCTTTTTTTTCTTTTTCTTTTTTAAATCGGATCAGTAATAAATACTAAACTACTCTTACAAATTAACTTTCAGTCCATTAGATGCCGCAATTTCAGTAGCTTAAAACAGTTATTGTAATTTGCAAATGATAATAAGTTTTATGAAACAGGGCCCTGGTCGAATCAACGAGACGAAAAATAGACTGACAGCTGACCAAACAAAAATGATGTCACCCTGAATGGCCAAGAATCGGTCAGTATTGGGTCGGTGTGGAGTCGGTTAGGTGGTGGAACTAAGGTATAAAAATTGTATTATATAGCCCTGTATAGCTTGGACTTTTTACTCAGTCCTCTCGTTGTTGTGTTCGTTTTCTAACAACAAATCACTGTTCCTCTGCAGGTATGTATCTATGTGATTGTCTTACCCATTGGTTTGAACCAGAATGCCCATGTCCTGGAATGTTGACTCACGAAGGTTACTATCTCCTTGTCACCGTCATTGGCTGCAAGGATGGAAACAACAATATAGCAAAATTACTTTTCAGAGTAAACTTTAATTGTTCGTATTTTATTATTTGAGGAACTAATCTACCATAATGTGTAATGCATACACATTTTCACTCAAAATCGATTGTCAAAACCTTACTGATCACTTTCAGATCATCGATAAAACCATAATAATAATTATTGTTGTATTTAAGTTGAGGGCTGCGGGCACGTCAAGCTACTTATTCTGTAGCCCTCCTGCATCTAATGTATGTGAATTATGCATTCAATATATTTATTTAATTTCGTATATTATCTGTATAAAATTATGTACCCTTGAAATATTGTATCAAGCTATATTATGTTCATGAAAATGTATGATGAAAAAGAAAAAGTAAGATGCAGAAACCAATAAATCAAATCAAATTAACTTAAATCAAATAATAATAATATGTCTTGTTTACCTAGGGTAGCCTCATAACTATGATTCAATACTCTCATTATATAAATCTACAATAAGGAAATCAAACATATACAAGTTTTAAGAAATAATATCACTATATAACATGCGAATAACATAGACGGAAGGAACAAGAAAGACAAAAATTTTAAAAATGTACATTAATGAAAATATTCGGAGACAAGACAGGAATTTCGGGCTTTATGTCAAAGACTGTCTCCATTGATTGGATCAAAATAACTATATACATTATTTCAATATATTGTTCATCAATAGAAAGAGGAAAAAGGAACAACTAACTCTGTGCCATACACACAAACGCAAATTTATCGATCTGTCTGATGAAGATTAAAGTTATTGGTTATTACAATAGTGAGTATTGTTGTTTCAAATACAATTTAAATTTTCTTTAAAAGCTATTCAGTGATGGGCTCAGTCTAATTTATATTGGTATATCATTCCAAAGTTTGGGACCCCTTCCAATTCAATCATTATCGATTGTGACTCCTAAAAATGTTAAATGTGTGACTTGTTTAATAAAAGAACCCTGAACATAAAAAAAAGTATTTGAATAACAGCGATGTGTTTTTGTTGGTAATCATCATGAATTTTGTTTAAATATTGAATACAAGTTTGATTTTATATAACCAATCAACCAGTTTATCGAATTCTGCATTAAACATATTTTGAAGGAATACGATATCTTGATGAGACATAGACACACAAGTGTCATCTGCAAATAATATCAGTTCTAGCACTTTTAAAACATTCCAAATATCATTCACATGTAAAAGATATAATAATGGTCCTATAATTGAGCCTTGGGGCACTCCACATCTTCCATTGTTTGTGATTCACATTTTTTAGTACAACATATAGTTCTCGATTACTTAAAGGTAATACAAAGTTGTGGTAAGGGGTCATGAATTTGGATCAAATGAACTTATTAGAAGCATATGCGATCCTATACTATTCCTACAACTCTTTATGTTGTATAGCTCCCTCTCAAGGTCAAGATACGAATTAAGCTATGAAACAATGTTTCTTGACTAAAATTGACCAATGAGCTATTCCTGTTTGGAAATTATATATCACAACTACATATTCTGAGATTTTCATGGTCGCAGCTACCATTGTACGGCCGTAGGCGCTATTTGAAGTTTATCAAAATTTACCTGGAGCACCGGTAAATTTTTATATTAAATTTGTATCGAAAGCAGAAGTGTTTTAGGGGCTAAATTTTCTAGTTCTTTTAACACATCCACAGGGACATCCAAATATATCAAAATTGTGAGAATCACTATCCACCCAATTTTCAAAATTTCCCAAAACTTTGTATTACCTTTAAACATTTTTTAAACCATTCCAATGTTATTCATTCTTTAACCATATCATTCATTTGTTTAAAAAAATTGTGTGATCAAGCGAATCAAAATCCTAACTAGGATATTGAAACAGGCCAATCATTGTTTCTTTATTATCAAAGGCATTTGTAACCTTGTGTATAAACTAAATGCAATCATATAGATTAAGGTAATTTATTGGATGTGGTTTGCGTTTCTGATTGCATCTACTCACAATGCCAAATTATCTTCATCTCCACCATGAGTTTATTAGAGTTATGCTGAGCTCCAGGAAGTCTTGACATGGACTGACCTTTCATGTCGTGGATCTCAGCTTTGATTGCACCTGTATACAAAACAAACAAAAATGGGCAATAAGGTATGAAAGGTACAAACGAACCAGAGGCCAGTTTCCATAAGTCTAATATCCTAGTCACAATGCCAAACCAACTCCAAACTGCATGACCAATGACTGTTAAAATCATGGCTGAAATTTTTGTTTAGCCTCTTGTTAACCTCGTTTGTGTAACTAGGTATGGTTTTGTAAATATCCCATCGAAACATGCGTTGATCCTTTGATTTCAAGGTCATTTCCTAAAACACGCACTAATTCCAAAAAGCACGTTTCGAAGACAATTACGAAAAACTGGTTCTTTGTCCCTAAATCTTCGTAACCTTTATTAAATTTAAATTCCTTAGAAATTCAGGTATTTCCTATATTATATAACTTCTCATGCAACATTAAAACAAAATGAGCAAGTGAGCACCACACAAGAATGGAATATTATTATCAATATATTTGTCCAACATCAAGTGAATTTGCACTAAATCGATTTTGCGATTCTTGGCAGTCTCTGGCAATGCGGCCATGACATTATGCACTGACCTATTCGTTTCCCAGCTGGTCGTTTCTCTCCTTCATGAAGCTCGTTTGATTCAGGCAAATCAGGCCATGAGATGACAAGTTTCCCTGGCAGTCTGGTAAAGAGAAGGTACAAAGAACCATTTTTTATTCAATTGTTTTTACAGGCTCACTTATAGTACATTATCATAATTGTTTACCTTTCTGTCTATATAGTGCAACAATTTCTTGTTACCTTCTTTACTTTAATGCTGCTTTGAAGTGCAATAAACAATCTTGCTGAAACAAAATGAAATCGGGTTTATAGATAGTAGGCTCATATAGCTCCGATTAGTCTCATTTGACAAAGCCCCCTATCGTCAGAGTCCAGCAGCCTAACCGTGTGTTAGCATATAGACTTTTACCCCCCCCCCCCCCCCCCCAAAAAAAAAAAAAAAAAAAATCGTTTAAAATTCTTTTTTGTTTTTGTTTAAACGAAAAGCACATCCACCCCGACGTACGTTATCACTAGCTCTTTCATTGAAACCCTCATGTCCCATTGACTTTTGAAAGTTCCCCCACCGTAATTTGATCAAAATAGGTCGCAAGCTCGCCATTGCATATATAACACATGTGTAACAAATCAAACTTTGGACGCAATTTACCACGCGATTGTAAGATTATAGGTCAAGCACACGAAGGATAACAAGCATGAATTATCATAGATCAGTTCTGCTTAGTTCATTATGTCCACTTCAGCCAACCCCCACCGTAATTTTTCCATTTAGTATAGGCAAACATTTTGCCGAGGTAAGCAAAAAACATGAATATTCATGACACACCATTGACTACTTTATTATTTACAGAGGGGTGCAATTGTGCACCATATCAAACTCCCCTACTTTCAGTCAAGTATTTCATTGTATTACGTAGTTTGGTAGGTTTATTTTACTAACTGTTTAATTATCAGATATCAATGATAGTTTAAAGATATGGAAAAGGTTCTTGTAGTTTATATTTAGCAAAGCAATCTCACATACAAAATCATTATCAAGTGTCGTCTGCTCCGCCGATCGCCGTCTGCTATACGTTCAAATCACATAAAACCGATAAGAAGTTGGATTATTGATGTATTTCCGAAATAAAACATTTTTCTTTTTGCACATTTTTTTAAGTTCAGCATCAAACCAAGGCTTTTGTTGTCTCTGTTTTATTTTCATTTTTTTTAATGGAAAGCATCTGTTTTAAAAAAAAACACATAAAAAACACTGTTAACATAATCAAACTTTAAAATCTCACTCCAGTTTGTCATAAGAAGCCTTTCACAGAACATAGAAATATTTGAGTCATTTATTGCACGCTTGTATATTGCATCAGATAAGAGATAGGTAAAGCGATTGAAGAAAACAAACGCTTTAGAACCGGTCTCCTGTGTGCCTCAGATTACAGGATATTGAATCGAATAGTTTTACTAAATCTTTAAAAGCATACGAAGATCCCCCCCCCCCCCCTCTTGTGAATATCTGCTGGTAAACCCATTTCTTAAATTATGATTCTATAAGCCATTATGGATAGGATACCCAGAGCCGCAACACTACTTCTACACTACTGTATACCTGATGGCACAATCAAATTGGTGACATCTATACTAAACAAGCAAAAATAATTAGTAAACTATTAAAGCCATGTGCAGCTAATACTGCGAAAGTATATGGTATTGATGATATCGATCACACTAGATACAAATGTTGCGTAGATTTAAATTTGCCACCGTATGGTACTTTAAAGTGACTTGGTAACATTGTTGAAGGTTAATGAAAAAAAATGCTTAATTTTTGTATAAAATGTTACTTACTATATTCCTTCTACTGTACTAACCCTCTGACAGGCAAAAAAATCCTGAAAAAATTCTCAAACCACGAAGATATCTATGGTTTTCGTTGAAGGCGTCGATGTGAGGCACCCTCTAACAGTGATTAACAGTAAATTCTCCCAACCATTTTTGAATTTTCCCAACCGTTTTTCCATGAAAAAAAGACATAAAACAGGCTATAAAAAATCTGTCAACACTTAAATGTCTGGAATGAAATGAAGAGCCATTTTATTGCTTTGTGAGATTTCCATTCACCTAAAATGTAATTAAATTGTTCTATAGATCTAGATCTAGACCTAGTTGGGAGAATTAAGGAATCGATCAGATCAGTTTTTCCCAATTTGTACCATGAATAATGGTCCGTTTTCACTCAAATTTTCAGATTATCTTTAATTATACATCTAGCATTGAAGTCACTACCTTAGAACCACTATCTCTCATCTGAACAATGTTACCAAGTCCCTTTAAGAATCTTAATGTAGGGACATAACAAACTTTAAGAATGTACCGTGTGAGTCAAACAAAAGTTTACACCTAGAAAATTGCTAATAATTTTAATAATCATCTAAGAACAGTAAATTATTATACATGTTATGAAAGAGTGTTTTATCCCAAATCATTTAGTATCATTTTTGTGTGGTATGTGTTCACGCTTGGATTAACAGGAGGCAATGTTTGCGAGAGTGCAAAAATCGACTTGCGCTAAACTTGCTTATTATGTGATGCTTGATCCGTTCAAATTTCAATAATTCACGCTAAGCCTTGTTGATGATGGGGTGATAATGCTTTTTGTTCACGACTGTGTTAAAGGTGGGGGATGGGAGGGAGGGGGCGGACAATGTACCATTTAACGACCTAAAAAAAGCACAGAAAACAAAAATTGCGCCTTGTTATGAGTGACGAACTGAAACCAAGCCACTCTGTGTAAAGATGGCTCTGAGAAACCTATTTTTAAGGCTCGTTCACACCACCACCCCCCCCCCCCCCAACAAAACAAAAAACCGCCGTGGTTATTATTTGTTTTTGACGTTTGAAAAGAATGACAAGTGACGTTACAACCCAAATGAGGCACGTATTCACTAAACTCTGTGTTATTATTAAAGACCAGAAGGTAAAGCATATGCAAAAATCGACTTGGAAATGCGCAAAAGTATTAAAGTGAGAGAATGAATCGAATGTATCAAATGATATGCATTGCATATGCTTTTAGCAGAAGCAAAGTCACACACACACACACACACACATGCACACACGCACGCACGCACACACACACGCGCCCACAAATGTTCTTTGATATTTGATATGTGTGACATGCATGATTAATTTTGTAAGGAATGTTTTGAGATTCTGGCTTCACTTATACTTGATAATATATCGTGGATCAATGAACATTTTTACATTTAAAAAAAAACCCTACCCAATTTCGTTAGGATACTGGCTGCCATTTTATGATACCATCTTGGATTTCTGTTTTTTTTTATGGTCATTACACGTTTTAAACAGGCTACATGGATTTTCGACCCCTGAAACCCAAGCATAAACACCAACGTTACATCTCTAATATGGATATGTCACGATTTGTAGCTAATTTCAGTTTTCGGCTGCAATTTGTTGAATTTTTTTTAGTATATAGGGCTACTCTAAAACTTCATAGTTTAAAGTACACAGGTGATTAACCTGACCCGGGCCTGTAAAACATACATTTATTCTTGGGAAGTAAAGTATTACTGCCGGTCATTTTTAGGAGAATGGCGGTCATTTTGGATGCCATCTTGGATTTACAGGTTTTCTGGTGGCCATTACCCTTTGTAAGTGTTATGAATGGATTTGTTTACCCATGAAACCTAGGTAAAGACACCAAAATAACAGCTTTAGGATAGAATTATCGCTTGTTTCGGTTTCCGGCACCCTTTTTGGATTTTAAAAATGACAGCCATAGTTTGTACTGTTATGATTATTAGGCTACTCTGAATCTTTATAATGATTCCAAGCTTACCAGTGATATCCTGAGATCTAAAACATATTTTGATCTTGCTAATCATAGCTTACTGTAAATATTAAGGAGACTCTCAGCCATTTTTGATTTTCAGGTGTCCTGGCGGCCATAACCCATTGAAAGTTGTATGAATGGATTCTTGGACCCCTCTAACATAAGTATAACTATAAGCACCGAAATCACATATCAAAGATGGATATTTATTGATTTATGGTCATTTTAAGGTATTGGAGGCCATCTTGGAAGCCATTTCGAAAATAACCATTTTCCAGGGGTCTGACTTTTTTTTAGACTTTTAGTATGTTGTTTTTTATGTAAAACACTAACGCAATCCGTTGAAAGCCCTTTTGTTGCAATTTTTGGGGTTGGGTATTTTTCCGTATTTTGACCCGACTACGAGGTAAAATCAAAGAATTAAAGCGGGACTGCGCTACTTGTATTTACTTGCGCCCTCTATATAGCACAATGCCTAAGCGGTACCTGTTGGTCCCCATAATCCCCCTTTTCTCATGTTCATTGAGAGCTGATTTGGTGAGATAACAACCTGCCAGTGTGTTGCAGGGTGGTCTAATTCCTCCTGGCCAAACTAGTGCAGAGAGGCTTTAAGAGGAGAGAAATATTCATCTTCAATATAGCTGAGGAAACATAGAGAATGCATTGACATGCATGAAACCTGAATTGTCTGCATCCCATCAGTACTTACTTTTCTTCTTCATCATCGATAGCTTTTTGTATCTGTCCCTCATCAGCTGACCTGTCCAGCTTCCTGAGAGGGTGGATCTTGGTCTCGTTGTACAATCTAGGCTCCTATCAAGTAGAAGAAGAGAGGAGAGATGAAAATAAGTTAAAAGAAACAATGCTCCATAATCTCAAAAGCCGTCTTAACTTAAAGGTAAAGACTAGTTATGGTCATGCGATTCCATCGTGAAAGAAACGTTGTGGAATCGATCAGAAAAGGTTGATCATCTAGCATATAAGTATTGGTCTGTACTGCAAGGTTCTGGAATAATCAAAATGATAACAAATTTGGCCCAGTCCTGGTAAAGTTACAAGCACTGAACACTGAAAGACGCATATGGGATTACGCGACATCTATCCAGGCCGGATAGATATGATAATTTACCAAATATATCCATTAGTATTAGTAGGCGGTTTCCAGGCAAAATTTGTATCATCACGTATTAGTCAAGACATATTCTTTCACATGATTGGTAATGACAGGTTTTACACAATTGTTGAGTGCTTTAAAAGAGTTTGTTCGCCGATCATGGATTGCCAAACAACAACTTCTATGTCTTTCTTCTCTCTCTGTATAAATCACCGTTGTATTATTACTAAAAGAAAATACAAAACTTTTCTATATGATATTGATTTCTCTTCATCAGTTCCCGACGTTTTGTTTCTTTTGCATTTAGTTAAATATGTATAGTGATTTATACAAAACTGAGAGGTTATCGTTTGACTTTCCATCAACCAGCGGAATAGTACCAGGTTTAGATTTGAATGCTTTCTAAGAATATGGACAAAGTTGTTTCTACAGTATATCCATATGCTATATACAAATAGTTAAAGAAATAATTTCCATACATAATGGCTTAACACAGATAATAATCATCACGGCCGAAAACCTTGTGGCAGATAACAACAAACATTTATGACAAAATTACTATTTTAAATATATATATAAAAATACCAAACATAAAATACATGATCATGTTTGTGTTAGCACATTTTCAATACTCTCAAAATATTTTCTTGTCTTACAACCATCAGAACACAGTTGAGTGCATTATTATTGCTACCGCAAAATCCAAACAATTTATTTTGATTTGTAAATTTGATCCTTTCCCCCGTATTACGATGCCAATCTTTGGTAGATCAATTATCTTGTTACATTAGTTATGGCACGATAAATACAGAGAAATATGATATGAATGGTGTCACTGAGTTTGTCATACCTGCGTAAGTTCGAACTCTCCTCCCGTCGCAAACAGTGTTCCATTCTGGATCTCATTCTCATGGTATCCAAACAACAAGAACCGTTCTACTGAACCATAAAGAATTGGACTTGTCCGCAAAGTCCGCACCTAACAAAGAATAAGATAAAAATATATCGGTTAAGGTATTGTCTTGCGGCACATTATTACTTTGTTATGAATATTATAGGTATATATTACCGATTATGTACATGCGTGGTCAATATAAATTACCACATGTTTGATTCAGCCTAAAATGTAAAAATTAAATGAATGAATAGCTTATATTACTCGTGAACTGATTTTCCTTCTCTGTGACATCTTACATATCTCTTGATTTTCTTTTCTTTTTCATCATAAGAATTAAACTGAGATTATCTAACTAAACTTCTTGTAGTGAATTCCATTCAGCCTCCCCTACCCATTAGATATACTTTAACTTATTATCTCACTTCTCCTTGTTTAAGAAAGGAATTAAATTAGTATGGCTATGCTCCTTTTTTTCTTCTTATCTCATTTATATAGACACAAATAATTATCCATCTGTCCAAAAGATGGATAGTTGTCCATTTTTTTCCATTCATAATGTTCTCTACATCACAATATCACTTGTGTCATCATACCTGTTGCCCTGTGGTATACACCTTTCCATCCCATTCCACACTATTAAACACAGCCCAGGGTTCTTGTTTGTTCTTGGGTTGATCTGGCCTTGTGATGTTACCCACGTAGTCTCCGAAGTAGATCTGTTTGTCATGCGTCTCGTGACACTTGTGCAGCCATTCAGAGAACTGTTTGTCCATAATCCCTCTGAGGGACTGAAAACAAGACAAAGATGTCCTTCATTTATCTCCATGGGGTCCCAATCTACAATGGGTCCCAATCCAGGATTCAAACCACGGATCTTCATGTACGACAGAACTGAATGCCGAGCTTTAAATGTTGAATGTCCCTTATATTTCCTCATTTCTCCTGTATTGAGTGACATCATAGGTAACTTTGAAAATTGTTTTTCTTGATGTCATTATATAATTATAAAGGCAAAAAATGACACAAATTTTCTTTTAAAAACATGTACAGATACTATTGGATTCTGGGGTAAGTTCCTCTAATTTGGGCCTGTGATACTATCGAATAAATATTACTATGATATGCTCCGAAAATATACATTTTCCCTAATAATCGCTTTCAAAAAATATGATTAGAAAAAAAAGTATTAATTTTCCCATTTTTAAGAAAAGAAACAGCTCAAATCCTTTTTGATTTCTTCAGCATGATACTGAACATTCCTTATCACAATTCAATGAAATTATGACTTCTTACATTCTGAATGTTCGCAGTACAACACATTAGCTATTTGAACTGAGCATGCAGTCTCTATAAACTAGACACATAATTGTTTTAACTGTTCTGTTTTCTTACCTGACCTCCAACAACTCTCTTAAAGAGTGCGTCCTTATCCCTCAGCTTCATATCAAGGTCAATAAAGGTCAGTTTGTTAGTGCTGACCTCGAACTTGCTGTTGGCAAAGAGGACGCCAGATACCCTGTTGTAGCACTCAACAGGAATGTTGCCTCGTTTCTTTGGCATGGCACACCAGTCAAAGCTGATGGTCAAAATACAATGGATAGGTTCAAGAGGTTAAAACCTAATTGTAGCAAATTTGTTGCCTTTCACTTTAATATATAACTTTAAAATACAAAAGTATAGCATTATGGCGCTTGTCCTACAATGTATCACAAATCTTAAGTACTTGGTATATGTTTTAAATATTAGTATCATTATTGAGATGTCGTAATTGGGAAGAGGAAAGTCGTGAGGGCTGACATAGACCTCGACATAGACTCGGCGCTCCTGATAGATTGTAGAAGATTATTCCACGGCTCGGGTCCAGAGAAGTAGAAGGCTCTGTCACCCCCAAGTTGTGCGACTATTAAAGAGTTTCTGTCGGGAGAGCTTGGTCGGCTGATCTCAGACTTAATGTCATTATTAATCCATTCCTCACTCCATATTGTGTTTTCCACTCATTCCATCATGTGTGCCTTACATACTTTTAGTACTCTCCGTAAATATACTTCATATTTTGTTCGCCATCCATACATCTGTTTGCCCTTATCTCTCTGTCTACTTCTCTTTTTTTCACTTGATATTGTAACGATTTTATTGTATCCATCCTCATCTAGACTTGTTTATATATTTACAATTTAAGAAGTATCTTTGTATTATTCAATTAATATTTATATACATGTGTATCATGAACTTTTTCTTTTAAACCTTTGAAATGTATTTTGATGTTACATACACTTTATATTGTGGTGTGTTTTTTATTGTATTTTAATCAGGACCATGATAAAAAAAAAACTTTGCTGATCATGTTTATCCTGAATAAAGATGTTCAAATAAATAAATAAATAAACTTAATTCGTAATTCATTCAAGCATACAATCATCCGATCAGTTACATCTGCATTCACTCACATCACCATTCGTTGAATAAAAGATAAAGGAATAATACCAACATCATATATGATGCAAGAGTAATGAAGCAAACAGAACAATTTTGTATTAAATAGATTGTGCCTTCACATATTAATTTACAGCTGCATGTTACTTACCCAATTAATCATTCATTTAACCAAATAACTCTAAAAGTAAAATTACTCCCACAATCAATCAAATTAGACTTGCTACTCTCTACAACTCACTGTTCGATCGTTGTATATGGAATAAGCCTTCCATTCCAGTAGCACTCAAATATGGCTTTGTTACCCCTCGCAGGTTTTTCCTTGTTGTAATCACTCTCGACATCATTTTCCTTAGGTTCTGCAGATTCTGAAATTTAGCAGAACAAAATTATATAGAAGTGAATTTCGAGCTGTAATAAAGTAATCTGATCACTTTTCAGGAACCACTATTTCGATCAGTAAATGGAAATGGTTTTACTTTCTTTCTCTCTCTTCCTCCTTCCCTCTCTCTCTCTCTCATTCTCTTTCTCTCTTTCTTTTTTTCCACTCTCTCCCTTTCGCTCTTTTTTCGTTCTTTCTCTCTCTCTCACTGGTCTACCAGAATTTAACATGTCCTTCAAAACATGCCAATTAGGACAATGCAAATGTCAACAAAAACAAATTGGAGTTGTTTGCAGCGTTAAATTGAAATGTTATAGCACTTTGTAAAGTTCAGCGTACTTTAGATCTCCAATTTCTTTAAAAATCACAAAGTCAAATTAGACATAAAAAAACCTTTAAAAATTCTCCCCACCTGGATCAACTGGATACGACTCCTTGTCAAAGAGGAATGGATGATATCGAAGCACGCCCTCTACCAGTCCAGTTCCTACCGAAACTTGGAATTCAAACGTGTCCTTGGCAAACCTTATGAAGTTTGATTGGGGATCATCTTTAATGTCTCTGAGGTTGAGATGCTGAGGCGTATGGCCCTTCATGTACATAGTGATACTGATGTCAATGTTCTTGTAGGGGCTTGGCGGACGGTACATGGAGTTGGACAGGTGGGACTGGTTGCCTTGTGGACCATGGATGTAGTAGTGGTAGATGTTTCTGTGATGACAATCAGGGAAGACATAATGGAGACATATTAAAGAGCTTTATGAAATGGAGGCAAATGACGTCCTATAACATTGCAACCTTTTAATACCAAGCCACAATTTTCAATACACTCTGAATATATTTTTCAGTCTCCTTTATCACATGATGCCTAATCATTTTTAACGGATTATATTTGATTCAGTTTTTTTTTAGTTGATTATTGGTTGAATGTTGAAATGGACAAATCTTAATTTCTATGATCATCTTCTTCAGAAAGGGGAAACAATTAGTATCGTTCTCTAAAAGCAGTGCATGAACTGAACATTGTTATATTATTTTTCAAGTAATATGTACCACAACCTAGCTCGAATTTTTCTACACAGTGTTCTCTACCTTTTTACATGTATATAGAAATCGTACATAAAAACGGCTCTAAACTATTTTCTCTCTTTACAGAGAGTCCAGGCTTATAATTTCCAAGGTCTATTTAAATACACTAACTCACTTAAAAAATTTGAAGGGGGATGGGGGGGGGGCTGAGGGTACACAATACGTGAGAGACTTACGCCAGTTTTCTGCTCCAACTGCTGAAGTCATCTTTTAGGAACTTGATGTGGTGTGACTTGATACTGGTGATGACGACGTGGGTAAAGTTCTCTTTGCCTTCCTCTTCCTTGATCAGTTTGTGCAGAATGACATCTCCTGGTGGTGATACGTGACTGCACTCGCCAGGCTTCAGGCCAGGCTTCAGGTGTGAGTTGCATGAAAGAGATGGAGAAAATAAACGTAAGTGCAAGAAGTACAACTGCTCTTTCTCATGTTCTGGTAATACGTAACTGCCCTCGCCAGGCTTCAAGTGTGAATTGCATTAAAAAAAGATGACGAAAAGAAATGTTACTGAAAGTATTACAGCTTCAATTTCTCATCTTCTGCTGATACTTCGTATAATCCTCTATTGATAGATAGCTGTCCTTGTTAGGTATCATAGGAGCAGCAACAATAATTATGAAAGAAACAAGCATTATCATAATCAACCACCCACCTGCCTGTGTGTGATGATGTCGCTGTATATGTCTTCTTTGTTCTTCTCTCTCCTTTCAAACTTTTTCTTTGATACCGTCATCTCGTGAACATCCTTAGAATCTTTGGGTTTAGTGATCATCTGTAAGAAATCATGGGATGGATGTATTAAGGCTTCAAGATTATTTATCTGTTCAATAGTAAGATTAATCTATAACAGTGTTAAAGAAGTTGTCATGGAGTAAATCATGACCAGAAATGAGTTATCTTGCACGGCCATTATGTTGCACAAAGCAGCCCTTCTGTCGATTGGTGTCTACAGTTGTGGGCAAAATAGCACGTGTGGCAAACAACCGGCTGTGCAGAGATGCGAAGAAAGCAATCGAAGTTTTGATAGAAAATGTCAAAGGGTACAGGCAAAAAGCTTATAACTCACCCTGGCTGAATCACCAATGAAAAACACTGCTTGTTTTCCTCCTACTCCAAAGTAAGAGATGTCACTGTTTAACGATCTGGGAATGTCTCTCTCTTCATCACTTTCATAAGAACAATGGTTGATCAAATAAAAAGAATTAAATTAAATTGAATTGGTCTGAGACTTCACTCAAGTACATTTATCACTGAATCTGTGGCCGGAGACAACATGAGTTTACTGTTAAAAGGACTTCAAAATTCAGGTACATGTAGATAAACAACCCATGGACATCTGGCTTTAAAGCTCAGGGGCTTTGTGCAAAGATCCTTGACTTGGTTTCATACAGCGAACGTGCAGTTCCAAGATGACTACTCTACCACTTAACCATCAAATATGATAATGAAAATATCTCTCCTTTCCTTGTGAATCAGTTTGTTTAATGAAGAGATGTTACCTGTTGTTCTCTGGATTTAGTCTCTGTCTCTTGCGATTGAATTTAGAGAGTCGATAAATGGCCCAGTTGTTGAGTTCTGTGGTGGTCATGCCTTTGCCATTGTCAAGGACACAAACCATGCTCTTATCTCCTGTTTCATCCAGGTACTGATTGAAAGTGAAATAAAATAGCAGGATAATTAATGGGATGATAAGCCCATATTATCTGTTTGGAGCCGGAAGGGCATATACTCATATACTTGAACACAGAGATAACATCCTTTTTGCTCTAAACAGACGATATAAAGCAGATATCTCCCTAAAGCAAAACAAGGGAAACGCTATCGGCGGTCTCGCCTGCATTACGCAATTCAATATGATGAAAAATTGAGGTTGGGACATTATTCATAGGTAGAGTGGCTCATTAACAGCCCCCCCCCCCCCCATGAAATCCTCTGAATATAATCAGCATTTTGAAGTGAATATTGACCAAGAGTCATTGGAAGAATTATTTATTATAATTTGTACCAAGATTAATACCTTTAATGGAATAAGAAAAAATAACAATTTTTTTTTTTAATCCTCACATTTTGACCTAAAATGACCTTTGACCTTGAATTTTTAACCAGGAAATTGCGGAATAAGATTTGTGATAACCCTTGTGTACAAGTTTCATGGAATTTGAAAAATAACACTTTTGAAATTATTTTAAAATTTAAAATGTTGATATTGATGCCACAAAAGAGTCTTAGTTTGTTGACCTGAAATGACCTTTGAACTTAATTTAGTGACATGAAATTCTACTCACATGATTGGGGATACTTGATAACCTTTTAGTGTAAGTTTCATTGAATAAGAACTTACACTTTCAAAATTATATTAAAAATTCAAAACTTAACCTGAAGTCAAGTTTTCGATGATGATGCCATTACATAGTCTAAGTCTGTTGAACTGAAATGACCTTTGACTTTAATTTTGTGACCCGAAATTCTGCTCACACGATTGGGAATACTTGAAAACCCTTTAGTCCAATTTTCATTGAATGAGAACTTATACTTTCAAAATTATACTAAATATTCAAAAACTTAACCTTAGGTTAGGTTTTTGATGTTGACGCCGCCGCCGTCGCCGTCACCGGAAAAGCGGCGCCTATGTCTCGCTTTTTTGCTATGCAGGCGAGACAAAAACGCTGCCGTAAAATAAATTAATCAAGAGGAGCATTTTCCACATTTATGTATCTTATAGTACACATGTTAGTGAGTACTCTAACAGGCCTTTGTTGCATGCAGCTTTTTGTCCCCATCCTCACTTAGCCTTTCATTAAAATGTGACATGTTTTTTTTTTTTGCATAGCAGTTGATTCACATCAAGTGTGAGCAAGGCTTCATGCAGAAGGCCACATCATCAGTCAGAAACTCATCACTGCCCAAAAATTAACGGGGAAATTAGTCCTGAATGTTACAAATAATAGCCATTAAAAGGAACGGTAATTATACAATTGAATTTCAGAATTTTTAGAATTTTATTTAGAATTTAGAATGTTAGAAAATAACCTTATAGATACCTTAAAGTACAAGTCCACTCCAAAAAAACCACTCAGACAAACCAAACAATTTTGAGCAAAATCGGATAACTAATAAGAAAGTTGTGAATTTTTGAAAAAGTATGTAGAACTAAGTGTGGTTTTTCAGCACCTGCAAAAGCATTACCATCAAGATACAAACTGGGTACATTTGAATCTCCAACAACATTTAAAAGAAATGTAAATAACTGTAGGCACATACCAATCGGATTTCTATTTGTTGGGTTCCGACATTATTCACAGTGGCTGCTAGTGAGTTGTCTATCAGTTCTGCAATTGCAAAAGCTGTTGGGTATAGTAACAAATAGAACTGACAGGTGTTATGATAGCATGACATGATACATTTATTCATGTAGAAGATATGTTAATTACAAATTGAAATTTCCCATGACATATTTAGATATAAAATAGAAAACCCCAAAAAATATCATTAATGGCATCAAAGTGTGTCAGTGTCACACACAAATATTTATTGGCCTGACACACTACGTCTGTAATTTAATATTGAATTACATTAAATAAATGTCTTCATTACTGAAACCTAAAGCTAAACAGAAAGAAACAAAAATGGCTCTTAAAAGTGTAAGAACTGTGAATTTGAACAACTTGTTTAGAAGTAAAAGTGATAAAGCTTAATAAATGAAAGTAAAGAATTAAATACCAATACCACTGTTCCTATAATAAAAGATTTCAAGGCTTACGTAATGGATTCTGTCCTTCGCTGGCATAGTACTCATATATGCCACCCTTGATGAGGGTGTCAAAGTGGGGTTGGTACTCCACCCTTTCCTGGGTAGAGGCCTGCAAAGCCTGTTTGCGGTCCACCAGCAGCTGGAGAGTGACTTTATCCTTAACAAGCTCCTCTGAACCGGTAAAAAGGAAATAGCATTATACTCCTGAAGACAGGTATAAATTTACAAGGTAAATACAACTAAAGCCCCAGTCCCATATAAAGCCGGACCAGCACGGACGAGCACGGACCACTCCGGACCATCCCGGACCATGGTCTGGGGTGATCCGGGATGGTCCGGGATGTTTTGTTCAAAAAAGTGTGATGCTTTTAAGCTACGGTCCCATATACGTCCCGGACCGTCCCGGACCATCCCGGACCCCATCCGGGGTGATCCGGGATTCGGTCCGTGTTGACACCGTGTTGGCACCGGGGTGGTCCTGGATGGTCCTGGATGGTCCTGGGCGGTCAATAACTCACTCCCGGACTGCCACGGATCAACACGGACCGCCCCGGCGCCACTACGGATGACCCCGGACCCAGCACGGTGGCTACACGGATCACCCCGGATCAAACTATTGTCCCGGACCGTCCCGGACCACCCCGGCAGTTTTTGACCGTCAAAAACATCCGGGGTCGACTCCCGGACCGCCCAGGACCATCCAGGACCATCCAGGACCATCCAGGACCATCCAGGACCACCCCGGTGCCAACACGGTGTCAACACGGACCGAATCCCGGATCACCCCGGATGGGGTCCGGGATGGTCCGGGACGGTCCGGGACGTATATGGGACTGTAGCTTAAAGCCTTAAGATAAGTTCCAATCTTCTTGAAAGTTTACACTTTACTTGTGGAGTCACATGACTTTTAGTAAGTTTTTGTCAATAAATAAATGATGAATTCGTTGATTTAAAGGGACGTTTGAGTTCTATTTTATGCATGATTATTGCTCTTTTTCTTATTTATGATATTTCTAGTGCCCTTTTAGGACCTAAAATTGCTATGAAGGTAATCTTAAAGTACAAGTCCACCCCCAAAATATTTTTTTTTCATTAGAAGCAGAAAAACCAGACAAACCAATCAAAAAAAGTTTGAGTAAAATTGGATAACTAATAAGAAAGTTATGAATTTTTGAAAAAGTTTGTAAAACTATCGAACAATGGAAATCACTACACAAATTGCCAATTTGGTTATCAGTTTGTGACGTCATGTCCTCACTATTTATCAATTGCTTTACATAGTTTAATCCCATTAATTTATCTTTTTATCCTCAAAAATTTGATTTCCCCATGCCTTTGCCCAGGTTATATGATTTGTATCGTATTGTGTGCATGACATTCCACTGAAACTTTTATGAACTTTGAATATTGTATATTCATAATCATTGATTTTTATCTAAATAGTTTATCAAAAGTCACATTTCTCATGATTTAACTGAAAAAAAATAACTCTATATTAGTGTATCCACACAAAAACATATTCTCATCAATCTAACTTGGATGCCTTGTGTGAAGAAATTAGATTCTTAGGGGGGAAATAGGAAAGTTAAATTATCAATATAAAGAAAACAATTAGTAGATAGTGAGGACATGACATCACAGACTAATGAGTAAATTTCCAATTTGTCTCGTGATTTTCATTGTTCCATAGTTTTACGGACTTTTTCAAAAATTCATGCAGGACTTTCTTATTAGATATCCGATTTTGCTCAAACTTTTTTTGATTGGTTTGTCTGATTTTTTTGCTTCTATTGGAAGTAATTTTTTTGGAGTGGACTTGGCCTGTAAGCCCAAAAATTTATGAAATTTAGATTAAATCCAATTATACCAATTCACCCCCACTTTCAAAAATTACGGTGATCGTTAATTAATTACTTGATTTATAATAACAGTACACAGGCCAGCTGGTTGTGCGTATTATAATCAACACCAAAAAGCCAACAAAAATCCAACATTGGCTTTGGCTTGAATAAAACAGGCGCTATCTCGTTTTTATTTCAACGGCTAGTTCAAAATTATCGAATATTTATGAGGCCCCACAACTATTAGAAATGGTTATATTTATGGAGATTTCAGCCATCTTTCAACTGATTTAGATCAAATAAAGATGACTTTGTCATTTGAATTGTATGCTCCTTCAAATTTGACAGTCAGTCATTATCTCACAAAAACAAAACAAAAATGTGCAGCGCCCTCTATACCAAAACCCAGCTATCTCTTTAAGATACAAACAAATGAACTACTGTATTTTTTTAAATGTTCTCTCATGGTTAATTGGCATCTGTTTTATCTCAATATGAAAGGAAGCTATCAAAGGTACTATATCCCATTTGCAGGCCAAAAATGAAAAGGATAATTTCCAACGGCATTAGAACTTCCCTCAAAACGAAAGGGCTTGAAAATGGCCTTTAGTGGGATAATGTGGGAAAATAACGATCATTAGTTGTCGAATCGACTTATGTGATTGCAATCACATTGCAATCACATATTGCAAGTAATAGTCTAATTTTTAGACCCTTTTACCGAATGGTCGTACGTTTTGTGCTGCACAGATTCTATCAGTTTAATTGTGGCCCATACAAGTAATGAGTTATTGATGTAAACAAAAAATAATGAAACTGATACAGCTCATTTTATGTATGTTATTACCAAAGAAAAAAAAATATCAGTCACGTCACTCAATAGTGTCTGACAGAGAAGTTTAGAAGGTAAACGGGTTTCCTTGCATAATTTGAATACTAGGACACTGCTAATGTTTAAATTTCACTGATATAGGACATACATGATATATTCATAATCCCTGCAAAGTTCTACAGAAAGGGACATAGAGTTTTTAAGGTGAACGCCACAAAATAACAAAATTCGATTAAATAATGAAATACGTTTGAATGAAGTTGTACTATTTGTTTCACTTATTGACAATATTTGAATGTCTTTCCATAATATGAAAGGAATAGTATAGTGTCTGTAACTTAATGGCTGGTTGCAATGAACTCATTTATTTTTCAAGCTTTAATCTCCATTCAAACATTCTCTTGACAGTCTAGAGTTGCTGGTCCTTTGGGCCCTTTTCGGAGCAACTATACGGCTCCTGTGGTCTTATGTATCTTTAAATAAACCATAATTATTTCACTGTATTGTTAATGGTGTTTTTATTTGTTTTTAACACAAAACGAACATTTTCAGCTACAAAATTTGTTCTCAAATGGATACAAGTACTGGTGGGTCCCTTAAACATAAAATGTGGGCACTTTGGGCAACAATCTTTTCAAAAATCAGACGATGGTATTGGTTAGAGTATCACATTTTACTAAGGAATACACACAAAGAATTTAGGTGAACACCATTTCCCTGTAACAGTGCACCTAACTAACAGGGGGTATTGATGTAGGTTGCGTGAAACAGCTTACCATAAGTCTTATATGTATTGATCTCAGCTCTGTTGTTCGTGGTAGTAATGACAAACTGTTCTTCGTCTGTGATTCCAAACTCCTACAATTATACAATTGGTATGAAAAGATAATTCAAGATTAAAGTGCCCTTATTTCGAACAGCACCAATTTTCGTATAAAAATCAAAATGTTAAAAATTAAACGAAAAGAATTGTAAAGTTAAACAAACACAAATTAACCCTTTGAACATGCAGTCACATTAAAGAAAAAACATATTCTGCCATGAAATATGCAATAGTGGTGCGAAAATCTAAAAAGCGCTCACACCCATGTGACAAGAAATAAGGACGACAAAATTCAGATATAGTCTGAAAATATAAGGTTTTGAGCAAGAATTTTGTGTCCAGTACATCACCAGCAACAATAGACCTACATAATTATGCAAGAACTGAAATAGGGCGTGGCACATACCACATGACATATACGGGTCAAGCTCGCTATCCATAAAAAGGGGGTATCTCACTGAACGGCAAATGCCTACGAACGTTGCGAATTTGGATTCGCTAACTTTTCAAGGTTCGCCTTTGCGACATTTAGCGACTTTTAGCGATGTTTGACGACAATTAGCAATATTAGAGCGAATGTTTGCGAAAGCGTTTGCGAAAGGCAGTTGGCGAAAGCATGGACCTACTAAGGTCCATGGCGAAAGGCAGTTGGCGAATATAAGCGACTGCAAGCAAAGACTAGCAACTATTTGCCAATCCTCTGCCATTATTTTTTAATGTTTGGGACTTTTTGTTAACTCTTGGTACTCAATGGGTCGATTTTATATAGGAACCATTAGGTAACGTGGTCGCTAGCATTGGCGTATAAAAAGACCTTCACCGACACGCAAAGGTGTGACTGAGGCATAACGCGTGACAAAATAAATAGCGGTCCTTTATGAATAGCGGCCCTCTTCAATATTGAGTAAACCACACACAATTTACCTCACTATTCAAAAGGACCGCTATCTACGCGCACGCGGGACTAAATGAATAGCGATCTTTTATAAATAGCAGTCCTCATGAACAGCGAGCAGACCCCACAGGTACGTGTCAGGTGGCCTCCCTAGTTGCTTTTTTTCACAGTGTGCCTGGTTACAAACTGCCTACTACCTTAACCTGGCCTGATCTCTCTTGGTGCAGCAATGTTATGTTAAAGGATAACTACCCCCTGGGCTATCAAGTTGCATTGCATTCTAAAAGGTTGAGTTTTGGGAAATGTGTAAACTAATATATTTTATCTTTTTTTTTTCTCTCTCTCTCTCTCTCCCTTTCTCTCTCTCTCTCTCTCTCTCTCTCTCCCTTTCTCTCTCTCTCTCTCTCTCTCTCTATCTCTCACTCTCTCTCTCTCTCTCTCTGTCCTTTAATTGTCTCTCACACACTTCCCCCTCGTGTCATGTTATCGTTCAGGCATATTGGCCGGGAAAAAATACAAATATACATGTGTACTGACAAACACACACATACATATACACCACTACATTCACACGTTGGGATCATTGTTTGTAATATTTAGACGGCGTGCATCTATTTCTAGAAACTGGGGATTCCCACATGCGTAGGCGTTGTAGTCTACCTCACAGGCTCTTTACGTGCGATTGTTAGGCTTTCAAGTTGCATTGGGTCTTTAAGTATAGGTTGAGTTTTGAGAAATGTGTAAAACAATATACATTGTTTTCTCTTTCTTTCTCTCTCCCTCCCCCTCTCCCCCTTCTCTCTCTCTCTCTCTCTCTCTCTGACCCAAATAACCCTACATGTTGTATTAACAGGACATCTAAATATATCCCCAAATGGTACATTAACCGGACGGACATCATAAAAACTGGTGTATTACCCTAACCCTAATCATTGCTATAACCAGGGCTGTCAACTTTGGGAAACCTCTGCCTCTCCCTCACTCTTCTCCTCCATGTCATGTTATCTTTCGACATTACAAAGACGTCAGTATAATCTTTCAAATGAAAGGAGACAATAGTAGGATTCATTCAAAAATATGTAGCATTTCGATATACCTTTTATTTGAATGAGCTTTGATTCAATCCACACCACTGTCTTCTACTTGATCGGCCAGTCAGAAGACTGATAGGTCCTACACGTAAATATTCAACCATATTTGTACAGAACTTATGATTCCCAGTAGTTAGTTCCGAACGGATATTAAACAGATATATTGTTATTGATTTTGCTCTTGCAGTTGAATATGAGAGTAGAAATCAGCGCAGCGAACCTGAACATCCACATGCACACACACATACACACACACAACAAACACACATCGACCAAACATCTCCAGGGGCTGTTTCATGAACTAAAATTGATTTAGATTTTTAAAAATAGTTTTAAGGCCGAATCATTTTTAGCCTACAATGATACTTGTGAGCTGTTTCGTCATATCAAGTTTAAGCCTTTATAAAACACCCCTCAATATCATACGTACGCACTAACGCACATTTACTGATTTAGGTTTAAATACATGCTACGTATTGGCGTGCTTACTTTCTTGATTAACTCTTTAAAATCAGCAAAACTGAAGACATCATCAAGAGTGATTTCCCGTGCTGGTCCAGAGCCTTTGCGACGGTCGAAAACGTACACCGTTGAGCCTGCCATGGTCGTCGTCAAGTTGTTCTTTGCAAATTATGGCGATATAGACTAATATTAAGCGATCTCTCGCTCTCTCTACACTAGTCCACTGCATGCCTGAACTGTTTCCGTTTCTCGCGCCCAATCAGCTGAGAAAATAACACACCCTCAACGCTAAACCGGAGACAGCCTTTGCCGTTCTCTACCTTCATTAGGGACTTTTAGATTTGCGTGGACTGAAACGTGGGACGTCCATTCAAGGCAGTGCACATAGAGATATATACTTAAGTATATATCTCTATGGCAGTGCATGAAAAGGAGGTCGACCGTAGCAATCCCCATTGTCTTCGTGCAAATCTAAAAGTCCTTATTCCCGCTCTTTCTACGACGGTGTCTTTCGGAGGTGGCGCGATCTGTAGTGGATGCGTGTAAGAGATGAGGACACAGATTATTGAAGAATAACAAATATTAAAAATAGGACAGAATCTGGACTAATATATATGTAGCTAGCTACCCGCTCTGCTGGGGGCCTATAGTCTCCAGTGGCGGATCCAGGGGGGGGGGGGCGGTGGCCCGCCCCCCCCCCACCCCTGGGAAAAAAACGTGTAAAAACGTGATTTTTACCTTTTTGAAGCGATCCCCCCCCCCCCCCCCCCCCCCCCCCCCCCCCCCCACCTGGCGCTTAGGCCAAACAAAAAATCATTTGGTTGTCCTCGACCGCCCGCTCATCATTTTCGGGCCGCTCGTATTTTTTTTTTTCTAATTCATATTTTTTTTTTGGGGGGGGGGAGCAATCTTAAATGCCAAACATACCATTTTATGCATTTGCAAGGATCAAAACGCGTCCCGTTGCCAGTTTGGTCTTTTCAGTACGCAATTAGTTATTTATTAAACTTGCCATTTTTATTTTTCTATGTCAAAATGCCGTTCATTCAAATCAGGTTCTGAGTGTTCTTAAACTCATTTTAAAGCCCATCTCTACTAGTTTACAGGGAGGATTAGACCACCCTGCAATGTCATTGGACAGGTCGTTATCTCATCAAATCAGCTCTCAGTTAAAGTGGCACGTTCCCGCCAGCGTTATTTTTTTATGCGGCACAGATTGGGGCATGGCGCGTGTTAAACCTATGGGAAGTACGTTCTTTCCCTTCTGAATAGTGTCTGCACGTACGTGAGACTAGTGATGTTTATAGCTAGCGCATTAGCGCTGCGAAGAAGTTTGTATATCCATCGCGAACTATGTGTTTAGATAACATTCCTCTTCGTTTAAATTAGTTAAGTTTTATTGACTAATTATTGTGATGTTCTCCTTATTGACGTGCTGCCTCCTCTTCAGATTTCCAATTTGATTTTAATTGTTGATGTAATGATTTTCCATGCGGTAGTGGATTAAATATAACACTATTAAAAACTGACCTCTACTACTTATACTGTCTAGTACGCACACGACCAGTATTAGTCTGTAAATCAAGACCCCTTTTAAAAAAAAAACTCCAATCTGTGCCGCATAAAAAAATAACGCTTCCCGCCAGTGTAGTTATCGCTGCTCTAGTCATCGCCATCTTGGTTCCGAAGATCGACTTCTAATTTGCATACAGCTGTCAATCAAAGTACGCGCGGCCTGGCCTGCCTTCGCCAAGCCAGCTGATCGCTGACGATCGCGACGTCACGAAAGTGAGCGGAAACAGCAGCCGAATCTTAGAGCCGAACTGCGATTGGCATTACTTCGGCACATGTATGCGATAATCGGTATTGTCCGGGCATTCGGAACATGCCATCTGCGTAAAGAGCCGTATTTTGTTGGTGTCAATAGGCAGCTAGCACCGTCCGCCAGCGGGTACGTATTTTGAACGCCCTCTGGAATACGGGGAACATCCCTCTTTAATATAAGCTAAAGTGGATAATGGGGGACCAATGGTCACCGATTAGGCATTGTTTGCTACATAGAGGGCGCAAGTAGCTATAAGTAGTACAGTGGAGATTTAAAAGGTGCTGTAATTCAAAGCCTAAAATACTTTCTGTGTTGGTCTTGATATTCATTGTACATTAAATTAGTCTTTTACCATATTAAAGTGTTTTATAGACATTGTTTGTTTAAATCCTTGACAATCCCAATGATATATTTTTTTTTATGAAAAAAAAAATCCAAAAATCCAAAAAAAAAAAAAAAAAAAATGAGGTTTAAGGAAAATAAGGAAAAAAAAATCCGCCCGTCCGCCCCTACTCCAAAATAGCAATCGAAGACAACCAAACAATTTTTTTTGTTTGGCCTTAAGTGGGGGGGCGTACAAATTTTTAAATTTTCAAGGGACAACAAAAAAGGACGTACTGATCCCTTACTGATTTTTGAAAATAGCCGGATAGCGATTCTTTATAATTTTGATACATGTGGATGCCCCTGAGGATGTATTATACGCACTAGAAAAATTAGCCCCTAAAACAATGATGCTTTCGAGAAAAATTGAATATAAAAATTTACTGGTGCTCCCGGTAGTAAATTTTGATGAATTTCAAATAGCTTATACGGTAGCTGCGACCATGAAAATCTCAGAATATGCAATTGTGATATATGATTTCCAAACGGGAATAGCAATTGGTCGATTTTAGTCAAGAAACAATGTTTTAAAGCTATCTAATATCTTGACCTTGAGAGGGAGATATACAACATAAAGACTTTAGTACTTACAATTTCATCACTTTAGACTCGATTTCAACCGCGACAACGATCACCGAATATTATAGGATCCCATTTGCTTCCAATATGTTCATTAGAACCAAATTCATGACCCCATACCAAAACTTTGAAATAACCTTTAAGTCAGTGCCTTTAAAGGACGCCACATGTGACTGTCATTGCCTTGAATCAGCTTGGGATCAGTTTGGTATTAGTTTGGTATTAGTTTGAAATCAGTTTGGTATTAGTTTGGAATCGGCTTGGGATCAGTTTGGTATTAGTTTGGATTAGTTTGGGATCAGCTTGGGATCAGCTTGGGATCAGTTTGGAATCATTTTGGTATTAGTTTGGTATTAGTTTGGAATCAGTTTGGTATCAGTTTGGTATTAGTTTGGAATCAGCTTGGGATCAGCTTGTGATCAGCTTGGGATCAGCTTGGAATCAATTTGGAATCATTTTGGTATTAGTTTGGAATCAGTTTGGAATCAGTTTGGAATCAGTTTGGGATCAGCTTGGGACCAGTTTGGAATCAACTTGGGATCAGTTTGTATTAGTTTGGAATCAGTTTGGGATCAGCTTGGGATCAGTTTGCTATTAGTTTGGAATCAGCTTGGGATCAGCTTAGGAACAGCTTGGGATCAATTTGGAATCATTTTGGTATTAGTTTGGTATTAGTTTGGGATCAGTTTGGTATCAGTTTGGTATTAGTTTGGAATCAGCTTGGGATCAGCTTGGGGTCAGCTTGGGATCAGCTTGGGATCAGCTTGGGATCAGTTTGGAATCATTTTAGTATTAGTTTGGTATTTTAGCCTTAAAAGGGCGTCATAATTATGTCCACGTCCACGCAAATCTAAAAGTGCAAGCAATGCTCAATACAATGATGTCACAACACGTCACTCATAATTATACTTCAGACACCTTTAGAATTAACACCCTTCTTGCTTCGAAACTATGATATGTCTGCTTGGAGCCAGAAGGGTGATAGCTGATACCATCTTATACATAGCCCTTCTTGCTCTCAGTTGGTGATATGAACAAGCAGAGCCAAAGAGAGGAAAAATCAAGGAGGACTTCGTAGGCCTATATTGATTTATTCATTGATGTGTATTTTTTTAACTAAGAAATCATATAGGCCTACAGTCAAACCTGTGTACTGAGGTCACCCAAGGTAAACAGAGGAATTTACTTAGGAAATATTGTTTTAATATATGAAGTTTCTGCATTTTTAACAGCCTCCTTAACATGCAATTACAATACAAGTGAATGTGTGTTAATACAAAAATGTGTTTGATTCTTTTCTTTAAAATATAAAGAAATGCTCTCAATATGCGACTAAAAGTCCTTTCTTCAGCAGTAAGTCTAAATATATAGTTAATAACAGATTGTTTGTGCTATTTGATATTTGTACTTTTTAAAAGCAATGCTTGCATTTCCATAATTTGATAAAACGAATTCGTTTTCACTGGCTGCTTGCCGTAGCAACAAACGGAGTTTCAGCTAGTGAAAACGAATTCGTTTGATAAAATTATGGAAATGCAAGCACTACTTTAAACAAACAGAACTTTGCCATTCCTTTCTCATTTTTCCTGATTGAGGTGTCATATGAAAGGGCAGAAACTCAACTTTCTAGACACGTAGTTTTCTCTTTAAAATTTAGATACTCTCCGCCAAATAACTTTTTGGTTTCCTCTCTTCGAATTGATTTTAATCACTCATGCGTAAAAATATTCATCATATGAGTTGCATCGAATAAAAGAGGAGGCTCTAAGCTTTACAAATATGTATCATTTATTAGTTATAATTGTCATTGAGCTATGATAAAACATCGATAATTCTCGGTTTTGTTCTTTCTGGGACGCACTGTAAAATACGTACAGGACGCGTCTTATTTTTTCGTACCCTAGTGAGCCCAGATTGAGTTGGCGCTACCGTGCTGGAGCGGATTTTGCGGTTGTGCTTCTAGTACAATATGGCTTCAAAACTTTCAAAACTATTAGAGCCAGGAGATGGACTGCATGTTCCATAATCTGAGTTTTGATGATGTTATTTTATGTAAGTGTACTAAACGAGAGAGAAAGGGAGACAAGGGAGAAGAGAGAAGGAAGAGGGGAGTGGAAGAGAGAGAGAGAGAGGGAGGGGAGAGACTATTAGCTAAATAGAGGGATAGAGATCGAGGGAAAGGGATGGAGAGGGGGTAAGGAAGGAGTATGTGCGTGTGTGTGTGTGTGTGTGTGTGTGTGAAGAGAGAGAGATAAATAGAGAGAGAGTGTGTGTGTGTGTATATGTGGAGGGAGAAATAAAGAAATTAACAGAGTGATACTCCCTAGCCATGTCGTGACTTAAATATAGATGCTGAGTCAGTATACCTACTACCTGCACTCAGATATAGAAAGCATCAGTATAACTCGATTCTATTCGTCGGTATAACTGGTATGATAGGGAATCTACAAATTCCACGACCTTTGCTCGTATCCGTTTGCTTGAAAAACATAAGGCCATTATCCACACCACTAAGGTCGTAATAGGCATATAGACATTGCGAAGACCTTTACCCAGGCATACAAAGGGCGGCCTCGGGAGGGGGCGGGGGTTTCAAAGTGGCTCAGATTTTTTTGTAATTGTTTTCATGTCTAGCAAATGATGGGAGGGAATCATTCTCTCTCACCCACTCACCCGTAACACCACCCCAATATGAATATAGCCTTTATATTATCAGATGTAAATAGGAAGACTGGACGCCCGAGGATTGCCGTTGTCTAAGTCTGTGAGAACTATAACCATCAATGCTAAAAATGTCTCCGAAAGTATTGTCTTGCTGGGTGTTAGTCGTCATGGTGTTCATCATTCGGAGTTCCGTGTCGCCTGTCGACATCGAGCAGCCCATCGTGAAGACGTCGACCGCGACCTTCCTGGGAAAGCGACTCGATATTCGACCTCATCAGCTTCCGAACGACTACCATCGTAGTGTATCAGCCTTCACGCGGATCCCCTACGCCGAGCCGCCCGTAGGCCAACTCAGGTTCACAAGCCCCGTCGCGAGAGTTGTCAAGGGGGAGTTCGACGCAACTCAAACACCTGTAGCATGTCCGCAGAAGACGGATCATGACTTTTGGAAAATCGAACTCGATTTCTCGGAAGATTGTCTCACACTGGATGTATTCGTTCCTGAGCCAAAGGTACACGTATTCCTTTTTGCATATTTAGTCTTCTTCTTCTTCTCCTCTTCTTCAAGGTGTACGACCGATTGCCGACTTCTGACAACCAAGAAACAAAAAAGCTGCGAATATTGACAACTACTTTGCAAGAATTCATAGTGGACGATCAGTTGACGTTCGTTTGCCGAATGTCGTACGAAAATTCTCTGAATTGCATACATTTTTGTAAACTAATTTGCGACCGCTCGTAGAAATATCGGCGAATAGTTGGCAGTTATCAGGCAAATGATCACCGTTAATAAAAAAATAAAAAAAAAACTGGTCGGAGATCAATGTCCGATGTTCCCACGAAGGTCGGCAAACCTTATAATGAGGCGCAAACACGCATGAGAAAATTACATTCTTTGCTCATTTTAAACAAACATGTTTGTCCAGATGTGAAGAGAAGATTGTTTATCCTTGTTCAGAATTTGAAATTCTACGAAGTGCTCCCTAACAAAATCATCCGAGGTAAAATACATAGAAATTGCGTTTTTGTTAAAGTGAGAAGAAAAGAAACGCTCGGTCGCTTTGCTCCGCTACTTTAAAATTATTTAGAAAATAAGTTTGGGTGGGCGTAGGGGCATTATCATTGTTGGCCTGAGGTGCCATAATCTCTAGATACGCCTCTGTTCATATATCGATAAACAGCACTTTATACGTGATAGGCCTGTACAATAATTTCGATTGAAATTAGATTTAGTAAACTTGCTACTCCCTCAATATAGCAATTGTTTGATGAAATTCGTTTCGTTTGGTAAATTTAAAGCCGAAAGATGCAGCCGTGATGATGTGGATACATGGTGGTGGATATCATTTGGGGGCGGGCTCCATTCCTGAGCTGCTTCCTGCACCATTGGCTGCATACAATGACGTCATTGTGGTCACCATCAATTACAGACTTGGACCTTTAGGGTTCCTTGCCACTGGTAAGAGATTTACGCTGCGAAATAAAAACAGCGATTATTTTTCCACAAGTCCACCAATTAAGTTTCTCTCATCTTTCATAGGAATGGGGAGGAGTTTTATAGCACTTAAGTTGTAGTTAAAAAGTCTGTTAATGAAACACGCCCCCCCCCCCCCCACGTTTTGTTTGTATTAAGCCTCAACCAATCTAAGCTCCTGGCGTGTGGAGATATTACTCCTTCTTCCGTGAATTACAACAGATTTATATAAATTTATACTAAATTATCTTATTGATATACTTTATACCCTTATTGATTACTTTGGGAAATGAGAAAAATGGCTGACAATAACATGTTACTTTAAATGTTTCAGCATATTGAATAGGCACGCACTCACTATATGCGATATTCTGTAATAACACATTATCAAGAGTAATGTTACAATGATATTATGATTGGATTGTTATCTAACAGGTGACGGTTCGATACCAGCAAACATTGGAATGTTAGATCAACGACAAGCTCTTATCTGGATTCAAGATAATATTGAAGGTGAAACAAAAAAACCTACATAGATTGTCTACAATCTTGTTTGAAACTTGTTATTATTGTTATATTATATATTAGCCAAGATTGTTCGGAAACTCGAGTTTGATGTTACCAGACTTGTGGATACTTAATACATTTCGAAATCGAATTTAGAACACAATGCAAGAGTTCTCTTATTACACATTTTGCTTATTAAACAAAAATATGTTTGCTTGGCAATTTACGATGTAAATAACTATTTCCCAACTCAGGGATGTTGTGAGTGTTTGGTGCAAAATACGAGAAAATTATGAAATTCAACTCAAAATAACTAAATGGTATTTGAAGAAATTAATATGTTAAAAGAAGACGAAGAAAGAAAATTCAAGAGGAAATGATACTACACATATTGTGGGTCAAATGTGAAACATGATAAGATCAATAAAGTATTATTTAAAAGAATTCATTTACCAATATCAGAAAAGGCATATTATGAAACAAAACAACTTTAATGGAAACCTTGGTTGTTTATTACCTGTCAGCATTCGGAGGTGACCCTAACAGGGTGACGATCTTCGGGGAGAGCGCCGGGTCGGCAAGCGTCAACTTACACCTTCTATCTACCATGAGTGCTGGTCTCTTCTCTCGAGCAATTATGCAGGTTGATATCTTAATATTAGGCGTCTTTTCGATTGCGTCATTAACTGTGCTTATTGAGCAATCAAGCAATAGGCTCGACACATTGTTTGCTCTGCCCATTGCTATCAATCTTTGTACGATTATCTCACTTTCACATGGTGAGTCAAAGATCGCTTCAGTCAATGATGCCGCCCTTCGTCAGGCAAATGATTCCTCGTGTGCCATGGTCTAATGCCCGTTGCACATCGGGCGCGCGTCATTTTGCTTTGACGCGCCGTGAGGAAGTAATATACTAATAAGCTTATCGCTGTGTCAGGTATGAATAGCGCCTGGTACAATGACGCATTGGCAATGACGCCTCATGTAAAAGCGGCATTAGGCTTATGCCACACAAAATGACTTGGTCTTTCCAGCTATGACGGTAGATTAGACTCCTTGGCAGATACTGTCACAAAGTGGCCTGGGCATTTATTGACGGTTATCCTTTATTTCGTCAAGCGCACCAAATTCGCCCGGTGGAGTATTGTTTTTGCTGTTTGATTGTTAACCTAATTCTTTATCATCCATTGAATTAGTGACAGGATAAACATTACGAATGTATAGCACACTCCAATAATGTTTAGTAAATTAGAAAGTTTAATATCAAGAAGATCGCAACTTCTCTTTAAAAATCATCATCGTAAACGCTTTACAACGGACAATATAATACACGAAACGACCCACGAACACGATTCGTAAACACTGTGATCTATTGTCTGTAAAATATGAAAGCGAAGTGATTAATACATCAAGATTATATATTACATCTTTTAAGAGTGGAGCCCTAACCGATACCTGGACCCATCACGCTACCATGTTTGAAGTCGTCAAGATGACCTATGACATGGGCAAGACACTGGGATGTGACGTCACAACATCAAGTGCTTTGGTACGATGTCTTCGAGCCAAACCGGTTGAAGATTTCATCACTATTTACGAAGGGGTACGTTTATCTTTCACATTAGACTTTCAAAATAAAATGACGAAAATCATAAATCATAATCATCAGCAGCAGTAGCAGCATCATCATCAGAATCACCACCATCACTATCATCATGATCATGATCTTTATCATCATTATCATCACCATCATCAGTATTATAACCATTATAATCATAATCATCATCTTTATCATCGTCATCATTGACATCATCACTATCATCATCCTCATCGTCGCCAATATAGTTATTATCATTATCATCATCATCATCATCACAATCACCATCACCACCATCATCACTATCTTCATCATCATCATCATCTCCATCATAATCATCATCATCTACGAATGAATATAAGAAATATATCAATACATAGTATGCAAATCCATCATTTGAAATTGGATATATCCAACATTATTCACGGCAATAAATGTTTTTGAAGCTAAACCCAACATTTTTAATCATCAATTATTTCAGGAATCACCGGGTGTCTTATCTGCTCCATTTTACTTTCATCCCGTGGCTGATGGGCAGTTTCTGTCCGATGACCCGATCAAGATGGCATCGGAGGGATCGTTCAATCAAGTTAACGTCATGGTTGGCTGCACGAAGGTGAGACAATCTAAATTACTAACAAAATAGTGCTTCGTTAGCGCTTAGAGACTTCGGTGGTGAGCGCTTTATAAGCACCGTTATTTTTATTATTGTTATTATTATTATTATTATTATTATTATTATTATTATTATTATTATTATTATTGAAAGTATCATCAATTTTTGAAGAACGTACGTCTAAATATGAGGTTCATTAGGGAATCTTAGGGGGCGAAATTCACGTAGCCCCATTGCTCCCGTTTAGAGGAAAATTAGAGGGGTTGAAAACGGGGAGGGGGAAAAACGGGAAAGGTGAAAAATAATTTCACATTTTTTAAAGATCCTATGTTCACATCTTCCCCCCCCCCCTGAAACTTCTTTCAAGAGTGCTTGGAGCTAACCAATCAACTGTACACAAATTATTCAATTAAGATAGGTGAAAGTTAATGTGCACAACATTCAAGGGTATAAAATGGAATAGTAAACTCTGGACTTTGCAAATTCAAATTTACGCCTTCCATTTCAATCGCAGGACGAGGGATCGGTGTTTACGCTGCCCATGGTAACAGGTGGGGGCCTGATCGAGCCACCCTCAATGAACCTGTCAACCTTCCGCCAGATGATTGCAATGAATCTCAGGACCCAAGACCCTCTCACACTGGACCTTGCTCAAAACATGTTTGCCACCCCAGAACAGGTAAAGGATCCCCTTTTTCTTCATTTTTTAAAATATTTTTGTTTACTGCTCAGCTACCCCTATAGAAAACAACGCAATGAGATAATCATCCCATTGGACGACTATACCCTAAGACATCTGGCCTCGGAAGAACCATTCAGACATCATTCTATAATTTCCTTTAAAGAACCTAAGAATTCTAGATAATTAGGTGGGCTGTATCTAATACAGACCACCTTATAATTTTGTTAAAATTGCCTTTATTATTATTATTAGGTGGGCTGTATCTAATACAGACCACCTTATAATTTTGTTAAAATTGCCTTTATTATTAGGTGGGCTGTATCTAATACAGACCACCTTATAATTTTGTTAAAATTGCCTTTATTATTATTAGGTGGTCTGTTGAAAACAGATCACCTATTGTTTTCGTCAGAATTTTCTTTATTATTATTATTATTCTTTATTTTTATTTATTTCCTACACTTTTTTGTGCCTAGGATAACTCAAGTTCGGTTTCGTCAATTTCATTCAATTTTGGCACAGTCATAGGTCATTGTCATGAGACGTGACAGGAACATTTTCAAGGTCATCAAGTCATCGTGACGTCATCCAGGCGCCATTTTGTGAAATCCCATTATCCATCATATCTTCATGATGCATAGGCAAAGGTCATTCATATCCATATCACATATATTTCAGGTCAAGGGTCTAAAGGTCATGTCATCAAAGGTTACATAAAGGTCACGACGCGCGCGTACGTGCGCGTCAAAATTTAAAAATGCTCAAAATCACTTAACTATCAAAGTAGAGTACGAATCAGGTCATTTTAAGCATTTCAAAATTTTCCGTCCGTAAGTGTCCACGCGCGCGTTGCGCGCGCTCACAACGCGCGGAAAAGGTCAAATTCCTTTTTTTTTACATGATTTAGATTCCTCTTACCGTAAATGACAACTTACATTAATTTCAGTCACTCTTGACCTTTTATAAGGCCGTGAGCGCGCGTCAAAGTTCAAAATCCGCGCGGGCTGCTATGGGCAATATAATGCAAATTTGATCAAAAACATCCCATTTTAAAAATCAAAATAGCTCTTCAGAGAGTCAATTGACCCCAACTTTTATATCATGGTTGGAAAAAGCATGAGTTGGAAATATGATTTCATGTCTCATTTGACCCTCAATTAACTCATGACGTCATCATAATGGCCTTCGAACTCAAAATTGTAATTTTCATATTATGACGTCAGCAGATTTTTGGAAAATTGATTGTAACTCTGTAAATGTTGATCAATTTTCTTTCAAATTTTGATATGTTCTACCTGAGAATATTTTCTACAAATGCAGTTACCACGATATTTCATTTTGACAAAGGCATCATGGCGTAATTTTGCGATTAAAGGAGGCATGTCAATTTTTCACATTTTGTGTGTATTCTCTATAGGACATGACTTTTTCTCAAAACTGGATTCTACATTCCCGTGATTTGCAAGCAATATCTCCTTCGTTTCAGCTTCGTTTTCGCTGAGCTTGGAGTATGTTGTAGCTGAGACAATAAGCTATCACAAGTGTGCCCTTTATTTTTCAATCAGATGCCGGGATAATGCTCATATTTCACTTGCGAAATGGGATTTGAGAATTCTATTTTCCGTTTACGTGTAATCGCTATGGGAAATGTTTTGGTATATCGGTAACGCACTTGACTTCCGACCTCGAGGTACCTGGTTCGAGTCCGGGCGTCTCCAACAATTTTTTTCTTCACTTTTTTTTTTATTTTTGACCTTTCACTGTACCATCTCCTTTGAATATTAAAACACATATAATCGCAAATAATGTAATTAACAACTAAATTTTACCTTTTATTTCTTCCCGTTTTTTGTGCCCCGGATAACTCAAGTTTGGTTTAGTTAATTTCATTAAATTTCGGCACAATTATAGGTCGTTGTAATGAGACGTGACAGGAACATTTCCAAGGTCATTAGGTTATCGTGACGTCATCCAGGCGCCATTTTGTGAAATCACGTTATCCATCATATCTTCATGATGCATCAGCAAAGGTTATTCATATTCATATCACATATACTTTAGGTCAAGGGTCAACAGGTCATGTCATCAAAGGTCACATAAAGGTCATGACGCGCACGTACGTGTGCGTCAAAATTTTAAAAAGCTCAAAATCACTTAACTACTTAAGGAGAGTACGAATCAGGACATTTTAAGCATTTCAAAAATTTCCGTCCGTACATGTCCCCGCGCGCGTTGCGCGCGCTCATGACGCGCGGAAAAAGTCAAATTCAAAATGTTTACATGATTTGGATTCCTCTTAACGTAATTGACAATTTACATTAATTTCAGTCACTCTTCATATTTCATAAGGCCGTGAGCGTGCGTCAAAGTTCAAAATCCGCGCGTGCTGCTATAGGCAATATAATGCAAATTTCATCACAAACATGCCATTTTAAAAATCGAGATAGCTCTTCAGATAGTCCGTCGACCCCCAATGTTTATATCATGGTTGGAAAGAGCATGAGTTGGAAATATGATTTCATACCACCCTGACTCGTACAAAGTGAAACAAAATCTTCATATTTGCATCTAAACTAAAGAAAATGTATTTTGTTGATGACGTCATTTTTGTCTTTGTTTAATTGAGATTATCTCGCGTATCAGTGATCGATTTTCTCCCAGATTTCGATATGTTGTAGCTGAGTTAATTCTCTACCAGAAATAGCCATTTATTTTTCATTTGAATGACGTCATCATAGTGAAATATTCGATTAAAGTCGACAATGCATAATTTGTCATATTTGCGTGTCACGTCTATGGGAGGTCACTTTTGTCAAAACATGTATCTGCATGACAATGTGTTTTGACCAGTATCTCGGTTATTATTCAACAGTTTTCTCCCAAATTTTAGTATGTTGTAGCTGGGACTATTTGCTATCTAAATACTTCCATTTTCTTCAATCAGATGTCAGGATCATGCTCATGCATGCTCATCATCATCATCATCAATATCATCATCATCATTATCATCAATGTCACCATCATCATCATGGTCTGAAGATGATCATCATCAACATCATTATGATCATGATCATTATCATCATCATAAAAAATTATCGTTTTTATCGTCATATAACATTATCATTATCTTCATCATCATCACCTTTACTATCATGATCATCATCATGTTCATCACGATCCTCATTGTTTACATGTCTTTATAACTTCTCCCATTCTCAAATCTATCATAAGACTTAGACAGACCACCTTATTCGTCTTCGTGACGAATTAAATTTCTAGTTATTATTATTTATTATTTATTTTTCTTATTTCGACCCACTTTTTTGTGTTCAAGATAATTTGAAAATGGCTCAATCAAATATCTTAAAATTTAAAACACATATGTATAGGCATATTCACAAAACACAGCAAATTTTTCGACCTTGACCTTGACTGATGACGTCATCTAGGCGCCATTTTGTGAAAAATTTTGAAAATCAACTTATGATCATATCTTCATAACCAAAAGTAATATCTCATTCATATTTATCATGATCAAGGTCAATATCAGTCCGGTCAAATTCAGGTCAAAAAACGCGCGCGTGCGCGTACGTCCGCGCGTCATTACGCGCGCAAAAATTTTAAATGCTCGAAATCGTCTTAAATTTTTTTTGCATACGTTTCAGGTCATTTTAAGCATTTTATAAAAAAATCGCGCGCACGAGCATGCGCGCGCGTTTTCGCGCGTTACACCATTACACAACATAGAATCGCCATTTTTTTTTCTTTCATGATATTTCTCATATTTTTTCGAGGAATTTGATACCATGTTTATCTCTTTATGTCCATTAACAACAAGATGAGCGTCAATTCAAGAAAAATGCCCGTGCGCGCGAGCTCTTTTAATACATAGCATATATGGGCAAAAACATGCCTATACAAAATCCATTATAGCTCTTTGGAATGAACCGTGACCTTCAATTTTTTTCATATTTAGATAGAGTATGAGTCGAAGATATGATTCCATGTCTCATTTGGCCATTAAGTGTATCGTGACATCATCATAATGGCCTTGGATCTCAAAATAGGAATTTGCATATTATGAAGTCAGCATATTTATGTAAAATTGATTGTATCTCTGGAAATATTTATCGATTTTCTTCCAAATTTCGATATGATGTAGCTTAGACAATTTTCTACAAGCTTAGTCATCACCATTTTTCATTTTGATGACGTCATCATAGTGAAAATTACGATTAAAGGGCACATATCAGAAATGTCTTAAGTAGCGTGTTATGCCTATTGAAGGTGAATTTCGTACATCTTTAATCTACATGACATTGTTTTTTTTAGCAGTATCTCGCTTATTTTTGCTCTATTTTGTCTCAAAGTTCAGTTTGACCAGCCCACCTATACTTGTTCCAAACAAGTATTATATGTCTAGTTATTATTATTATTTATTATTTATTTTTCTTATTTCGACCCACTTTTTTGTGTTCAAGATAATTTGAAAATGGCTCAATCAAATATCTTAAAATTTGGTACACATATGTATAGGCATATGAACAAGGCACAGCAAAGTTTTCAACCTTGACCTTGATTGATGACGTCATCTAGGCGCCATTTCGTGAAATTTTCTGAAAATTTACTCATGATCATATTTTCATAACGGTAATTCATTTCTCATTCATATTTATCATGATCAAGGTCAATATGTGTCCGGTCAATTTCAGGTCAAAAAACGCGCGCGTCCGCGTACGTTCGCGCGTCAGTGCGCGAGCAAAATTGTTAAATGCTCAAAATCGTCTCAAATTTTTTTGCATACGTTTTAGGTCATTTTAAGCATTTTATAAAAAATCGCACGTACGCGCATTCGCGCGCGTTTTCGCGCGTAACACCATTACAAAACATAGAATCGCCATTTTTTTTTCTTTGATGATATTTCTTATATTTTTTCAAGGAATTTGATACCATGTTTATCTCTTTATGACCATTAATAACAAGATGAGCGTCAATTAAAGATAAATGTCAGTGCGCGCGAGCTCTTTTAATACATAGCATATATGGGCAAAAACATGCCTATACAAAATCCAATATAGCTCTTTGGAATGAACAGTGACCTTCAATTTTTTTTCATATTTAGATAGAGTATGAGTCGGAGATATGATTCCATGTCTCATTTGGCCATTAGGTATATTGTGACATCATCATAATGGCCTTGGAACTCAAATGAATTTGCATATTATGATGTCAGCATATTTATGTAAAATTGATTGTATCTCTGTAAATATTGATAAATTTTCTTCAAAATTTCGTTATGATGTAGCTAAGACAATTCTCTACAAGCTCAGTAATAATCATTTTTCATTTTGATGACGTCATCATAGTGAAAATCTCGATTAAAGGCCTCATGCCAAAAATTTCATAATTTGCGTTATCCCTATAGAAGGTGAATTTTGTTTACGTCATGAAACTACATGATATTGTTTTTAAGAATTTTAAAGCAGTATCTCGCTTATTTTTGCTCTATTTTGTTTAAAATTTAAGTTGACCAGCCCACCTATACTTGTTCCAAACAAGTATTATATGTCTAGTTATTATTAGGTGGGCTGTATCTAATACAGACCACCTTATAATTTTGTTAAAATTGCCTTTATTATTATTATTATTATTTATTATTTATTTTTCTTATTTCGACCCACTTTTTTGTGTTCAAGATAATTTGAAAATGGCTCTATCAAATATCTTAAAATTTAACACACATATGTATAGGCATATTCACAAAACACAGCAAATTTTTCGACCTTGACCTTGACTGATGACGTCATCTAGGCGCCATTTTGTGAAAAATTTTGAAAATCAACTTATGATCATATCTTCATAACCAAAAGTAATATCTCATTCATATTTATCATGATCAAGGTCAATATCAGTCCGGTCAAATTCAGGTCAAAAAACGCGCGCGTGCGCGTACGTCCGCGCGTCATTACGCGCGCAAAAATTTTAAATGCTCGAAATCGTCTTAAATTTTTTTTGCATACGTTTCAGGTCATTTTAAGCATTTTATAAAAAATCGCGCGTAAGCACATGCGCGCGCGTTTTCGCGCGTAACACCATTACAAAACATAGAATCGCCATTTTTTTTTCTTCATGATATTTATTATATTTTTTCAAGGAATTTGATACCATGTTTATCTCTTTATGACCATTAATAACAAGATGAGCGTCAATTCAAGATAAATGTCAGTGCGCGCGAGCTCTTTTAATACATAGCATATATGGGCAAAAACATGCCTATACAAAATTCATTATAGCTCTTTGGAATGAACCGTGACCTTCAATTTTTTTTCATATTTAGATAGAGTATGAGTGGGAGATATGATTCCATGTCTCATTTGGACATTAGGTGTATCGTGACATCATCATAATGGCCTTGGAACTCAAAATACGAATTTGCATATTATGACGTCAGCATATTTATGGAAAATTGATTGTATCTCTGTAAATATTGATCGATTTTCTTCAAAATTTCGATATGTTGTAGCTAAGACAATTCTCTATCAGCTACGTAAAAACCATTTTTCATTTTGATGACGTCATCATACTGAAAATCTCGATTAAAGGCCTCATGTCAAAAGGCCTTCATAATTTGCGTTATCCCTATAGAAGGTGAATTTCGTTCACGTCATGAAACTACATGATATTGTTTTTCAAGAATATTTAAGCAGTATCTCGCTTATTTTTGCTCTATTTTGTCTCAAATTTAAGTTGACCAGCCCACCTATACTTGTTCCAAACAAGTATTATATGTCTAGTTTATTATTTATTTTTCTTATTTCGACCCACTTTTTTGTGTTCAAGATAATTTGAAAATGGCTCAATCAAATATCTTAAAATTTAACACACATATGTATAGGCATATTCACAAAACACAGCAAATTTTTCGACCTTGACCTTGACTGATGACGTCATCTAGGCGCCATTTTGTGAAAAATTTTGAAAATCAACTTATGATCATATCTTCATAACCAAAAGTAATATCTCATTCATATTTATCATGATCAAGGTCAATATCAGTCCGGTCAAATTCAGGTCAAAAAACGCGCGCGTGCGCGTACGTCCGCGCGTCATTACGCGCGCAAAAATTTTAAATGCTCGAAATCGTCTTAAATTTTTTTTGCATACGTTTCAGGTCATTTTAAGCATTTTATAAAAAAATCGCGCGCACGAGCATGCGCGCGCGTTTTCGCGCGTTACACCATTACACAACATAGAATCGCCATTTTTTTTTCTTTCATGATATTTCTCATATTTTTTCGAGGAATTTGATACCATGTTTATCTCTTTATGTCCATTAACAACAAGATGAGCGTCAATTCAAGAAAAATGCCCGTGCGCGCGAGCTCTTTTAATACATAGCATATATGGGCAAAAACATGCCTATACAAAATCCATTATAGCTCTTTGGAATGAACCGTGACCTTCAATTTTTTTCATATTTAGATAGAGTATGAGTCGAAGATATGATTCCATGTCTCATTTGGCCATTAAGTGTATCGTGACATCATCATAATGGCCTTGGATCTCAAAATAGGAATTTGCATATTATGAAGTCAGCATATTTATGTAAAATTGATTGTATCTCTGGAAATATTTATCGATTTTCTTCCAAATTTCGATATGATGTAGCTTAGACAATTTTCTACAAGCTTAGTCATCACCATTTTTCATTTTGATGACGTCATCATAGTGAAAATTACGATTAAAGGGCACATATCAGAAATGTCTTAAGTAGCGTGTTATGCCTATTGAAGGTGAATTTCGTACATCTTTAATCTACATGACATTGTTTTTTTTAGCAGTATCTCGCTTATTTTTGCTCTATTTTGTCTCAAAGTTCAGTTTGACCAGCCCACCTATACTTGTTCCAAACAAGTATTATATGTCTAGTTGTATTTTGGTTTTCGAATTCATGCACGATAATGTATGGACGTGTGGAATTGGGTATGTGGACTTCAGTGGGTGTGCGTTGTGTTTTCTCCCCACTATAGAGAATTTAATATGAGGGAGTCTCACCTTCTCTACCTCGGGGGCTTCCCCCACCCCGCCAAATTTCATTAAACAAAATTAACAATTTCATTAAGTGCTAACAGATGCTTGGCCTAACTTATTTTCTGCGTTTCTGGACTTTTTCCTTTTAGCTTGCTGATCCTGATGCAGACTACCTTTCTTCGGTCAACAAACTCATCGGTGATAAGATGATGTTGTGTCCTACATTTGGCATGTCCGAGGACCTTTCGCGGGCTGGCCGAAACGTTTATTCATACGTAATGACTCACAACCCCGCAATCTCTGTTTGGGGTAGCCAGTACGACTGGTTAGGTGCCTCCCATACTGAGGATATTCCGTATGTCTTCGGCGCTCCTTTCCTTCGACTGCCAGAGGACCCACCAGAGTGGGCTGGTAAATTCGGAAACGAACAGGAGGTCCAGATGTCCCTTCAGACCATGAAATACTGGTCCAACTTTGCCAAGACCGGGTGAGGTTAAGACAAGTGTATACCAATGGCGGATCCAGGTTTCTCCTGCTGGGGTAGGGTGGAGGACACACACTTTAAAATCTCAGACAAAGAAAGAAAGAAGGAAAAACGAGGACAAAATGAACTGTGGGTTTGCCGGAGTTTCGCCTTGCATCCTGACTGATGTCCATCAGTTACTTTTAAATAGACTATGCTGCGTTGTCAGTTGCAAATAATGTGGTATCAAGATGCGCTCAGTATCTTTATACAATATCAAATAAACCTTTTAACAAAGATTATTCTGAAATGGTCATATTTTGTTGCTCTCTGATCCCGTCATAAACCGTTTAAATTTCGTCAGAAGTTATACATCTTCTCTAGTTTACCAAGGCTTCTTTTCTGTTCCTTTTGCCTGTTTAGAGATCCAAATTTGTCTTCAAATCTTGAAGATGCCGCTGGTTCTAAGTACACTTTCTGGTCCAAATCTACCCCGTCGGACCCAAGTTACAAGGAACTCTCTCCATCTTTTGAAAGCCGTGCAGGAACGGCCAATGCAAAGGAGTGCTATTTCCTGAATAAATTGGTCCCATCCCTCCTTAAAAATGCAGGTTTGTAATCCATTTTTATTCATTTGCACAATCGGTGAACTAGGTGTGTTGAAAATTAAAATTAAAATCTCGGTATAGTTGTCACACACACGTAACAAGTGAAGCTGCTTGTGTACAACTTAATGAGCATTAACACATATTATGTGATTTTAAGACGTTGACTAACTTTCTCTTGAACTTATAATAATCACTTTATAAACTTCAAGAACAAAAATAGGACATTTGAATACATGAAAAGAAAAGATTGGAGATTATGAGAATAGAAAACTGAGGAGAATAAACTACGGGCAATAATGTTAAAATTAGTTATCAAAGGGAGAGGATGTAGATGAGGGAGATGAAAGAAAGAATGGGGAGATGGAAGTATAAGAAAAAGGGGTAAATATTAACTAACAACAATAATAACAATTTAAACAATGATAGTGGTAATAATAATTACACTGATAATAATAATAGCAGCAATAGAAATTAAAAAAAAAAATTAATCCACGGAAGCCTCATGATCAACTATGCTGTTCTTACTGAGATTAAAAACGAGAAGAAGAGTAAGGAATTAGATTCGAAAGAGGGAAGAACAAAACCAAGAAGACCAATTTAAGGCACAAGACGAAGAGACATGAAAGAGGTTCACTATAGCAAAAAAGATGTTTGAAGAAACACTTTAAGTTGTGTATTTATTGGCTTACGTTGGCTTGGTTTTTTTTTGTCTGTTACAGATGAGATGGCGCACCTAAAGTCTCTCTTGGAGGAAAAGGTCAAAGAAACCAGCCAAGCATCGTGTGTCGACCCTCAATCCTGCCCTGAACAGTGAGAAGATTGGATCACATCTTCGTCGTCATCACCATAATAATAATAATAATTATAATATTTAATGTTTATATAGCGCTTAAAGAGAAGGTTGAGTTCTGGGAAGAGGTGAAAAATAATTTGTGAGCGGTATCATTCTTATTATGCAAGTGTGGAAGAACATCAGATAAGATATGTTCCCTGAAAAGCATGGCTCTTCAAATGCCTTCATATTCTAAATATGTCATGTAACATCGTAAAACTCGGGGGTAGTATTTGTTCGTGTAGTCCCATATCCATCTTTCTGTGTACAGTGTTTGTAACTTTACCAAGACTTGGCCAAATTTCTTATCATTTTGATGTTTTCAGAACCTTGCAATACACACAAATTCTTACATGCTAGATGATCAACTTTTTTTGGTCGATTCTACACCGTTTCTTTCACAATGCAATCGCACGACCAGAACTCAACTTCATCTTTAATATAAATGTCTCTAAGCGCTTTACAAATATACTATTACCACGGTCATTGGATTCAGTGCTTGCCTGCACACAACATGTGCACAATTTCCACTCCCTGGGGAGCATTCCAGCCAGGCGTTACATGAGAATGGAAGCAATTTTAACATCAGCGTCATCTTCATCGTCTTGCTACTCACATTCCTAACCTCTTCCTCATCATCGCCATCATCATTGTTTTCATCATCGTCATTAATCTGAACAATAGTCGTCTTTGAATATAAAGCACAAATAAATATATGCCAAGCACACTTCCTCTATACATCTCAACATTCTTTCAGCAACAGAGAACATCAATTATTTACTTACTGTACATCTACATCAGCTCATTCTTTTCTCTTTCCCAAATCCCGAAGTCAGGTTGACTTAAAATCCTATAAATCCGTTACCTCACATCTATCAAACAAACTCGATCCGGCATTTCTAACAAACAGCTGAAACCGTCTTGTTAATTTGTCCCTAGACTAAGGGACAGTGCCCTGTATCCTCGGGAAAAGGTGCAACATAAATCAATTTATTATTTAATCGTCCTTTTAATGAAGGCACGAGTAAATCTTGTTAGGTCCACACTAAAAAAGCATTGTGCAGCGACATTATGTAAGACTGAAAGGATGATGTTTATTAATTATTACCTAGATTATTAAAATCTGAAATTGAAATTCCATTTTTCTGTTTACGCCATTTTTTGTGGGATGAAACTGAGGAAAGACCTGAAAACCATGGTAAAGGAAAAAGAAAAGATAAGAAAATTTGTGGGTCAATTACGATGAAAGGGAAATGAGTTACAACATGATCGATAAAGAGAGAGAGAGAGGGGGGTATACAGAGAGAGAGAGAGTGGAGTAGAGAAAGAGAAAGAGAATGTGAGAGATAAAAAGCACAAGAATGAGGGGCTATAGAGAAAGGAGAAACGAAGGAACTTTGGGCAGAAGAATGTAGGCCTGCATATAGAAATGGACTTTGCTCAGACTATTTACTTTACTTTACGTTAAAGATGTGACCTATTATTTAGGTCAAGTTGCTCATGCTGAAGATATAGACGGGCAATTTTGTATTGATATGATAATGATTCATGTGTTTAAGTCGAACAAACTTTGGGTTTACATTTATTGTGCACCGCAGTGGTTTAAAACTTACAACACAAAATGTCTCCTGCATTCTCTCGGTGGGTGTTAGTCGTCGCGGCCTTTTTCATTCAAGGTTCCGTGTTATCTATCGACATCGAGCAGCCCATCGTGAAGACGTCAACCGCGACTTTCCTGGGTAAGCGACTCGATATTCGACCTCATCAGCTTCCGAACGATTACCATCGTAGTGTATCGGCTTTCACGCGGATCCCGTACGCCGAGCCGCCCATAGGCCAACTCAGGTTCACAAGACCCGTCGCCAGGGTTGTCGAGGGGGAGTTCGACGCAACTCGATCAACTGTGGTTTGTCCGCAACCAAGGAATGAGATCTGGGAGATCAAACCAGAACAGTCGGAGGATTGTCTTACTCTCGATATATTTGTTCCTAATCCAAAGGTACTTACTGAAAGTCATATATTTCATTTATATCGTCTACCCTTGATAGCAGGTTATTGTATAGTGCCCCCTCACAATTCACTAGACCTTCTCGACAATGTCTGGACGCTAAGCGATGTAGAGCAAACTACTTTGTCATGATTGGCCAGTAAATGCATGGGCAGAAATCAGAGGGTGGGGCCGCATCCGTCACGATTTGGAAGGGGGAGGCATTAATGCTCCCCATGATTTCCGGGCACGATTTACTGTTTTTTTTGCTGTACAGAGAAATCCAGGATTTCATATCAATAATATGTTTCTTTAACGTTTTTGGAATTGTTTCTGCCCCGGAATAATGACTGAATAGTATATTATTGTTTGATTGAATTATCAGTTGGCTGAGATCACATTTGGCATTATAATATAATTTCCTACAATAATTAAACTAAATGGTGAATGCGTCCACATATTTCGGTGTCTGGTCAAGCAAATTTAGTGATTGTTATTCCCAATTTCGATCTGCGAAGCCCCACGGTGCAGCGGTTATGATGTGGATACACGGTGGCGGCTACCACATAGGAACCGGCTCCATACCCGGTCAGCTCCCTGCGCCATTGGCTGCTTTCAATGACGTCATCGTGGTCACTATCAATTACAGACTTGGACCTTTGGGATTCTTGGCTACTGGTAGGACATCATCAATATAACGTCTATTAACTCTAAGGAGTAATTTAGTGTCAAAATTTGAAACACTATTCTCGTGATGCATACAGATTAATGAGCATTTCTTCCCTCATACAATTTATGTTGGTCAGAAATTTTATTCAAAACTATTTATATCCCCTTAGGCTGACATTTGGCATACACTGTTGCTTGATAGGAAAAAACTCAGACAAGTATCATGCAAATTTTCAAGCGCATATGGCAGAAACCAAAATTTTCAATATCATACGTGAGTCCAATCCATTGTCTAATTTCGTCTTAATGGATGAACTTTCAAACCAATGATATAAAAACAGTAATTCGTGGAATTCCAATGATATCCTTCTCAACAAAGGTCCGGAGTATTTTTTTTAACCATCTTTGATGTTATGATATCCAAGTGTGTGTTGATTTCTTACAGGTGACGGGTCCATACCAGCAAACCTTGGTCTGTTAGATCAAAGACAAGCGCTAATCTGGATTCAACACAATATTGAAGGTAAGACAGGGAGTAAGGAGAGATTGAAAGGGAAGAGGGAGATTGGGAAGAGAAATAGGGGAGAGAAAGAGATACAGAGACACCTACAACCTACAGTACTAGCGAATTAGCTGTATGCAGATTTTGAAGGTTTCCAGAGTTATATTGAACATTTATCAATACCTCAAATCAAAAATCAGAATAGAATTTGATATGTTTATACAATAAAAGTCAATAATTTTTGTGTTAATCAGCCTTCGGAGGTGACCCTAACAGGGTGACGATCTTCGGGGAGAGCGCCGGGTCGGCAAGCGTCAATTTACACCTTCTATCTACCATGAGTGCTGGTCTCTTCTCCCGAGCAATCATGCAGGTTGGTTACACGTTACAGGTTCTTTTATTATTTTGTAAATCCCTAGATCATTTTTGACGGTCATCAATGTTTATAATTTTGCAACAATAATTATTTAAGATTTCAAAATTTGCCGTTATGAGGAAGATTGTAAATAAGGGGATGACACCCATGTTACATGTACATGCATCCAGGAAGCCTGGGAATGAGGGCCAACTTGAAGCCAATCAACAGATGTGCATTGTTTTACAACTGTTACAGGACACTTAGACGAATACTTTATTTGATTTTCCATTTTCCCCTTTGTAAGATCATGTAAAAAGTACATACCGCTGGTTGGTGGACTATAATGTTGGCATGTCGGGTTAAATAAACAGCAAGCTATCTTTCTCTCTTTGTCTTCCTCTTTATCTCTCTGTCTCTGTCTCTCTCTCTCTCTCTCTCTTTTTTGTCATGAAGAGTGGAGCTGTCACACCAACGTGGACCCATCACATTGACATGGCGGAAGCAGTTCAGATGACCCTTAACGTAGCTAAAGCTGTTGGCTGTGACGTCAATACTTCAAGCGAATTGGTGCGGTGTCTCAAACACGTACCAGCTAAAGATTTCATTGAGATCTACAATGATGGGGTAAGGGTAATGCACCGATAAAGATATACTGGTCATTGCACATGGGGCGTATATCGATTGCAGTATTACTTGCGTTAATCAAGCCCATACGCTATTCACTTTCTGTTATATGTCACTCTCACATTGCCCTTGCAAAAAAAATTCCAATTCCAACTCCAATTCCTGACGCAGTCCTTCGTTAGGCAAATGACGCCTTGTATGTGACGGGCATACTGCATTAATTGACTCAAGGCCACCACACCCCTCACGTTCCGACCATACGACCAAAATTTGAAGAAAAAAATACAGTATCAGGTATAAAATGTCAAGAATGTTCATTCAATTCAATTCAATTCATCTGTCAAAAACACTGATATTGAAACTAAATGGTATTTTAAGTCTACCGAACGGGAGACACCATTTTTGTTGCAAGTCTTCTCCGCTGGTTGAAATGAAGTGCTGGAAATTGTTTTTCTGATTTCAATACCGCAGTCGTCGGTGATCTCAAGCGAATTATTCGTTCATCCCGTGGCTGATGGTCAGTTCTTGCCCAATGACCTGATCAAGATGGCGTCGAGGGGATCGTTCAATCAAGTTGACGTCATGATCGGCTGCATGCGGGTGAGTTAAATAATTCGACCACAACGGCTTTCGGGAATCAACTCGATGGCAATCTTGATACCCTTTTGAATTGCCCATATATTTTTTTTTGTTTATCCTTCATATTTTGTAACTAATAACTTCAGCGTAATTTTCACGTATATCAACACTTGGTTGATTGGGCTATGGCCTTTGCGTGTTGTGAAAGGAAAGTAATAGTAATCTCATGCCTCGTGCAGATATGACGTGGCAGAACCGCTGCGATCTGATGACGTAAGGTGTAATATGACGCACATGTCTGTATCTTCGTATCCGGACACCTACCCCCTGGACAACCACCCCCTAATAACCACCCCCAGTCAACTACCCCCTAGGACAACTACCACCTAGATAAACTACCCCCTAGGACAACTACCCCAGACAACTAGCCCCTAGGACAAATACCCTCCCGGACAACTACCACCCGGACAACTAGCCCCCGGACAACTACCCTCTAGGACAGTTGTTCGGAAGTAGGTATTCTAAAAGGATGGTTGTCGTAGGGGGAAGTTATCTGCGGGTAGTTGTGCGGGGGTAGTTGTCATAGGGGTAGTTGTCTGGGGTTAGTTGTCCGAGGGGGTAGTTGTCTGGGGGTAATTGTCCGGTGGTAGTTGTCCCCGAGGGTAGTCGTCCTAGATGGTGGTTGCCCTAGGGGTAGTTGTCCTAGGGGTAGTTGACTGGGGTGGTTATCCGGGGTGGATGTCCAGGGGGTAGATGTCCTAGAACCTTGTGTTCGAGAAGACAGTTTCAGATTAACTGCGTTGTCTAGAATTTAAAGTGTGATATGGCTTTATTTCATCATCAAACTATCTAACGACAAGTGTTTCCTTTAAATATCTTTAGCTCTGTTTTATTGTAGTAGTTGTAGTACTAGTATTATAATAATAATGATGATTATGAGTATTATCACTATCATCACTCAGATCATTGTTTTAAGTTTTATTACTTGTAATTACTATTATTATTATTATTACTATTATTATTTGTTATCTTTATTATTATCATTGTTGTTATTTGAGTATTTGCTATCATTGTCAATATTGCTGATACCATTACCATTATTACTATTATCACAGAATGAGGGATCTATCTTCATCATCCCCTCCATGATGGGTCAGGAAGGTACCGAACCTCTTCCTATGAACCACTCAACCTTCCGCGAGGTCATAGCAATGAACCTAAACACGAATGACCCTATCACTCTCGATATAGCCCAACATCTGTTTGCAACAGAAGATGAGGTGAGAAGACTCTTCTACTACTTAATCAATAATCACGTTACCAAAAAGAAAAGTTGGAACTCATCCTAAGACTAACTTCCCTTTTTTAGACTCGATTTTAAACAAAAGGATAAATTGACTGGGACAGCCGACGACGAGACCCTTTCTTACTTTGTCAGTCTTGAGTGCTGCCTGTCAGTCTCATGAGCCGAGCCGCCGGTCTCATGGGCTGCTGGTCTCATGAACCTTTTAGAACTTTCCTTTTTTGTAAATTGTCTTGTGTGTTTCTTTGTTTGTCGGTCTCGTTGCCTGTCGGTAACCCCTTTTTCAGTGTCGGTCTTCACTGGGGTGGAGTGACCTCAAACTCAACGTCGGGTTTTTTGTGTTTGTTTTTTTAAATACGGGTCTTTGAGTCATTGAAACTAGCTTCATTTAAAAATTACTTTCCTTCTGGTTGTAAGATCATATGAAATTGGAGGTAAAAATACAGAAGCAAGCATTGGATGGGGATCAAGCAGGTATGTTAACATGCTATGAGAAGCAGGACAAAAACCGAATAGATTAAATATCATTCATGTCACTTGAAAATAATATCAGAAAAATGTCAAGGAAACTTAACCTATCACAGAGGCGTGTCCTTCTCTGATATCACTTCCGCAGCAAACTTAGGAATATTTAAATTTTTTGATAAACATTTAAACAAAATTAAATAGTGTTATTTATGATATTTTTGAAAAAGCAAAAAGGCAGAAGCTAAGGATGACGAAGACGTTTCGGAAGTAGACAACTTTTTAAGAATGTTACTGAATTTATTTTCGGGGTGCCACTTCTCTTACCAATATTTCCGCTCATTCTTTTATAGTTGTCTAATCCCGATGCCGACTTCATATCACCGGCTACCAAACTGATCGGCCAGGCCATGTTCCTCTGTCCGACCTTTGACCTCTCCGATGACCTGTCGAGGGCGGGGCGGGACGTCTACTCCTACCTCATGCCCCACGTCCCCTCCTTCTCGGTCTGGGGCAGCACGTACGACTGGCTAGGTGCCGCTCACGCTGAGGATATCCCTTTTGTCTTCGGTTCATCTTTCATGAGCGATCCCGATGGCGACGCCGCACTGACTGGTCGATTCGGCAACGAACAGGAGGTCGAGATGTCGCTCCAGATGATGAGATACTGGTCCAATTTTGCGAAAACCGGGTAAGACCCTGGGTCCTGCTTCATAAAACTTGATATCAATAACAAGTTACAAGCTACTGTTATAAGCTACTGAAATCATGGCATCTGATTGGCTGAGAGCAAATTTATCATAGAAATTGAGCGTTTGTTATTGATAACAAGTTTTATGAAACGGGCCCAGAGGCCGTCTCATGCAGGACTCGTTGGCAATCAACTCTTTTATTCGTGTAGCCTAGCTAAAGCCTGGAGATTTGGAGAAACTTGAGCACCTTGCATGATGGATAAGAGGGATATACAAGAAGTCATGGTATTCTCTTTTATCATCACCATTTCGTAATCAAATCAGAGTAATTAAGATTTGAAATAATTACGTGTAAACTGTTAAGCATGTTGCATGGTGTATTGAAAACACCATCTCAGCAGCTGATCCAGCTTGATATCAAATTAACTAAACTATAAGTAAATGCTACAAGGCACTATTCATATTTAGGCATGCAGGGAGGAAGTTGTTTATTTTAGGTGCATTAAAGGTATGACAAAGTTTTGGGAAATTTTGAAAATTGAGTGGCAGTGATTCTTTACAATTTTGATATATTTGGATGCCCCTGTGTATGTATTAAAAGCACTAGAAAATTTAGCCCCTAAAATACTTCTGCTTTCGAGAAAAATTGAATTAAAACATATACCGGTGGTCCCGGTAGATTTGGATAAATTTCAAATAGCGCCTACGGCCATACAATAGTAGCTGCGACCATGAAAATCTCAGATAATGTAGCTGTGATATATAATTTCCAAACGGGAATGGCTAATCTGTCGATTTTAGTCAAGAAACATTATTTATAGGCTTTAGCTCAATTAATATCTTGACCTTGAGAGGGAGCTATACAACATAAAGAGTTTATTATTTACAATTTCATAACTTTATATTTGATTTCAACCGCTACAACGACCACTGAATATTGTAAGATCGCATATGTTTCCAATATGTTCAATTGAACCAAATTCATGACCTAATACCAAAACTTTATATTACTTCTAAGCCAAATCCTAAACTTTGAAATCGTGATCAAAGTGATCTGCTTCACGACAAATTAATTCTTCATCTTCCTCTCGCACTTAATTGTCTTTAGGGATCCAAACTTATCTACCAAGGGCGAAGACGATATTGGTTCCAAATATCCAGCTTGGTCCAAGTATACTCCCTTAGAACCTAGCTACAAAGAGTTCGCTCCTCTATTCGAGACTCGTGCAGGGAAACCCGATGCAAAGGAATGCTATTTCATGAAGAACCTGGTCCCAACTCTCAGTGCCAACGCAGGTATACAAAGAAAACTCTCGTAATTTGTTTCTGATTATGTTCGAAGAGTGTTAGTGTATAGAGATTGTCGATAATTTTGATAGAGATCGAGTCTAATGTTAGTGACGGTATCGATTTGCCAGTTATAGGCAACATTTAAATAAGACATGTTATGCATTATGATAACCAAGCGCTGTGGAAAAGGAAAATAATTAGACTGGAATCACAAAATTATAAGAAATTTGGCCCAGTCTTGGTAAATGTAACACGGACTACATGTTCACCAAAAGGTGTATATGGGACTTCATAAATTTGGCATAACAATCGGGCCTCATTTTAAGCTGTTACATATATGAAGGCATTTGAAGAGCCATGCTTTTCAGGAAACATTTTCTCTTATAATGTTCTTCCACACTCGCATAATAACAATGATAAAGATCACAAATTATTTTCACCCCTTCCCAGAACTCAACCTTCTTTTTAAGAGGGTAATGGTAATTTCAAGAAAGAAGAAGATAATCAAGAAATGAGAGGTGAGAGCGAAGAGGAATGTCATAGGGCTAAGAAACTGTAGTTCCCCCATTTTTATTCACTGAGAATTAAACCGCCAATCCAAATTTAAACTGTTCCTCCAATGTCCTGCTTTATTGTCCACAGAAGAGCTGACTCTCCTGAGATCTCTCTTGGCAGAGAAGATCAGAGGAGATAGTAAAAAATCCTGTCACAGCCCGCAGTCGTGCCCTCGACACTGAGGATATTCAGCAATGCGTCAACGTGACGCGGAAGTACATCGTTTTTTTTAAGGGGGTGTCCAAGTATTCGTCTAGACTGGGACCACTCAGTCAACATTTCCCGGTTCTAGAACACCTACCCCCTGGACATCAAACCCATGGATGCCCACCCACAGTCAACTACCCCTATGACAACTACACCCTAGGGCAACCATCCTCTAGGACGACTTCCCCCGGGACAACTACCCCACGGACGACTAACCCCCAGACAACTACCCCCTAGGATAACTACCCCCGAACAACTACCCCCAGACAACTACCCCTACGACAACCATCCTCTAGGACACCTACCCCCCCCCCCCCCAGACAATATTATCCTAGGGGATAGTTGTCCTTGGGGGTAGTTGTCTGGGGGTAGTTGTCCCGGGGGTAGTCGTCCGGATGCGACAATTCCCAACAAAATTATACGAAATTTTCCAGATTATACTCGTACGCTCCTTAATACATAAAAGATCAAATGAAAAATGGAATATTCAGGAAACAGCACGCTTTGGAAACTAACATTTATTGGAATGATTAAAGAATTCTTTATCAGAAATGAAAGACAGTTTTCAAGAGTAATCCATGTCTAAAACAGAGTAATTTAGACCAGAAGAATGAAAGGCACAATGAGTTGGTTCCATAAGGCACAGATATGCTAGCGCAAATTAATAGTGCTTACATAAGCCCGAAGAGTCTGTCCCAATTAGTCAATAGCTTTAACATGAACGTGTAAATACATGCAAAACAGCTTTTGTGTAAACATATACTTTCAACATAAAACTATTACAATATCAAATATATGCAAAATATTCAAAATGCATGCATATGCATTACACATTCATGACGTTAACAGCAGCATAGTGTAGATTTGACTCCGGAATAAAAAGAATTTGATTTCAAAAACACATTCTGACCAATTAGTGGAGGCACGATAGCTCAGTTGGTAGAGCAGTGGTCTCGTAATCCGGTGACCTGGGTTCGAAACCAAGGCTTGTGCCCTTTGGTAAGGCATTAGTCCTCATTACCAGGTCCTTCGGAGAGGACCTAAAGCCGTCGGTCTTCTGGTTGCTTACTAACAAGCATTTATTGCTTTCTAAAGCTGTCAGGTAAAGTAATCACCACTATAAACTATCAACTATATAAAGCATAATAAAGCATAAACGATGGTAGTAAAAGTTAAACTGTATATAACGCCTTCAAATTATACTCCAAATAGAACAATATCATTTACATCTGACTAATATAGCGTCCAAATATAGCTACTAGTCAGGTCATGTAAAATCAGCGATTATGTATATTCAGTACCGTTGGAGTAAAAAATCGTTTAAACTAGAAAATAACGAATTGTAAATCGGCGTACCTTGATAGATCAATGAAGTATGAACACGTAACAAAATATTAAAACATAATAATTAAAATGATGTACCCAAATGATCAAAGGCTGAAATTTACAGTTATTTTTCTCCTTCGTTATATACAATTTACTATATACTACATGTTTTCACTTATAGGAATGATGATTTTGAACTGCTATTTAAATCGAATGAAATACTTCGGGTTTAGTTATCATCTCTTCAAGAATAGAGACAGACGAGCTTATTATTGGGGGTCTTTAGATTGTAATGATAAAATGAAATTACACAGCAAACAAATTGTTAGAGTTATTCTAATAATATTTAATGAATCCCAGTACAGTAAAACCAGTTTAAATGATCAAGTACTGGAGCCCTTTCAACATAGGCAATGAGCATGTTGAGTACAAGAAGAAAAAAATTGATGCCATTGCTATATTACAATCGCCCTGTTTCATAATATACAAATAGTGAATGACCATGAGTAAAATGGTACAAGAGTTTGCACGAGGTAAAAAAAATAGAACGTCTTATCTTTCACCGAATGAAATAATCTATTCACTATTTGTTTTATACAACACCTCGGACGTTAACGGGCTTAAAACAATTTTTGTTTAAAAAACACTTTCCTAGGGCCTAGTCCAAATCTCAGCGATCTATGAAATTACCGATAGTGTTCATAATATTAACCATAGGCATAACTGCGCCGCGCGTATCATGCTTTATGTTTATTGTGACGTCAGAGTGCAATTTCGTTTGATCCATTTTGTTCCATTGATGTTACGGTAATTTCACTTACCTCACAATATACTTTGTACACCGTTAGTGACGTCAGCGTGCAATGGTGCAAATTGATCAAACGGAATCGCACGCCTGGAGAATGATGTTGTTCAACATTATTTTTTATCGCATGCCATGTGATTAAGACTTGCCCAATGAGGTTGCAAGAATCTTAGTAGGTGTTGTATAAAACTTATTATCAATAACAAGTCTCTTTATCTGTTATAAGCTACTGAAATCGTGGCATTTGATTGGCTGAGAGAAAATTTATCATAGAAATTTAGCATTTGTTATTGATAATTTCTGACATTTTCGTTGTTGGTTAGGTTACGATGGATGGAGACAGAAGGAGAAAAAGGGTGACGAGAACTGCCTCATTCAGATAAAACCGCGGCTATTTTATTTTTTAATTTTACGCGATGTCCATCACCTAACGAGTTTGACGTTCACTGGAAGAACGATTGAATGCGCTGGTATCGTGTCTTGAGTTGGTAACGTCTTGGGGCAAATAGTTGTTATTTACATGTATCTCTCTGTTCCCTACTTGGACATCTTCGACATGATTATAAAAACCAACCTGGGCATTTCCACTAAAAATTAGGTATACATTTTTCCCCCTAATGTCTCGGTGAGTATCTCCTGGAGGGGCACTACTTGGGAACTTTCTTTGCCATTCTTGATTGGAAAGATGTCCGTGAGACACTTTGGATCGCGTATAGTTTTGTCCATTTGGAAGAAGACGTTCCATTTCAGGCTCATCTTCCTCCACATGATGACTGTCCATGGAGTCACTACCATGGGGCAAATTGTTAACCAAAATTGGAGATTGGTTGACCTGGGTGACCGTATCCTCATCGGCACCCGCTCCTGAAGCACATGCACCTTTTCGTTTCCTTCCAGGACCTATATCTTCATCTATTCCTGGTTTAAACACATCGTCGTCTGAACCGCTCCGGGGCCTAATTTCGTCTATCCCACCACCAGTTTTGCCATTGTCTCTTCCATCATCAGTGTTTTCTTTCTCTGAAATATTTTCGGGAATAGGGTACATGGCTCTTGGGGGCGCTCTAGTTTCTTCAACCGCAATCCTCCCAATGTGTCCTTCTTCATGATTGGGATATGTGAACTTGGGGGTTCCGCTGTGATGCTCCGTAGCCGGGGTCCTTGAATGTGGTGACCAATCGTCATCAATTGGTAGTGACGAGTTACCTGTGTTAGGAGTGTCTGGAAGAGATGGAGACCTCTCCGATGGGCATGCTCCAGTATGATTCCCCCTCTCGGCCCGCTGTGGTGTTTGGGGATGATGGCTTTTTGTTAGTAGACCGACGGTCGATTCATCACGGGTGGGAGACATTGCATTCTGTCCAGGTTCATACCTGACTCCTTCCCTGACAGAAGGAGCATCAGAAGCAATAGCTGACCTGCATATCGAAAATAAACACATAAAGATAGGTTCTCCTTCAGTAGAATTACCTAGGGTAGGAACTCATGATGTTCCATTGTGTGAAGTATTGACTATTATTCCATTTCGTTTGGATGATCATACAATACAACGTGACCTTATTTGAACCGGAAGGCACAACTATTCAAATTCATGGAAAAGATAAAGATAAAGATTATCCCACTCTGAAAGACTCTCATCTTCCCTTGCTTGGGTTATAAAATGTTCGTTTTAAATTGTTTCAGTTAAAGTTTTTTGGCTAAAACAAATCATCGGGGATTGTATTATAAACTCTAGATCACACCAGGGGGGTCAAAGGAGTGTGATTACTGTCAGTTTGTAACTTACCTGTGGTCACCTGGCTCGAGCACTGGAGAAGGATTACCTACCAAAATGAAGAAATGATACAATTATCATGATTGGTAAGTAACTGATCTTAGTTATATCAGACAAACGTAGACGGGTTGTACGACACATACTCCTACAACCATTGCTTCAACGTCATTACCCTACACCAACCAAATTACTGACTGGACTCAATACTATGCCTAACCTTAACCTTAAACCGAACCTAAATCCTTAGTGCAACCCTGTATCTTTGTTGAAGTAAAGCCAGAAGCGATTGTCGCCGGGACATATGTCGGATTACCACTGAATGACTAGCCTTGTATGGAAATTCTTATTAACATCTCCGAAAGCCCAGAGGTACGTAGTATACAAATTTTGACATTTGTTTTTTTTTTGTAGCATTTTTTTATTGTATTCATTCAGTACAAAATATATAAAAACAAACAAACATACAGCTTCATTGATTTACATAACATATCAAAATATAAAGAAAATTGTACATCCCTAAAAAAATACATAAGATAGTTTAATACACAGTACATAATGTTTTCAAATTAATTATACTGAATGAATATTATAAATCAAAGCGTTACGCACAGACAGAAAGACACACCACACACGCTCACATACTCGGACACACATACAAACTTACATATGCCCCTCCCCCTCCCTTCATTCCAAAGCTCAACAAATTCCCCTTCCCTTCCAGAGCATTCACATGTTAAAACTATAGCCCACGCTAATCTCGAAACTGTATACTGTGCGTAGGGCAGTCTCCAGATCACCGAGGAGCAATAGTTTTACCGCGACCCGAAAATTAAGCAGTCAATATTTGTTTATTTGCCGCATCCAACAGCTTGATGCCCAATTTGTAACTGAGTGGGATGGAAGTTGGTTCTTCAATAATGGAGGGGTACGGTTGTTATATATGGCTACATCATATATCCGATGTAATTATTATCGTTAATTTCTACCCTCCCTGAACATCTTTTCTCTTTATCGGTAAGTAATATAATGTTTTCAAGTTTTTCTCGAAGTCACTGTGATATCCGTAAACTGCAGAATACACATTATGACATTTTTTAGAAGGTGATATTTTATTATCAATAGCTTGATACAAAATAACTACAATCCGATACATGTACGATATCTGCATTTTTTTATTACAGTCCATTACGAATATTGTCAAGGTAAAAAAAAAAAATTTACACGGATGGATTCGTCCCAACTCACTGCGTTTCATGAGGCCGCACCAGATCAACCATTCGTTCGAGATGCAAGTGCCCCTTTCAAATGATAACTGAAGCGGAAGCCCACAATGGTTGTACAGCTCCTGTGACAATTGCTCCTCAACAATATCCTACACTAACGTATCACCTCCTGACCTAATACTATTCAATAGCTTGATACAAAATAGCTACAATCCGATACATGTACGATATCTGCATTTTTTTATTACAGTCCATTACGAATATTGTCAAGGTAAAAAAAACACGGACGGATTCGTCCCAACTCACTGCGTTTCATGAGGCCGCACCAGATCAACCATTCGTTCGAGATGCAAGTGCCCCTTTCAGATCTCCGACACATGTAGCACCCAACCAACACGATTATGATAATAACAACAACCCCCATGACAACAGGAATGATGATGATGAGAAGATGAAATTTGGAACTTTGGCTTTCTGCAAATAAATACAAAAATGATAAATGAAGCTGAAACCCACAATGGTTGTACAGCTCCTGTGACAATTGCTCCGCAACAATATCCTACACTAACGTATCACCTCCTGACCTAATTCTATACCTAAACCCTTAACCTGAGCTGAGCCGTTATAAGGTATAACCTAAAACCAGTTTTGTATCCCTTACCCTAAACCTATACATTTGACGAAACAAAGCTCGGAGCAATTGTTGCAAGAGCAGGCGATGGTCCATCCCCATGGTATCGACAGCTGGCGAGACCGATGGCCCATGAGACAGAGACTGCCGGTCTCGCGAAATGTCTGAACAGTTTTACGAGACTTCTACTGAAATGTCGTAATGAGGAGATACTCGAAGACAACACCTTTGATTGTATGTTGGTAGTCTTAGAACTTCAATTTATAGAATTGAATTAAATTGGCTATTCGTCACAGAAACACAAAATCAGAAACACTTCTTTAGAAGAATGGAGGTAACGAGAGTATACCAAATGACAAGTGATCGAGAAGGGATGAAAATGACTTTGAGAATGTAATATGAAAACAATAATAAATATATTACCTGTTACATCCCTGGCGAAACGGGCAATGATTGGCTGCGACATATCACGTGGTAAATCTAATTTGTTACTATTCTTTTCCAAAATGGCGCCATCATTTGAATCATCAGAATTTAACGGGTAGATCTATATGAAGTGGGAAAAAGACAGAAAGGAGAGTAGCCGAATGCTTTAAATTAATACGTATATATATATATATATATGTATATATATAAATTGGAGTCTAAAGGAAATGATAAATTCAGGTATTGTGTAAATATTTGAGGTAAATAAAAAATGACGTGAAACTAAGTAGACCAGAAAGTTTGAGTACATTAGCTGCAATTAGAAGCACTTATTGAAATTTAAGGGGGTTTTGTTAGTCATCTAAAGAGATATACCTTCTTCTCATTCTATCATGAAACAAATGATACTCATTCCCGAAGATTTACTTGGAATTTAATAGAAATTTGCTGCTGACTAAAGCAGACGTTGTAAACAAGATTTTAGATTTGTTTAGGTCTACTTTGTAGTCGCTGATTCCTACTATTCGAACCAGCCATGAAAAGGCAGGCTAAGAAAATGTCAATGTTGTCAACTTTTTGGGGATGATCAAGCTTCTTCCATAAGTTTAATTTTGGATGATTGAGCTTCTTCCACAAGCTGGACTTCAGATGATTGAATAGGAGTTTTAAATGCTTACCGCAGAGGGACATGATTTTCCAACGAATACAGAGAAAGCCCAGAGTGTTCCTGAAACGAAAAGGATGGATTTCTTCATGATGATTGTCTTTGGTAGGGACAGGTAGCGGTGTCGTGAAAGTTGTGCTGCAGCAGATGGACGACCAGATATCCACTATGAAGGAAGTTCTCTAGCAGATACAGTGCTTCAGTGTGTTTGACATCGGGTGCAGCAAGAAATTATGTTGGATTAAAAACGTGCTACGCCATGAAAGGTGTTCTGAAGGGTGCTTTGTTTCCGCTGTAAGCCTATATGGAGGTATGATAGGTGTCAGCTTCTAAGAAAGGTGCTCTGACAAGTGCTTGGTGTCCGGTGTAGACCTATATGGAGGTATGATAGGTGCCAGCGACTAAGACAGGTGCTCTGACGGGTGCTTTGTGTCCGGTGTAAGCCTATATGGAGGTATGATAGGTGCCAGCGACTAAGAAATGTGCTCTGACAGGTGCTTGGTGTCCGGTGTAGGCCTATATGGAGGTATGATAGGTGCCATCAACTAGGAAATGTGCTCTGACAGGTGCTTGGTGACTGGTGTAAGTCTATATGGAGGTATGAAAGGTGCCAGCGACTAAGAAATGTGCTCTGACAGGTGTTTCGTGTTCGATGTAGGCCTATATGAAGGTATGATAGGTGCCGGTGACTAAGAAAGGTGCTTTGACAAGTGATTGGTGTCCGTTGTATGCCTAAATGTATGTGTCGTATGACAGGTGCCAGCTACACAGCAACTCGTATATGTAGACTACATGTGGCAAACGGACTTTGTTTTATATTGGGTAAAGACTATAAATCGATAGGACTCAACAATCGAGAATTGAACTTCAATTTGAAGTGCCGGTAACTTTGTATCGATGAACTTCTAAAAGTGCTAACAGATAGAAATCTGACAGATGTCATACAACAAGTGCATCATGGTAGATATACAGGTAGGCCGCACTGCAGGGACGACTCATTGGATTTGGGTTGGCTGACATTGTCTCTCGCGGAACTCTTCGGCAAAACTTCCCACATCTGTAACATAAAAGACACGATAGCAATCAGGATGTGACTTATTCACAATTTATGACAATCTCCCAAATATAAAGTTAAGTACAAAATATATTCAACAAATATTAAAAAAGGACAAATATTGGCTTTCTGCCTACTGATGCAAACCTATTTACGGTCCAAATATTTCACAAAAATTCCCCTCGTCCAACACAACATTTAGTCCCTTGCTTTCAAACGCAATGAAATGCTGGCCAGGTAATTCTATTAAGTTATCTTCAAGCTTTATAACCCTTCAAATATTATTATGTAACACGCGAAGGTCAGCATAAGTTCTCACCTCCTTAATACAATTGCATGATTTTCTAATATTGAGACAAATTTTATTTTAGAAAGCAAAACTACAAGCGTTTCTCCTTGTCACTGCAAATGGCTTCCGTCTCTTTACTCGTTTGAAAAGCTTCATAATTTATTTACACAAATAATATTTTGCAGTTCCCGTGATCTTTATAGGGTGATTAACTCCAGGATAGACAATCTAGGAAGATCTACTTTCGTTTTGGAATATCAAGGTTCGAAGACAGTTTTCCACATCGACCTATTATTTCATGCATGATTTATGTACGTCACAGAATCTTTGCAGATTTTCCAGTCATATTCATGCATGGCTGCCTATTCATGAACGAAGAACAGAGTGCAGTTCAATCTATGAGTATGACGACCCGTCGGCTAACCGCATAAATCTCAATACATTCAAGGAGCTGCTCTTTACCCATGCATTATAGTTTTGTGTTTTGTTCGTAACACTCATAAGCATGCAATCCCATCTGTAACGACTACAATAGTTTTGAAATAACCCCAACCATTGTTAAAACCTATCTACCTTAAAAGCAGTTTACACCCACATATAACGGATGTGCCATAATATTTCGTTTTCTGCATGTGTAAACATCATAATCATCTAGTTAGGAGGTGTTTTCCCAATTTTGTTCCTGTTTTGAACTGTTACTACAACAGTATGACAATGTATAAATCAGTGGCGGTCCCATGCAGGACTGTTGACGGAGGGGGTGTGGGAGCATATGTCTCAAAAATGCTATAAAGTGCAATAAAATATCATATTTTGACCGGGGCATATTTTTTAAATTCCAAGACAAAAACAAGGGTTCCAATATTCGATCTGGTGCTACACATTGCGTGATGTGACAGTGGTGGATAAGGGGTCTAGTAACCGGGAGGTCTCGGGTATGAAACCAAGTCGATACGCTAGTGCCCTTTGGTAAAGCATTACTCCTTGTTACCAAGTCCCTCGGAGAGGATTATTGCCGTCGGTCCCTTGGTTGCCTGCTTACAAGCATACACATGCTTTCTTAGCAGTCAGGTAAAACAAACAAATCAACCAACCAACATTTCTACACATTGAATTCACGGTATTGTAGATGTGATTTTGCCTGGGAGGGGGGGGGGTGCCCTCCACATCCCCATATGCATCCGCTTTTGCCAAGCGTTTCATCGTTGGACAATCCCCCAACTGTGCATCTGTCATTTATTATGACGGTGCAAAAAAAAGTATTCAACAAGGGCCGTGGTTCAACCAGTCCACATTTTATTCTTGAGATACGAAAAACACAAAACCGATCAAATTTACAAAGGGTATGAATAGTTTAGTTGTTAACTGTATAATATATACAGTCAACAACTAAATTATTCATACTTTTCATATATATAATATATATATACATAATTGACATTATGCAAGGCAATAGCATCATGGAATATATATGTAGGCTTAATTACACAGAGAAGTAAACTATATCTCGTTTTTACATGGGAATGGTTGTTTTCTAAATGAAGTACTGATACACACTGATTTTATACCCTTTCTTTATTTCAAAACATTTTAATTTTTATAAATGACACATTTACTCCTAGGTAAATATATGCCCTCAAAATCGTACGATATCCTAATTTTGTTTGATGTTATTCACATTGCATAAACAAATAGGGTCTGGCAAGAAAATCAATACCAAGTTTCTGAAATGGAGTCAAGACCGTTTTATGTCATTAAATTATGTTTGTTGAGCTGTAATGCAAGCACATACATGCATTACGACCTAGATATCAAAATATGCTTTCGTTTTCCAAAGGGTCCCAGCGTTATAATTGTTCAATGTCTTGAAATATCAACTTGTACTTTTTTCTGCGATATAAAAACCTGAAATGAGAAGTGAAAATGGAATAACATGAAATTCTGACAGCTGTAGCTATATGATTGTCTGATTTTTCTACTCCTTTGTAAAGGGCATGCGAGAAGCATAGAAATATCAAATACAAAAGGAAAAGACGCACACAATAATCAACCATTAATCATAGTCATTATAAAAGGAATCCGTGTTGTATTCATATACGGAGCTCCTCATGTGGGATCGTACTTTACGTGCTCTTTTGAATTATATCGACTAGAAACTTGAAAAACGAATTATGCAGATGGTAATGTATCACGGTTTGGTGATTCTTAACATTCAGTAGAGCATGAATATGTATATTGACATATACTTGGCTGCCAGTGCGTAATGTGGATATGATTGGACTGGTGCGGATGAATCACCTTATGGATTGTATCAAGATAGCTAAAAACGATTTGCTTTTCAAGATATTCGATAAAAATCTCCTTTTTCTTAGGATTTATTTGAATGTCTAATTTAATCATTAAAGTGTTACCCTCTATAATTATGTATATACGAATGTTTTAAAAGTATTCCTATATTTAGTGTATTACATAGTTGAAAAAAGGAAATTGCTATTATGGTCAGGATATTCTATAGTCTATTATATACTATTGATTGGGGTAGGGGGTGGTAGCTAGTTCATTCATTGATACATTCGCCACGACAAGCCTACTCCGAATCTAAATTAGCTGATGTATATTGGTGATTAATAGGCGCGCTTCTAGAAGAATGTTTTTGGGGGCATGGGTTGGGGGACTTTACAGGCCCGTAGCCACGGGGGGGGGGGGGGGGGCACGTGCCCCAAAAAATTTCCAGGATCGGTTGAACTTTTTTAGACCCCTCCCCAGGACGTCGATCAATTACATGTATGTGCCCCCCCCCCCCCCTCAAACATCAAACTCTGGCTACGGCCCTGGAACTTTAGGGTTCTTGCATTTATATAGTAAAATCATGTAATCACGAAGAAAAAAGTGAAGAATTGTGGGCATGAGCCCCTAAGCCCCCTCTAGAACACCTTGCGGTGATCAAACCCAATTCATCTCCAATGCCATATACTTCAAGCTGATAAATGATGTTATCATATAGAAAATGTAATAATGTAAAATACTCATATAATATAGTATCCTTGTAACTGTGTAATGTCTTACAACGCCTCCCCCCGCCCACACATACACACACACACACACACACACACACACGCACACACACGACATGCTAGCTACCCCCCCCCCCCCCCCCCCTGGAAAGTCCCGCAAGCTGAAATAAACTGCTTGGACCAATACGTATTTAAAATACATCACTCCTCAGTATAGGTCTATTATGTAATTACATTATATTAATATCGCTTTCTGCCCAGATATATACCTACAACATGAAAACGAATTCATCAGAATACAGATTAGGTTATTCACCAATTATTAAATGGTCTCCGCATGCATGAGTGGAGAATATTACAATGCACCCCACTAGGCCGAACAGCTGATCATATCGTGTGTGAAACTAGCGCTGGCCCGTAGAAAATTGTGTTCTGCTCGGACAGTAAGGCCGTCAAGTCTATTACTTCTATACTGACCACAACAATGCGTACCCTCGCTGACACTTAACCTGAAATTTGAATACTATGACTCACCTATTACAGAATCCAAGCCAAACTCCCCGGCCGCCATGTATCCATAGGAATTTTCCTAGCAGGTGCTCCGATAAATGCACCAATGGCGATGCATACGCGTGCGGCATGTGGTGAAATGCATAGAGCTCGCAAACAGCGTACGCGGCGTCGAAGAATTGTACATGCGTGGTACATGGCGCTTTCGTACGACCGCCACATTGATTTGGCTGACTGATAATGCATTTTGCGTGAAGACACGTTTCTGGGAACGGGATTTCCCCGGCCTGGAAAAGATGACGTAATGTTATTGTTCTTGGTAGGCTTGGCAGACCACAGCGCGGGGAGAGTTCTAAGAAATACAATTTGCTCAATACATGATATATTGTAACCAAAAATCTTCCTATTCCAGAGGAAATTGCTGTAAAATTTTTAGTTGACGAAGAGCTCAACATATTTCGAACAAAAATTTCTTAAGCCCTTTAATCTCTATTGCAATAATCGTGACCTGCCACTGTTGTGGATTATACAAACAAATCCTAACCTTTTGACAGAAAACAACCAATGAGATACATGTAAATGTAATTTATCAAGATTTTTTTTTTAAATCTCAATAACGTCAACATTCAATACACGGCGAGATACCAACGGTCAACCAAAAATCAACGTAGAAGTAGAATTAAAAAGGTGATGTTTCGATATAATTTCTAGAACCAAATTTTATTGACTTTATTTCAATTCAAATGAACTTTGCACCGCTCATAAAAAAATGGTCATGACTGTATTAAAAGCGTTCATTATGGTTGCAGTAATCGTGTTACAGATAAGGCCCTAATCTAATTCTGATTTTAAAAGTAATCTCAGAAAATCTCTCTCTCTCTCCCCCCCCCCCCCTTCTCCCTCTTTCCATCTCCCCCTCTCTCACCCCTTCTACCCCTCTCTCTCTCTCTCTTCCCTCAATCTCTCTCTTTCTCCCTCCCTCAATATCTCTAACTCTTTCTCGATCTCTCTCTTTCTCTCTCTCTCTCTCTCTCTCTTTCTCTTTCATTCATTCTCACTATTTCATTCTCTCTCTCTCTCTCTTTTATTTTCTCTCTTTCACTTTCTCTCTCTCTCGATATATCTCCCCTGTTCTATCTTATTCTCTCTCTCCTTCTCTCTCTCTCTCTCTCTCTCTCTCTATATATATATATATATATATATATACTTCTACTTCTACGACGATACTCAGCAGGATCCATAAGTCACGATGTAGTGCTGAGGAATAAACTATCTAGTTTTTTGTTTAATATATCACTCCGTATCCGGACACCTACCCTGGACATCCACCCCGGATAACCACCCCCAGTCAACTACCCCTAAGACATCTACCCCCTAGGACAACTACCCCTTAGGGCAACCACCCTCTAGGACGATTACCCCCCCCCCCCCCCCCCGGGAGAACTACACCCTGACAACTAACCCCAGACAACTACCCCTAGGACAACTAACCCCGGACAACTACCCCTTGACAACTACCCCGGACAACTACCCCATAGACAACTAACCTAGAGAGTTATTGTCCATGTGGTAGTTGTCCGGGGGCAGTTGTCCTAGAGGGTAGTTGTCCTAGGGTAGATGTCCTAGGGGGTAGTTGACTGGGGGTGGTTATCCGGGGTGGATGTCCATGGGGTAGGTGTCCTAGAACCATATCACTCCCCCTCAATTTCTCTCTCTCTCTCTCTCTCTCTCCCTCCCTCTTCCCTTTCTCTCTCCGCCCCCCCCCCCCATATCTCTCTCTCTCTCTCTCTCTCTCTCTCTCGATCTTGATACTTGATGAGGTAATCCCTGAAGCAGCTTTTCTAAGCTAGCAGGTGAAGGTGCAGACAACAAAAGGGTGTACAATTGCTTTATATAGTAAAATAGTGACGTGCTAGTAAAAAACAGGAGGTTCCAACCCTCTGATGACAGGGAGGGCAGTCATCTGGAAAGCAGCAACTGTTGGGGCAGTAACTGCAGTGAATGGTAGTTGATTCCAGATGCGAATGGTGCGGGGGTAAAATGAGTACTTGTAGGAGTCGATTGTTGCCTCAGGAACAGAGAGCTCTCTCTCTCTCTCTCTCTCTCTCTCTCTCTCTCTCTCTCTCTCTCTCTCTCTCTCTCTTTTCTTTCTTTCTTTCATTCTCCCGGTCTCTCTCTCTCTCTCTCTCTCTCGCTCTTTAAATGCGTATTCATGCATAACATGCGTATTGTAATAATTTCGCGCATATTATTGACACGCATGTCACATGATAAACAAACGCATATCATTATCATCCCGGAAAAATTGTTGTGTTTAAATATACTTTTCAAAAGTCTACGAATACACCACTTGCAGACTACAATATTTTTTTGTAAAAACTTAATAGAAATTGAGTAAGCCTAGGTTAGATCAATGGCATTTTCCCATTTGTTACCGCTCCTCGCGATTTGCAGGCTCTCTGCCGGCGTTTCATTATCGGGATGTGTGGATACACCACTGGTAAGAATTGTTGTTGTTGTTATGTGTTGATCAAAATCTGAATTGAGAAATATGAGTTCTAAATATAATTCGCTAGCCAGAAAACTGAATTGACTTATGTTCTAGACAGTCAGTGCAGTCATAATATTTCAAGGTGCAACCTAAATTTGAATAGAAAAATAATGGGCTAATAATCGTGTAGGCCTAGGCCTAATGTTGCAAAATGTGCGATATACATTACAATGATTAGCCTATGAATATGAATATGATGTGTATGAAGGAGTGACCAAAGTTCGCGGACATTTTAGAACATATTACAAAATGTGATATTCGAACTACGATTTTTCATATTCTACACAAATTTATTGATTTCAATTATAACCAAAGGGACGGCGAAGTTTTTAACTACAGATTAGTTCAACTAGAAAATTTTATCGTCGAAGGATTTCGGAGATATCGCGATCTAAATATTCGATGTCCGATCGTTCGTGCGCGCTGCATCTAAAAAAGTCATAAAAACAACGAGACCTAACTTCACGCACGGGGGTTTACAGTTGATTTATCAAAAAGTGTGATACATCAAAAATAAGGTAATATCATAATTTGCAAGGCAAGATATCATACAATCAGTTAGTAGATCTACCACTCTTTACTTACAATTTTGAGGAAATCTGCTCTCAAATTGAAGATTTTCAGACCCTTATCGGTAAGTTGATCATTTTTCGGAACGGACGCAAAATATTGCAAAATTTGCCGATCTTTTGTCAATATTTTCACAATTTCGTACCCAATTCCAAAGAAAATTTCACTTTTGGGTAATTTCATGTTCCTCTTTCCATTGGTGATATCAGATTTTCGTAATCTTACTGATTTTTTGAGATAGCGAACTTAGGTCACGCGCGAACTTTGGTCACACCACCATACAATGTACTGCGAGTCACGAACTTATTCTTTCTCTCTCTTCAAAATCGATAAACTGGCGCTAAAAACGTTAATAATTCTTGTCACATAATTTGTGAAACCTACCTTAAAATATGTTTGATAGAGTGAATGTTGTAACTTTAATGATCTTGATCTAGATTCTCGGCTGTCATTGACTATTTGCAAACTTTGGACTCATTTTTCTTTCCTATAAAAACGAGTGCAACACTTTGGCCCGAATTCACAACAGTGGTACAAAACCCCCCGGGGGTTTAAACCTGCTTTGTGAATACGAAAATCAGAGGTTTAAACCTCGGAGGGGGTTTTGTACCACACCCATGGTACAATCCCTCTTTGTACCACTGTTGTGAATTCGGGCCTTTTTGTTTAGGATTGAGGTAATGCTTCCGGACACTTGGCAGAAATAAAACCGTCGAATTTGCCATTGAGTATATATTATGATGGGGTGACAAAAACCGTGACATAGATTCGCAGAGATTTTGAAATTACTAATATTTTAATATTACTAATATTATTAGAAAATGTGATATTCGATCTAGAGGTCTATGATTTCGCATATTCAACTCAAATCTATTTATTTTAATTAGACGGTCTAGATCTATTACATATTGATTCAACTAGGAAATGACTGCAAAATTTGCCGATTTTTGTCAATTTTTTCACAATTTCACACCCATTTCCAAAGAAATTGTTGTCCCTGGTTAATTTTATGTTCCCCTTTTCCATTTATGATATCAGATTTTCGAAATCTTACCGATATTTTGAGATAGCGAACTATGGTCACACTACCATACAACAACAACAAATACGCCTCGAGCAAAATTGAGTTATAATACCGTCAACATACCTTTTAAATGAATCATGAAATATTAAAGGAAAACAGAAATTTATTTTCAGTTTAAAACTTAATCTAGATCTATCCTGAGTCCGGACACACGTCTTGGTGGACATTTGGGTTTTGTTTTTCTTCTTCGTAGAATTAAATATTTTTGGTCGATTTTCTATATTGTCATTTAATGTCTCAATCTGTAACAAATTATTATTATCGTTTTTACGAAGGAGCTCTACTTTGTTGGAAGATTCGGATTTGGCCCTGACGGTGGGCAGCTCTCCTTCGAATTAAAATGGCCGACTGTTATTGTAAGTAGACGATGGCCTATTCATAAAGGAAAATGGGGGTTCTCTTCAAGCAGATCATGGGGCGCAGTTCCATTTTATAATGGATACGCCCCTGGTTGGCATACTTTAATGCATTGACTATCATAGCTACAAAAGATCCTGATTATTTCGCGATTTCTTTTTAAACAACTCTTATATTATGCTATGGTCCATTCATATTTTCTTCGAATCTTTATGATAAAATATATACAAAAGATATCCATATGCATATGCACTTAATTTTTTATGGTATGTCCTCATCAATAACTATGACTAAAGTATCTTCCTTATCGCTATTTATGTGCTGCTTTGTGGCATTGATATGATATTTTAAGGATTTGGGAGATTTCGAACGCCTTTTGCTGTCAAAAAGTTAGAGCAAGTATCATTCATTGGACTATGCAATACATTTCATCTCCCTATGAAAGGGGGGGACATTTCTAAATCTTGTATCTCTTTCAACATGTTGTCTTCTTCAGAAGAATCATCCCAAATATGGTATCGCTCTCCTTACAGCATCTCAGCACGTCGCAACAAGGCTGGATTCTCTGGTAAGTAATTTCAGGAACGACTTTCATTTCATTTTACTTTTGTTCAAGTTTGTGGCAAATATTTACATCGCATTGAGA